ATGCAAAGGATCAATCTGCTATCCTAAGGGATAGGTAACTAAACAAAGTACCTCGCAGGGCGTGGGTACTCTGCCGTCACTCTTCCTAAGGGATAGGTAACAAAACAAAGTACCTCGCAGGGCGTGGGTACTCCGTCGTCACTCTTGCTAATTTGCAGTTAATCAAATCAACCACTAATTAGTGTTAAATAGGCTCCGACAGCTAGCTGCTTATAGTATAAGCACTTAAGTAGCAAGAGTAAGAGTGGTGTACGGTGTGCACAGCGTACAAGGTAGGTAAGGTGAGGGCAACATGTTTCTAGTTCTATTGCTCTTGTCTTTCCTCCGTACGGAGGAAAAGGGGGATATCTAGATGTTCGCGCACGGAGGTTCGCGCACGAGCATCATGTGACATAGATACGTGATCCTGCTCGTGCGCGATCGTTCGTATCCAGGCCGCGACGCTGCTGCTACGTACGGACATTTACACTAATTTACTAAGCTGTTTTTAACTATATATAAGACTTTTAGCTATAAGATTTTAACTTTTTTAAGCATTAAGCTTTCTTTACTTTATTACTTATAAGTTAAATAAATAATAAACTAGGCCTAGTATAGCTTAAACATGTGTTTAATTATAAGACTAAGGTAAAAGCATAATAAGTGTACTAACTTTTATTTCTAAATAGCTATAAATTACATGTTTTAATAAAGTTTATTAAGTACTATAATAATAATAAAATCCTCTTAGCTGTATACCTGCTGCATGCAACCTATACACTGCAGCCTCTTAATGTCTGCATGTTTAAACCTCTCTTGTTAGCCTACTTAGCTAAGCTAGCTAGCTTTATAGATAAATGCTAAAGACTATTATTAATTAAGAAAAGAAACTTTTATAGCATGTTTAATAAAGCCTAGAAAATGTTCTTTAAGTATAAAACTATTTTTAGTGCTTTTAAAGCAACTAGTTTATTACTATTTAAGCTATAAGTAGTCTTAGATTAATTTTACTATAGGTAAAAAAAGCAACTATTTTTTAGTAAAAGTACTAGCTTAGCGCTTAGTGTAAAGAATTAAAAAAGGGTTAAAAGCCTTTTAAATAAGATTGTTAGTAATCTTTATAAAAAAGATATATAAGAGCTTAAAAAAACTATTTAGTTATTCTTAGTATATTGCATTCTTCTCTAGCGTAAGCTTAAGCAGGTTAAAGATGCGCTAATTAATAAGAAGAAGTGCTGCTAGTGTAGTAAGCCTCTCCTACTAAAAGCACCTCTAGAATATTATAGTAGTGCAACCTTCTAGTCCCTAAATAAGGTCTAAGAAGCATGTAATTATTAAGCATAAAAAGATGCTAAGAAAGAGGCTCTACAGCTTTAAAAATAAAAAAAAGTAAAGCATAAAAAAGCAAAGAAAGCTAAAAAGGCGCGTGCAGTTAAAAAGAAGAAGCATAGAGTAGTAATAGTAAAGAAGGCTTACCTGCAAGAGCTTAAGACAAAAGCAGCTTAATAAAAGAAGGCAGAGCTTACCTAGCAAGTTAATTAACAGCTTAAAAATAACCTCTAGCAGGCAACAAAAGGCAAGCAGAAAGCTCCTACGCCTATTACTAGTACACTAGAGGATTTTAATAATAATGCAGCATTAAATAAAGAGAGGGAGCTAGCATTAGGCAGGACTTAACATAGTAGGCAAATTAACCTCCTTATAAAGTATTACATGTAAATTATTACTAGGAATAGAATCTATAGCATTTAATTAGTATTATAATAAAAAATCTATATAATCTATAATTTATGTAAGTCTCTAGAGCTTTAAAAGTAAAAGGCGCGGATTGCCAAAATCATGCATTACGCGAGGCCGTGCATTACGCGCTAAAACATGGTACGCGATGAGAAAAACGTCAAGTCGATGCGACCCTGCTGGGGGGTTCCAGTTTCGGGATCCCCTTCAGAGAGCGGCTGGAGGTGATCCATCACCGCCAGCAGCGTGTTGATGCATGTTAGGAACAAAGCCTGTTTGTCGGGGGTTCAATCAAGAGGGCCGCCCCTCTTAGCAATAGTACGTGACACTAGTCACGGCAGATAGTGAAGCAGAGTATATCTGGCACGGATGTCTGATTGAATGGCTTGTTTGACGATTGGAATAGTTGCTGCAATGAGATTCTCTCCACATCCCATCAAAGCCGGTCTCATCCGTTCTCTGGGCCAGCAATAGTATCATAGAAACACATCAGCTATCAAAAGGCCAGTACCTGTCCAACTCTTCTTGCTCTGAACTAGAAAGCTGTAAGTACGAAGAGAGATTATTTTTAGCATCCCGTAGTTCTGACTTTGCCCTTTCGTACTGGTCATGCTGAATCAAGCCCTTGTTCGGCCACAAATCCCCAAATTCTCTCGCTGTGTAGCTCATCATCCGAATGCCCTCATCGGCCAGCCGTTCGTCTTCCTTGATGGTTACCGCGTCAGATTCAGAGATAAGGACAGGGAAATCGAGGCCTGTGGGATTGTGAACCGCAGGATTTGTACGCCATTCATTCTTAAGGTCAAGAAGAAGCGACAGGAAGTGAGCCTCGCCGAGTGAAAAAAGACGACGGCCAAGGGAGAGCAAGTTGCCAAGGGTAGTGTTTCCGAACTGAAGTGTACTGTATTGCAGTGGGTTATTGTTTTTGATGAGCCGACGCCATGCCACCATCAAGCTTTGCTCGATATATGAGCGGGTGACCTCCTTCCTTTCTTGCAATGGCAGTGAGTTCACGTTTGGGGGTAGCTCAGGGCGAGTAAGAGCATCACCTAGCTCCGGACCAGAGTATTCCAGAAAGCAAGGCTCCAGAATGTGATCGTACAGGGGTAATATCTGCGTTGACTGCCAGTCGATGATCCCAGTGATCGTGGTCGGGTTTTGCGGATCAACGAAGATATTTTCGTCATGGAGATCGTTGTGCCAGAGATAGCCAAATTGGTGTTCCGGTTGTTGAGGAAGAATGAAAGGGAGAAGCGCCTGAGAAGCCTGCAGCGCCGAGAGCTTTTTATTCTTTGTTGGGACATAGAGCTTTGGACCGCAAATCATGACGTCTAGTTTGGGAAATGACTTGATTTGATCCAGAGCCTGGATTTCTCGGCTTCCTACGGCTCGCCTGTAGTCCAAAGTGGAGCTCCCTGTTTTCGTTAGAGCCAATACGCGGATATGCTGAAGGGAGGAACCTAAATGGGCCTCTGTCACAAACGAGACTCTGGCGGCCATGTTCGACCCATTCTCGACCAACAGCCGGACCAACAGCAAATTCTGACATGGAGATTGGTTCCATTTGATTATTCTGGAACAAATAGTCATCTGGTGGAGGAGATAGTAGGTCCCGACGGTAATATAAGCTTCCAATCTTTGGAAATCTGGTTGACGTCCATTTTTGCTGATAGCGGTCAATCTGAAAAAATAGCTTGACCTTATCTCTTGGCGCAAGATGTTGCCATTTCTCACGAAGTGGCACCCCCTGGATCTTTTCCATGAGGATGTACTCGGCTCCTACGGGCGTCGAGTCACTCCTTGAACTCCATGCGTAGACTTGAGGAACTGGGAGGTGCAAAACATTTCGTAGCTACAGATGACATATTAGCAAAGGTTCTATAACACTCAAGGAGTGAAGATATACATACAAAGTCGAGCGTAGCGACCTCACTGGCGGTTGTGAAGTGCGGAAGTCCCGCAATGGGATTAGGGACTTTGCCAACAATTTGCCGCCCGTCTTCAAGAGTGAAGATGAAGGCTTTGTTGTATAGTCTATCAGGGCATTTCTCTACATCGATACACCGCCTTGCGCTCATGGAAAGCGCAGCCGTCTTTGCAAGCTCGTTCATATCAAAATGAACTCGACGACAGACGACCTGTGCGGCTTCATCGCTCACGAAGCGCCCCCTTGTGAATTCAAAGAACTCGGGTTTTTGGTTCCAGTCTACGAGCAATTAGCATAGCCGAACTCGAGCAGGATTTCTGTTATTACCTTGTACTTGGTCGGCCATGGTGGATTGACTTCGTGTTGGTCGCGTACTTCTCAGATGTCGCAGGTGAGACCAAGGTCTGAAGGGCCGCACGGAACTGGATGTAATTGGCAGCAGCATCTTTCATTGTCTTAGAATATGAGCCAGCAGATATATTTAACACGAAGCGTGTTATGCGATGATGGTGGCTGCCTACACCCGCGCTCACAAAATATGCGGAGGGAAACGTTCGCATGAGGTCTGGAGGAAAACACAGCCCAGAGGATTGGGACGGGATCTTCTGGAACCAGCCAATCAGGGGAGGGTGTTCAGCGCTTACTCTTGTTTCGTGGAGTGCTATCAGTTTAAAGTGGATTCGATTTATATGTCGAACGATTCTGGTAATTTGGAACTGCGGATTTCTGCGGATCTTGCTGCGGCAACGGATTTGGCGTAGTACTCTGAAATAAACCAGCCAGGATATCGATGTCAGAGCACGTGTTATAATATTTATCCTTACCTTCAAATGCGCCAAGTGTTCCTGGGGCTGTTGGCCATTGCCAGACCCAATACACCGTGTATGTAGAGTTTATTGATACATCAGAGGGTATAGCAACATCCGTTTCACACCATTGCTCGTGGACCGATCCATGTTGGCCCTCAACAGGGTCAGGAAATTCTTTCTGCCGTGTAAGAGAGATGTTTCCGGCGTTGACATTCTCCGCGAAACATTCCCTCCGAGAAGCTATTCTCTCCCAGGAGACTTCTCTCCGCGAAGACATTATCTCTGTGGAGCGCTTCTCTCCGCGAAGAGACTCTCTACGGAGCTTCCCTCTCCTTGGAGAATCTCTCGCAAAGCTCTCCTCTCCATGGAGCTCTGCTCTCCTTGAAGGATCTCTCCCCAGCGCTCCTCGCTCCTCGGCAATCTGATTGGGCCCAATTTCAGATCCTCCTCATGCTGCTCAGGGATGAAATCAGGCACAATCAGAGGGGCTCAGGCTTGAATCAAGCACGATCACGCCGGCTCACGTTGGCTCAGGGCGAGCTCATGAGTGTTCAGCCACAGCTCGAGTTGCTTACTAACAGCTCAGGTTACACCCCGGCGTAACTCACGTCTCAAAACAGAAATGGACACTGTGTGAGGGCATTTTGTCCCCATATATCTCTCGCTATTTCTGCACTAGCGTCGATGACAAATGCGGAGATTCGCGTAATACTCCCCTCCATAACCCCACTTCCGCCATCAACCTTCCTCGCATCTCACTTTTATAAAAGCCCCTCATGGTTGCCTCGTATACATTCCTCGTCTTGATATCCCTCAGTCCGAGCTTTGTATGCAATCCTCAACCTCCTTGAGAAGCCTTCTCCACCAATCCCGACATATCAGCGCCATGGCCAACACCAATGAGTGCGAAGTTGAAACATTAACCCTAATATTCTAGCTGACACCACACTAGCCTGATCAAATTAGCCCAGAAGCTCGCCTCCGAAGGGCCACACAAAGCAGAGGTGACTCCGCGTCGCGTTCGAGCTTTACTAGGCGGAAAATATGCATTCGACACCGCCAAAGCGTATCACGTTTGGGAGCATCCTTATTATCCGCAGTAAGACATTATCCAATGCTGATTAGTTCAAAACATTTATAACCCATATACAGATTCTATGTCCCTCTTTCGAGTTTCACCTCCGACGCAAAGCTTACCAAAACCTCCTCCGTAGATGGCACCAATAACAGAGCGCACCTTGCACGGTTATCACTCGGAGACAAAAGCACAGAGAGAGTTGTCGTCTTCAATACGGATTCTTTAAAGGATTTGGTGAAAATTGATTTTTCTCAGATGGATCAATGGTTTGAGGAAGACGTCCCCATCCATCAGCATCCGAAAGACCCCTACAAACGCATCGACATCTTGAATTCGACACGTTCCATCAGAGTAGCTCTTGACGGTGTGACACTAGCCGAAACCTCTAGTCCTCTGTTCCTCCTCGAGACCATGCTTCGACCGCGGTACTACCTCCCCCCAACAAGTGTGAAGTGGGAGTACTTGACGAAGAGCAATACTGAGACGTATTGTCCGTATAAGGGAAAGGCAAATTACTACAATGCGAATATCAATGGCAAGGAGTACAAGGATGTGGTTTGGTACTACATCTACCCCATCGCCGAGTCTTTGCCCGTAGCGGGCCACTTCTGCTTCTACAATGAGAAGGTTGATATTTGGGTGGATGGGGTACAAGAAAAGAGATAGGCCGGCTGTTCACTCCCATAAACTTGTTTTATTACACCCTGTGTCTCAAATTGTTTCTCTGGCGCCCTTTTAATTACTTACGTATCACTGAATATCTGAGTCGCGTTGCCCTTTTCTATACTCAGTGCTCACGATAATGCTCGAATGATAAACAAAGCCTTTACGATCCTGGAGCCAATTTCATCCTCGATAATACGGTACTGACGCTCTGTGCTCTACTTGAACCCTCACTCGACATATGATGTGCCCTCGCTCGAGTACCTTGTGCTTGCCTCTCCAAAAGAGCTTGAATGATATCCTTCTCGACCTGATCAATCATCTTCTTATTCATCCCCTTAAGACGGTTTCTTCCGGTTGCATTAAGTTCCGAGTCTAATCCTCGACATCCAAGGATGATCTTGTTATGTGTCGCAGGGCGCACGTATCTAGCATAGTGGAGCGCGATCCAGTTGAAACAGAAGTAACAGGCTGGCTTGCTGCAGCCAATATATCGATCGTTTTCAACGAAGCCGAAACCACCACGAGCGAAAAGGTCCACTAATATCAGCTCGGCGTGCACACGAGTATCAATGGAGCTTTCAGCTTCGATCTTTCCTCGGAGGTCGAGACCGTGCTCGAGTTCCAGATCACATAGGGCGTGCAGAGCTTGTCGAGCTTGCATCGTATTGACGATTGACTCTTTTCTGCAGATACCCAGGATCATATCGTAATGGTGAGTTGTCTCAGGCACTACTCTCACTTTGCGTTTCGGGGGTGACGACGCAGCCCGGATGTCCCCAATGTTCCGTAAGGAAGGAACTTCAAGCATCGCCTCCACTAAAGTCAGCACTTTCGACTTGTGTGCGCCTAGTCGTCCGACCAAATGAGCCAACTGTCCAAAGCAGTCGTCTTCGGTCAGAGATCTGGCTCGAAGCAACTCCAGACCATCCCCTCGCAGTCCATAGCAGAACTTAACAAGCTCTAGTGTCGAGATATGACCCAACTCCTTTTTTAAATTCTTCACCCAGGTTCGAAGAAAGTCATCTTCTAAATAAGAAAAGGGCTCACTCTGCGTTGCCGCCAACTCACCTGACTTCGTCACTAGCTCTTCGCAGCATGCCTCCGCACAATTTCCCAGCCTCGTTCTATAAAATGCAATCCGCTTCTTCCCTTTCTTCACAGCCACATCCAAGATCTCCTCCTCAACCCCCTTCCTCTCCTCTACCGTAACATTCTTTAACCTCTTCAGCACATCCTTCGCAAAATCGACCACCACCGGCCGTATCTGCTCATTCGCAGCCAGCCACATTACAATATCCCCATTGACCTTCTGCAGCGCGCATGCGGTCACAGTACCCCCTCCCTTCTCAACATCGCACAAGTATGCAAACGCGTCGAGGAATCTGCGTCGGTGTTCGTCAATCGAACCACCCGATGAATCGCGCCGAACGGGTCCGTCTTTGAATGGTGACAGAGTTTTCAGGAATATCAATTTTGGATAGAGTTCTCGGTCTACTTCTTCGTTGAGCAGTGCGATGATATCTTTGCTTGTGTTCTCGTTGCTGCTACTTTTATCCTTTCCACCGGTTGGTGGGCGAATTGGCACCGCCTGGGGGGTGTTTTGAGGTAGACGTGCGCGTATAGTAGCTGCAGCAGAGAGTTTTGAGCCGGATGTCATAATCTCGAAGGTCTTCGGAAGCAGGGTAGGCCGCCCTCTGCTTCCCTCGATCGGTTCTTGGAGGATTAAAAGTTTCGGTCTCGAGATGTGTGGATTTCAGCTCGTCGCGTCTTACTGTGGGGCATTTTCTTTCGTGTTCCAAAGGCTTCGTATGCTGATGCATGGCGTTCTTTTGGTATCCAATTGACGGTGTTGATGCGGACGGGGTTGCACTGCGGCAATTTGTTTAGCTTTATTGGTGGTTGACCCTTGCTTACGTTGAGGAACGTTCAGCAGACTCTGAGGGTGTCAGGAACGCCATATTTTAGCTGTCATTAAAGCAGAAGCAAACACATCCATATATTCTAGGACAAGTTTGTGCCTAGTCAGAATTCCTTGCGGTGCTTTAATTCCTCGTTGTGTAAAATCCCCAGGACAAGTTCATTCGTACATATCACCGCAAAATATTCTCCCAAGACATTCCCCCGTTCTCAATTAAGAGAAGCGTTAGTTACATGATTAATTGACTTAAGTTGAAAAAAAGCAAGAATCCCAAGACATCAACATTTCTCCCTTCTTGGACCCTGCACGTTCCACGTACTGCACTGGCATCATCCACACTGACAGAGCCTTATGCTCATCGCCAAGATTGCCCTTCTTACCTCCCAGTCTGCAGTTCCCATAGAGAAGTGGAGCAGCAATTATCCAGCATTCGATCCCTCTACAACGAGGCCATCTCCCACAAATGAGACGAAGACGCTCGCTCGTTCGGATGTTGGCAACACATCGCTGGGGACTCAGCTCAAAAAAAGGGAAAGGGGGGCTAATAGGGGAGAAGGACCGCAAGATTCTTAACTTCCAGGCCAAGGCGAAAGACAAGGAGAGCAAAATCCTTCACTCCGAGCCCAACTCAACGGCCGAGGATAGCATTTCGAGCGTCTTCATCGGAAAGCGATATTCGACAACGTCGCGATAGAAGGTTGCAAGCAACCTTGACGGCAGCGATTGGTGAATAGTATGAAGAGAGTGCACGAACCAAAAGACAAAGGCCTGGGGGCCGAAAGAATCTTTCATGCTCATTCGCTTCTACGCAGTAAATTTTAACATCTCTGTGGATGTCACTAGCTGCCACTGTGGAAGGGCACCGATGCGAAACGGCGGTATTTTGGTGATAACCTTGGATATCAGGTAGGACCCTTTTGAAAATTCGGCACTACATTGGGAAGGGTAGGTAGTTAGTTACTGCCTTGCCTTACAATTGTCGAAATTATCGCCTATGTACAGCAAGTGCATGTTAGTCTTCTGCTACAGCTATCAGCTACCAGCTATAAATATCCATATTATATGGAGTAGTATTCCTCGCATATCTACCCTGATGGGTGCTTTACAGAAAGTATACTCTCGGGAGACCAGATTTATCACCTTGCTCGCGTTTTAGGGTATTAGGGCTATCCATACCCATTTTAGCGGGCCCGCAAAAGGGGGCAGGCGAAAGAGTGATTCACGATGCCTGATGATAAGTGCTAGCGGATTAGGAAAATAAGATATCATTGATCTCTCCCACTCAGCCCACCCCCAGCCCCAGGTCTTGCTTAAGGTAGACTCTCATACCCCCTTTGCAACTCCTCAAGGTAGCATTTACCAGCTTGGTTGTGAGATCGCCTAGTGGGTGTAGATCAGACGCTACATCCTTCATCACATCTGATAAATTGTGTGGATCTATCTAAACAGCACCGTATACCAGAATTTGTATGACTGAAGGGTCAACAAGCCGTTTCCATCGCTGGTCTTCAAAGTTATCCCTCAACTAGCTGACAGATTCTATCGTGTTATCCGACTCGTTTGTAGATTAGGCGTAAGGCTCTCCCAGTGGGGCCGAACCAGAATCCGCTTCACCCAACTGCACCATTGCCAAAATGGGAAGTTAGTGTTTGCCGACTCGCGAGCCATAGAATTTAGGTCCGCATCTTATGCACTTCCATGGCTTCCATGTGCCGTCATTTTTTTCATTTTGTTTAAGCCTTTATGGACATGCTTGAGAAGAATTGAATGCTTCATTCGAGCACCTCACTCTATAGCCCTGTTACTTGAACATTCTCATAATTATGAAAAAGAACACACTCATGGTCTTCAAAACGTGTACCTCAAGTTCCACATGCAGACAACATTGTTAAATATAAAGGTCGGGCACAAATGCTGCGCCTCGCTTGGCACGTTTCGTGTCGCATCCTTCATGATGATCAGACGCCGACATTATTATGCTGAGCTGTAATCTCTCTCTCTCTCTCAACACCTCACCTCCTCACCTCCTCGACATGCTTCACGCGCCATTTCTCCCTAGAGATGGACCGGACGGCGTAATTCATATCTCTACGACCGGAACTCGAAAACAAGTCGAAAACTCGTGTCGAAATGAAGCCCATGCCACAGGAACAGACGCGAAGATGGGAACTACATAAACGGAAGCTGACTCTTCGCGAGAAGTTCTTTCCGTTTCCTTGGAAATGTTTTCTCATCGTATCGGCATTACCGTTTGCTCTCGCACCCATTGTTATTCTTTCTGCCGCCGCTGAAGAAGCTTCCCAGGGCTACCTCTCAGGACGCGCTTGCTATCCTAATGGAATGTGGAGCGAATCTCCTGGCGCAACATGGCGGATCATGGATTCTACATATTTCTTCACGCCAAATCTCTCTTTTGGAAAGATGTCATTCTCTGCAGCTAAGATTATTGATATTAGCTGGGATCTGTTAGTTGGAAGAGGAGGACAACTATTACTAGCTTATGTCAACTACCAGGTCTTCAATGAATGGCTTGTATACCATATGGAGATACATCTGACGTCGTACAAGATGTATTCGACTGTAGCCTTCCAAACGACGTCACTATCGGCACTAGGGGTTTTGGGGAAAGAATTTTTGGCCTTCGGAGAGTCATCGTGGAGGCGGTTTTTCCGGTGGCTAGGTATCTTCTGCATGCTACTTTCCACGTTATATGTGTTATCTTTCCCGACACTTATGGCGGCTATGACTGGTTATATCAACGCATCTGGAGCATACGTGGAGGATTACAACAACAACCTCATCGAGTTCAACAAGTTTAAATGGGTGGCTTACATTGTAGAAGATGCTCACCGGATTGGATACAGCAAGCCTCTTGTCGCCGCTAGCGATGATGAAGACTTGCAAAAGGCGATATATAATTGTGAGTTGCATTAGCTCGAGTTCTCAGTTAGATTGCACTCATCCAACGTTATACCCAGATATTTCAACCATGTCCACGCTTGAGGAATTTAATCGAGACCTAAAAGTCGGCCTTCCGTGGCCACCTAGAACCTTTTTCTTTGATCGCCCTAGCATATGGCAACTTGGAAACTCTAGTATCACTCTCGAGGCTCCGTCCTTGAATATCACTTGGGCAAAGAACACTGAGTTGGACGTCTCACCAAAACTCAAACACTGGCTGTACACAGACGGCGACTCCCAAGGAGATGTCTTCGACGCTTTTTACGTTCACGCGCATGGGTCTTGCAGGCCTAATGAGACCTACCAATGGGGTTTCTCCTATATCTTCCTGTTTATGGTTAGCATTTTTAATTTCGTCTGGAGTTGTATAATGGTGGGAATGTGGCTGGACACGCGGAGAGGGAGCAGGATGTATAAGAGTGGGCGGAGACCTGGGTTGCTGAGAAGCATAATGGATATATCGGGCGCGATTAGAGAAGAGTTGGGTGTGGAGGTTGATAATATGGAAGAGCAAGAATTGAGGAAACGATTGAACGCCTCGAGAGGCGCGCTCTGGGTCCCGAGAAAAGAGCTGAAAATCACGAAGGCAGACTTAGGCGATCAGGGGTTCAAACACAGAGGGCGGTGGAAGACGTTGACACAAGGGTCTACTTTTTGATGAATTCGATCTGACTTCTACCCTTCTAATTCTGATGCCTTTACTCTTTTCTCGGCAAATCCGTACTCGTACAAACTCCCTCCCATTCCTTCAACAACTTCAGCGTCTCCTCACACTTCTCCTTGATTGTTTCGTAGCAGTCTCTGCCTAGGGGTAGTCTAAAAGGCACCTCCTTGCCCTCTGCAACTCCCTCCTTCCTCACGAGATCCAGAATAATTTCTACGGCCTTTAATGGATCTCCCGGTTGCTTCCCATCCTCATTCTGCGCCAGATACGCAATGAAATTTCTGGACGCTTCTTCGTAGTCAGGGATATGCGATTGCTTGGTGCGCAGGTTTCCCGGAGAGAGAAACTTTGTTCGGAAGCGGCCTGGTTCTATCATGAGGGTCTTGATTCCGAATTGCTCGGTTTCCCACCGTAGACCTTCTACAATACCTATCGACATGATCAGTTTGCAAGAAATATCGAGAGAGCGATGACATGAGTGCATACCTTCCAGCGCAAACTTTGACCCGGAATAAGCACTGCAAAATGCATCACCGTACCACCCCGACCTAGAACTAAGGAATACTATGGTCCCAGCTTTTCTCTCACGGAGGTGCGGCAACACGGCTCGTGTCACTTTAATCACTCCAAGGACATTCGCGTCGAATTCTGCAAGCCACTCGCCATACCTAGCACACCACCATTAGCCCCTTCTTCCTATCCGCGATCAAGCAAACTCATACTTACTCAAGGTCTTCCCAAGCCCCTGTTTGAATGTACGCGGCATTGTTTACCAGCACATCAATTCTGCCGTATATCGCAATAGCCTTTACAATCGTGGCATTCAGGCTTTGCTGGGAATCTGTGACATCGAGTTGGAGAACGGCAGCGCCTGATTCTTGGAGAGAAGAGAGTTTAGAAAGCGTACGTCCGGTTGCAATAACTTTGTCGCCGCGAGAGAGGATTTGTTGGACCATGAGTGAGCCGAAGCCAGATGTGCAGCCGGTGATCAGCCAGACGAGCGGCGCCATTGTGAATTTGGATGATGTGGTAGAATTGATGGAAGTGGAATGAAAAAAGGTTTTTATGGAAGTAAGGAGCGATATTTCTGATAGTCAGTCCTACGACCTTTCTAATACCTTCGACCAGTGTTGAACCTGGACCTGCGATGTGCAAATTGGAACTCACTTGACGCGAACCCAGCTGACGCCAGCGAATCAACGGGTGCCTAACACATAAGTGAGTCATTGCAAAAAACCAAGAGAAATGTGCGCTCAAAAGTTTAGGCATTCGATCGTTCGAAGATGGAGGTAAGGGAGGTAAGCACAAAGTCCGTGCGCCTTCGGCCGAACTCCAAAGAATCTCCGTCAGCAATGTTTGCTGTATCTACAATATCACAATTAAGGTAGAATATCCCTTTGAATGGCGAGGCTGTTGGCAACCTTACTGGGAAAGCTGGCAGGAGAGAGAAATCAATCGCAGTGTGGTAAGGTTAGGAAACTTATTTTTCTTCTACAAGTTGGATTGTAGGCGACATTCGGACGAATATACTTTCATGAGCCAAAACCAAACCCGTGACCACCCATTTTGCATACGCCTCTTGAGTTTTGATCCAATTAAAACAATTTTATAGCAAACAGTGGTTTTTCAATCAAGATGATACGCGCAATCGTCATACTTGGGACTGACTAGAAGATGATTATATACCCCCTTGTCTTACTATGCACGAGAACCTACCGAACTTAGGAATCCACCTGAGTATGGAAGTCAAAAAATATTGCACTATACAAGATTGCTCTGGTAGATATCTAGGTTCCTAGTAACGTTACTCTTGGTGATGGTTCTAAATTGCGCTAGGTGTGCATGGTCCTATTCACTTAACCAAGAATGCAGTCGATACCTTGGAGCGAAGACTTCACAAGCAACTTTTTCGTCAATGAGAACGGAAATCAATCACATATTCACTAAATAACACTATTAGAATAACTTTTCATCTCCGGTTATACCTTTGGCTAGATAGCGCTACGGTCATGCTATTATATTCAATTTCCCCTCTTCTTGGATGATTTACCACTGTGTAGTTTCAGCGGCAACCGAAGATGCCATAGCCAGAAACCTCTATTCTTGCCAACTGTTCCCTTGAACTTTCAGTCGCCATGGCTCTGCATCCATGAAGAGTTCGAAGGCAAGCAGCAAAGTCATCCATGCTATTATCCACGCTATCGATGAATAGACTCTCTTGAAAGCCGAACTCAAAGAAACCATCGAAGTTGCCATTAGCAAACAAATGTTTGGATTTGGTCATCTGCTTGATGGAGTGGGGCGTTGGCATGTGTTCAAAATGTATTTTCGGACCAAACTACCTCTACACGAAGTGGATGTGTTTTCTTAGCTTAGAATAACTATTCTAATTAGTGAAATAGGCGCCGACCGTTGCAACCAGCTGCTAGTAGAGCTTGAGCGCTCTTGAGCTCCACTGTTCCCCTCCAAGCGCTTTCTCGTAAATGATGCGGGCGAGATTCTGCAGCTTCATTGCCAGGACTGGAGCATCCTAATCGCTCCATTGACAAACTGGTCACTCAGATCATCGGGAAGAGCGGAAAGTAGAGCTTTTAGCGTTGAGTTAAGACTGAAGTATCTCCCATGGCGGGAAGCAGCTGCTAATACGGGAATCTCTCTAAGAAATTTTGTAGGTGGAGGTGGGTGGTGCTCTAGTTAGTTGTTACGTGGACGAGAAGGTGTCGACTTCAGGATAAATACTCATTGCGGGCAAGACGAGATGCGTGTAAAGTTTATGTGGTTGCGCGATGTAGTAATGCAAACAAACTAGTGAATCAACCGAGATATGATGGTGTCTTCATGTTCAGTGACCCCATCTCTTTCGATATTTCCAAATTGGGTACCTCCGAATCGCATCGCGAATCAATCCTCAACTCCCTGCCGGGTCGGCCCTCGTAGTCGTACTGTGCAAGCGGGAGCCGCTGGGACCAGCAGGTCCGGGGCTACGCAATATTCCGACTGTTGGATACACAACGGCTAGCGTGGGAGGTATCTGCCATTAAGGTGTTCAACAAGACATAGTACGTTTGGTACGTTTTCAGAATTTACGGTCACTGAAGTCGTATAATCGTAGGGACTTCGTGAGCCGACCCTCACGACTGATAAGGCCATAGATTCTAATCATGGTGCGTTTGGAGTAGCGTTGTCTATTGACTGGAACTAGGTTGGTGCACGTTTGGGTGGGATCTGTGGCACTGATAGGCGTAGTTTTGTAACACAAGTAGAGACTTATGTATAACCCACTATGATAGTAGTATGACAAGAAGCTTGCCGTCTCACCTAAACTTTTATCCTGATCCCATTTTTCTTGACCCTCATCAATATGAGCATGTTGAACTTTCGAGGTGGCTGTTGTTGGGTTCACTCTAGACGATCCTCAAGATCATTAGTCCCGTCAGCCAACCACCATGAATCTTCGTACAGGATGCCCAGAATATAAAAGTGTGTTAGAAGTCCCCCCAGCCTAAGTTCGCATTTTCGCTCAAAGATCTGCTCCAAAGTTTGACGTCCCTGAGCGAGTTTCTGGAAACGCGGTCCTACCGGCATGGTTAGATCCACGATGACTTCGAAAATCTTGTCATCTATTTAATCTTCTGGATTTAGAAGATCATGGATCAAGCGATCGTCATCAGTGTGACTTATGAGTCCACGCCGAGAGAGCCAACCCAGAATCATCACGAATCCAAGAGGAATACTGAATTTTTCGAGATCCTGGTAGTAAATTTTCCGCGTAATGGGGTGGACAACCAGCAAATTTTCCTTGGAAGAAGGTCCCGTCCTGGGCCCGCATCACGTTTTATGTAATCACGGAATCAATCAGGAGCAACATCACCGTGATAACAAGCAATATTCAAGATTTTGCGGACGCCCATTCCTCCCCCGTTGAAGCAGGGTCCAACATAGCTTCGATAAGACGCCAGAGAAGATCATATCCAAATTTGTGACCTGAAATATCTACAAGCGTTAGACTGTGATATCATATTGATCATATCGTTTAGGCTTACCATTGACCCCATCTTCTAATATCACTATTTGCCAAATCTTTTAATAGGCCGAGCGGTTTTTATAAGCCCTGTTTTACACTACAACAATTCGGCATGTCTACGGAGCTTCTTAGAAATTAGGATAAAGTATCTAGTCTTTAGTGCAGAAATCGCTGTTGAGGTTTTGCACCAAAAAAGATTGTTTTCTTTCCCAAAGAAATAGCTTTTGTGCTTGACATAACTGCTCGACGGATATTCAAAAGGGTGAGACTAGGGATATAGTGTCTTCCAATCCGCAGGGTCTATTTTGCGGTATATTCTAGTCCAATTGATAGACAATTGGAACACTTCAAATTAGAGCAGGAACGGTACCTACAAACCTTTTTAAAAGAACTTGATTTTTAAACCTAAATATTTTAACAAAAAGACCTTAAATTATGAAATTTCTAGAATGGGACCTTAGGCCTAATTTGTAGCCTTTTCTCAGGTTTTAAAGTGCACAGCCATTCGTTGTTGAGATAAAGGAAGCCAGAACAAATTTACTTAGATATAGCTCTCTTTTGTTAAAAAAACATTTTTAACAATCATTTACCTGCACTCTCTGAACTTGTAATAGATGCAGTAAATTAGGCTCAGTAGCTTAGATGGAAATTGAATAATACATGAATTAGTAGTTGTTGAGATACCTAGGTATAGAATTCCAAATCCTTAGTCAGTTCCATGTGGATAGCTCGCTTTGACGGTAAATGTTGAGGAAAACTAGACAACAGGAATAGCCAAAAAATTTTGAGAACCCTGTGTCATATGCACTCGGCTTTATTTACCGTACCGTACTCGGAAATCTAAAGCGAGGGTCTTACCAGAGCACTATACTTCCATTATGCAGCCACAACGTGGTGTAACCGCGACTAGGGTGCAAATATATGTATCCACCCCATCGAAAGGATTCATAAACTACGAATATTGAAAAACAAACTGCATTTCTCGTGGCATCGTCTTTACGTAGGCAGTAGCGTCGAACCAGGCATTTGGCATGTTGCCACACATTTTCCGACATACTGTGGAATGGGGCGCTGTCGCATCTGCTTTTCAGGGTAGGAGAGATACTCACGTCATTGCAGGTATCATAATACACCGAAAGAGGTTGAGTGGGGAGATCAAAGGTCTCGTGGACTGGATGCGCAAGTGGCCTTACATCAGGGGATCCGACCGTCGTGGCTACAAGGCACGATGCCGGAGCAAGAGCAGAGGCGCCTTTTCAAGAGTGGATATAGGGAACCCGATGAAGCTTTCGTTTGTTGTTGATGTCTCTTGCAGCCTAGGTCGTGATGATGACGTCGTGCATGAATATTTGAGGTGGTGACTTTCGTTAGGTACATCAATATTGCACGTGACCCCCGGCATTGTATGCCGCCCCAATCATCACTTCTCATCGCACCGCAGATCAACCCCTTTCTTATAAATAACGACGTATATGTAGAATAGTTCTAGGATTTGCAGGGCGGGATAGAGACAGTTACCGTAGACGGCCCGCTCGATTTAGAGGCAATTCCTGCAACAATCGTTGAGTTGCGAACCAGTGTGCTACGATGTGAAGGAAAGGGCACTGGACAGGGAGGAGACCTGAACATGAACACTTCTGATCGAAATTCTCGGGCAATATGAGCTAACAGTGTGAGATGCAGGTGTGGGGTTTGTGGATGAAATGGTTCACGACCGTCCTGCGCAACGCTGGGGATCGATATTTTGGCGAGGGTTCACTTTCAGCCCCTCACGAAACTCCCCAGTGGAGTGATGCGTGCCGCAATTGCTACCAAGATAACCACGGTCAGTTAGAGATACTGAGATAAAAAGCGGCGGCATGGCCCCTTCCAGATCCTGCGAAGGTTGAGGACGGCAAACGCGTCGAGAGAGCGACTTACACCGATGCACTATTCGCCCCCAATATTTGTCCAGATTCGATCCTGCACACCTGCGCGGCTGGAGTTCCCCGGGTGGGTGGAGTGATAAAGGACTGTGTTGGGGCTTGACGTGGTTCGACTGGCGGGGATGCGCTGTCCGCGAACCCTTGGCTGGATTAGCTGTAAATAATATACTGCTTCGACTTTTCCCTATCTTCTTATGTATTACAAACTTGCTCCCCAGCTAGCACAGCAATTTAGTCTATAAGCTTACAATCGCGAAATATGTTGTTTTAGGTAGAAAAATATACTAACATGTTATATAGTTTTAGAAAGAGCAAGCAAGATCTTTAAAGTTCTTTTAGCGTAGATTATACCTAGATTCTCTTATTGGAAAAAGATTGGAAAATCTAAGGCCTCGAAGTTGCTCTTATACTAAGCTTTTTGCATATACCAACCATTAGGTACATCTAAAGGGCTATTTTCTTCTTGGCTCTCTATAGCAGGCTAACTTCCTAACAATATAAACATTAAGACTTAGAGTAGTTCTATGCACTTTAGAGAGTCCATTATCTCATCTGAACTAGCCGCAAAGGCTAAGGGCTATTCGCTGAGAAGGCACCCCAAACCGTGAAAAGATACAAAAGGGCGTGCACGGGCTCAACGCACACAAGTTTGGAGCCCACCGCCACCACGCCAATTGCCCTTCCCATTTTGACTGACTCACCTTCCGTTTCCCACTTAGCGTGGTGCCAAACATTATGTCCACCCTCAACTCTGCGACACTTTGACCATGCCCGATATGTTTCGACCACTGCTCCCCCAACCTCCTGGCGGTCGTCCGGACCGTGGCGGTGCACAACCGCCATACCCGCCTTCCACTGAAGGCAAGAAGAGGAAGGTGGTGACAGCAGCGTGCAATGCTTGCCGCAAGCGCAAGACTAAGGTTGCTTGAGTCCGCCGAAGAGGTTCCGCACGCGCTCATTAGCCACTCCAGTGCGATGCCCAGCGTCCACGATGTAGTGTCTGCATCTCTCGCAACGCGGATTGCGACTACGACACCGTTTCTACCGAGACTCACAGCCAGGCACTAAAGCGCAAGTTTGATGAACTTCAGCAAAGCAAGAGCACGTACGAGCAGATTTTCGACATGCTTAAGGCGAGGACCGAGCAAGAAGCTACAATCATTATGCAAAGAATTCGGAACGGTGTTGATGCCGACACTATCATCCGCCATGTCGAGGATGGAGACCTCCTTCTTCAGCTTTCTCTCGTACCCGAAACACGATATCGCTATGATTTTCCGTTTATCACTGACATGCCTTCTTTTCTCCAGCTGCCTGATAACGTCTACCTCAAATCTCTACTATATGAGGCCATGTTTAGCGGTCCATCAGCTCAACAGCAGTCATCTAATATAGTAAGACAGACCGCGGAATACCAGGCGATGTACTTGAAGCCTTATCACTCGGGGACACCGAGAAGCCGAGCGCTTCAGGCAATGAAAGCCGCCATCCTATGTTTTGCCAACGTTCTTTGCGTTTTAAGGAGCTATCAATTTCTCATACTTCCTCTTCCTCTTCCTCTTCCTCTTCTTCTTCTTCTTCCTCCTCCTCCTCACCTTCTTCACTTTCATCTTCGCCCTTCTCCTTTCCCTTGCTAGCGTCCTTAAAAGCCTCAAGATCATCAGGACAAATGCGCTTGCAAAGCTCCTTCATATCTTCAAAACAACTTGGGGATAGGCCCTTAGCTACAAATATCGATGTGACAGGCAGAATGGACAGAATGGAGACTTACCTTTCGCGGTAATTGGCGCCCGGGATCAGCCATGCGGCAGTGATGTTGACTCGGAGCGAATACAGCAGGTTTCTTGAATCCCAGTCTTCCTCTACACCAAGCGTCAAAATCATTTTCGAGAAATAGACGCAATAGAAGTACACACCTGGCTCGCTTGCAGGAAAATGTCGCTTGTAACTCCTGATATACGTTCTACTGCTCAACCGATGCCTTGGAGTCCTCCAATTTCCGAGCTCAAACTCATTGTGCGCATAAAACGCTGTTCCATCGAAAACGAAGGGCTCCCCATTCCGTAGATCCGTCGCTGTATTCCCATCCCAGATATTCCCATGAACCAAGCAAGGTTTAATCGATCTCCCCTTGCTTTGTAGCGGACCTAGAAGCCTTGGGATGCACTTATCAAGGATAAGCTGTGCACAGTATTCATACTCCGGCCAGGAAGGTTGCTTCGCCTTATCCATCTCAAAGACATGTTCCAGCTGTTTGTGGAAAAGAACTTCCCACGAGTCTTCCCAGCAGTCTGTGAGCTGGGCCGCTTTGCCGTGACACGTGGTGACGTGAAAGCCGAATTTGCCTGTTGGTGAGACTGATCTCTTATGTAATTCTGCTAGACGCTGCGTAAAGCGCGTTGGTTCTGGTGGCTGTTGGCCAATGTGGCGGAATTCAGCCAGAAGGAAATAGTTTGCCGGTCCTGGAGCTTCGTATTTACCCCAGGCATATGGCTTGGGGCAGAAGGAGTGAATTACTTCGTAGACTGCCTTGTCGGACTCATATTGGCCCTCCGCCATAAGACGATCACTTTCGCCTGTAGTCACCTGGAGATGGTTTAGCAAGTAATAATGTTGAGAAATCTCAAAAAGGAACCTTTAAAAAGTAGACTACTACCTCGCCGGAAGGTAGGCGGCAAGTCAAACGTGCCTGGCGAGCCCAGACCCACATGCCGTAAGCATGGCAGGAAATGACCTCAGTACCAGGTATAGGAAGTGCTACGTGGAGCAATTTAGCGAAGACCATTCGCGTGATGGGACCGCATGCGAACCTTTCACAACAGCTTGGTCAACCTCAAAAGTACCTTCAATAGCAGCTTTTCCAAGTCCATCTTGACGAGTGGACATTGTAGTTGAATTGTTTTTGGGAGCTATCTGAGTAGATAGAGTGAAGAGTAATCTTGGGCGCTAAGAAGTAGGTAGCTATTTGAAACACTCAAAATTTACGCTTTGCTGTTAATTCTTACTCAGACTGAGTCCCAATCAGTCCGCACACTGCGCTTCTAAAACAATCGACTCGGCCGTGGGGCTTAAAATTTGTCTCACGTAATTGCCTCAAACCTAATCGTGTAAGAGTAGGGCTAAGAAGATTACTAGAGGTCGTGGAACGTAGCGTTCGAGTACAGCTTTTACAAATCACACGCTTCCACTCACAGCTATGTTCCCGTCAAAGTTTAAATTGCTGCATGAATTACTGCATCCGGAGTCATTGAGCGAGGTTGCGACGCCCTTTCCACCCATAACTGTCACCCCACTGCCATTTCCCCGCTTTGGTCAGCCATCCCTCGCCACCAATCATCTGCATTGGGGCGTGGAATCGAAGACGGCTTGCCGCCCGGCAAAGTTGAAGCGGGATGAGCTCGGTTCATGCCTTATCGAGGTGGCTGGCCATCCCCTTATTGGCGCGTTCGCAAACAGGCTGCTCGTGCTTTTGCGGGCTGATACGACAAAATGAAACAGGCTCGGAATCCCAGATTAGTTCAATGTGGAGGGGCCGGATGGTGGGAAAGGCTCAGAAGATTGTATGCATGTTGTTGTGTTCTATTAGTGTGATCAAGGTTGGCTAGCGTCGCGAGATCTCGGTACGCTACCAACCTAGCAACCTCCACCACAGTGACGTTCAGCAGTCTTATCCTTCTAAGGTCGAAAAAATTACGATGAAGCATATCATCTGCGTTGGCGCATGCTATCTTGACACAATCCTGACGTAAGCCCCATTATTCTTGCGTCTTCAACCTCATCTGTAAACTCATCAGGGTCCCGAAATTCCCCACCGAAGACTCCAAGCTACGCGCAACGAAACTAACCCGCCGGTTGGGTGGAAACTGCCCCAACACGCTCTCGGTCCTGGAACAATTCATCGATGAGTCTATAGAACTCCATTTCCTAGCTGTGCTCCCTTCAGAACATTCTGGCGCCACAAAATTCATCCGCGACTCTTACTCCAAGGTTCAGATCGATCCATCATGCATATATCGGGTCGCGTATGATGAGTCTCCATCGAGCTATATTTTCCAGAACGGGGAAACAAATTCCAGAACCATCGTTAATTACAACGAGCTGCCAGAAATGACGAAGGAGGAGTTTGTACATCAAGCTCATTTACTGTCAGTGTCAAAGGAAGCGGTGGAAGGGTGGTATCACTTTGAGGTGCATATGAGTTCATTTTATTTGACTGTGAAAGAGTACTGTAGGAATAGTTAATGATTGATGGAGTTTGATGGAGTGCTCCTTAGTATTTCATTACCACGATTTGGGATTCCGAAGTCTATAGAATTGCCGGCTTTCTTCACTCGCAGCTATCACTATTGAAGTACAACTCTTTCTAACCCTACAGCAGGGTCGGATCCCAGACATCATCCTCCATGGTATCAAATATCTCCGCGCCTCGCTTCCCGGATTTAAGATCAGTGTCGAGGCTGAGAAACCAGGTCGCGAAGGACTTCAAGAGCTAGCAAGTGCTGCAGATGCGGTCTTCTTTTCAAGATCTTGGGCAGAGGTAGACTGGAAATTTCTTAAATCACGCTACTTTCGGCTCTCCGACTAATCAAATAGTAGGGCCACAATTACTCATCGGCAAAGGAATGTCTCACCGCCCAAGCTACTCTAACCCTACCGGACGCTCTACTGTGCTGCACTTGGGGCTCAGCGGGTGCGGTCGCACTACAAAAGTCAGGCGATGGTACAGAGGTCTGGCAGAGCGTCAACGCCTGGACTATGAAGACTCGGGAGGTAAGGGATACGATAGGTGCCGGCGACACGTTTATCGCTGGGATGCTCTTCGCTCTGAGCCATCACGGTGAGAATTGGAGCTTGAAGCAGAAACTCGAGTTTGCAAATGAACTTGCGGGTCGGAAAGTGATTCAAGAAGGTTTCGCTGACCTGGCTGGGCAGATGGGACTTAACACTAAGCTGCCCTGGTATACGCCCAAACTGGCGTGAGCCCATGCGGCATTACCATGAAGGTGCCAGTATACGGTATAGCTCTATATCCAAACAGTCACCAACAGCCTGACTTAAAGTATTGCTTCAGCGGGAACAGCTCAAACTTCTTACACATCATGCGGACAATGATTTGAAGTGCGAAGATCCGCGCCTTCTAATCTCTAATTCGGGGTGCTTCGTCATAGAGAAGTGCTAGTCTGCTTCCCTCTTCGTCTCACGCTTCTCCAATTGCCCACTATTTCAATGTCCACTATATCTGTTATGACTCGCATGCCGAAAAATATTATCATTACCATTGTCCGTACGTAAGTACGGCTGCGTCTGTACATGCGTACAGCTGAATTAAGTTGCCTGAAACAGTTGGCTATCTGGCCCGTGCGTTAGGGGCTATGTGTACTTAACAGCCCTCTTTCTTCGTACGAAGAGAGAGGGCAGTAGTCAATTATAAGAAGATTCTTGCCTGCTCACCCTTGTCACAGGCTGTACGCTTAGCGTACAGCTGCCCACCACCTACCGCGTGCGTAGCCACGCAGAGAAGGGACCCACTACCAGATGCGCAGCCATCTAGAGGAGTGAGCCAACCGACAACCATCGTTATTCCGTAGAATGCTGATGGATCAATTCTCGACGGCATTACCTCGTCAAACCTCGCTTTTTCTTTGCTTTCCTTCTGAATTATGCGGCACAATCTGGGAGCTGATATACGGACGCCGAGACATACCTATCGATCATCCATAGCTTTGCGAAAATGAACCTGATATCCACATGCTCTACACATTTCTTTTTAGAATTCACCTCAAAATACATCATTTGCCCCAGAATATCCACTTACTCTCCTTTCCCATCTGCAGAACACTGCTGAGACTTCTTAGCGGACAGTATAGGCACATTCACACAATTAAAGATCCCGCTTGTTTGAAAGTAGTTGTGGAAGTTTGGGATGGGGGTTGCGTTAAATTTACATCCGGCTTCTAACTCCGGGTCGGCACGACCCTGCTTCGCGAATACCTAAGCTAAGAATAAAGTAAACCGCAGCTGGTACAACATCTTTGCATTAATCTCCGTCAAATCCCACCCACAGACTATCGACCAAGTGGCCTGGGTCAGAGGCATTCGAGGGATGCTGTGACACATTGCACCTCACCCTTCCTAACCAAATTTCGCAATGTTAAGATTGTGAAATTTATTGTCTCGCTCCCTTCATCAGTGAACAGTTACAGCAGTTTGACTTGGCGGTCGGGGAACACTAACGCTTGCTTAAGAATTCGTGGAAGCTTGGGGGGCTGGTGGTTCTCATTCAGGCATTGAGTATGTTGGGATTGGGGAAGGGAAATGCGAGCGTCAGGTTTTGCAGGAGTTTCCGGGAAATCAGGGGTGGTGGAAGTTGTATCCGAGTGAAGTGCTGGGGGTGGAAGTTCGGGAGAAGGGAGGTGTTGGTTGAGGGGTTAGTGGAAGGGATTTTTGTGGAAAGTTGAAAGAGGGTGTTGAGGCAGACTTGCATGTTTTCAGCACTATGGTAGCGGATGGTGACAAGATAGCTAAACTAGAGTAAAACGATGAGGATACATTTAGGAGTGATACAGTATAGTGGGAACTAGCCAACCAGGAAAACCTGGAGTCAGCCAGGTGGGCTAAGTGCTAAGTTCTAAACCTTAGGTAACAGAATTCTTCAGGATTAAAGGTTTGCTAGGGAACTGCATCACAATTTTCTCATTTATTAGTTATCTCCTTCTCAAAGCTTGTTTAGCGGAAGATATAACCCCTCAAGCTCAATACATAAACCCATACCCCCAAAAACACCACTGTGTGCCCGCCGGCAGTACTAACCTCACCTAGACGAGCACAGGCTGAATGTAGATTTGGGACACCAAGTTGTGATACTGATGTCATGTGAGGCTATTATCTCGATGTACTCCACATAGTCATATATTCAACTAGTACAACCTAGAATAACCTATAATACGCTCTCCTCGCCTCTTCTACGTTTGTCGGCGAAATTGTCCAATACCATCTGGGAAGTCATCTTCGGCGCAACAATTTTCATGTAGCGATTCTAGCGCATGGACTAATTCGCGGACAAACCAGTAACCTTATATGCTCCATAACTGCCTCCAATGGTTATCAGCACGGTTCAGTACTAGTTTATGCTACATCTAAAGCTTGCTGCAATCTTCCGACCCACACCTTTTGCCCTTGCTAGCTTCATCCCATCAGATTTCACTCACTCATGCAAGATCCCTCTCGCCAGCAGGAAATTCTACCCTAGAGTCATTCATACCACGGCTAGAATCTGCACCTTTAGTTTCGGAGCTAAGGGTACAAATAGCCCACCTTCTGCGATTTACCCAATTGCCCATAATTCTGCTTAACGCAATGCACCAGATCTACATCAATATCTACTACATGTGTTCGAATCCTCGGAGCAGCAGCACCTTGACCTCACATTACAGCCGAAATAAATCCACACTCGTTCCCAGTTATTTCGGGGTGGTTTGGGCAGATCATAGAGCGTGTCTAACATTAGTCTTTTCGTGTAAAGGACGCTTTTTCTTCTCCCAGGTAAATAAGACGGTTAAGAATCCTACAGTGTTTAAGAATAACGAGGATGAATTTGGCGATATGCCGCGATTTGCGAGGGATTTAATCAGCTGAAAATGAAGGGTGTGAGGGGTGAGCTGATGCAGGGCTTCCAACAGGGCGTTCTACGGTCCGTACAAAGTGAACCGCAACGGTCACGAGTTCAGTACAAACGTACCCAGTTCGTGAGATGCACTGTACTTTTAGTGATGCCCTAGGTACGGTACATATTACGGGTTTTATTACCCCTTTAAGAAGTTTGTATAGCAATTCTAGAGGGGTACAAGGGCTCTAGCAATCAGTAGGCCTGCATGGAACGTTTAGGGGATTTTCTAGAGCTTTAATTAGCTAAAGGGTTTGCAAGGGCGCTTAAATCTCTTTCTAAGTGTTTTACTGTACCTATTTTCTACTGCAGAGTTAGGCATCTACGCGTTTTACAAGGCTTACCTAGTTAATTAGACACCTCTGTAGTCCATTTTACGCACTCTTGTAGGCTGTAGAAGCTGAGAGCCCTCTACAATGCGTCTCCTGTCTCATCCTGCGATAGTACGCTGTCTGTAGCTAAAGAGTAATTGTAGCGGGCAATGTAATCTACCCCTAGGCACCTATTATCTTAGCTGTTTTAACGAGAGCACGCCGTACTTTAATTTAAGTGTACTAACTGTACAGATCACGTGCGCTGTAACAGTTCCAGTACGGCTCCTCCTCTCATCCTCCCTGCCGTACGAACTTATACACAATCTCACTCGTACAGGCCTTCAAATCGCCGAATAGTGCAGTACTGCGTCTCGTTAGAAGTGGTCAGCTGATGTGTCTTTTTGGGAGAAATTTCCGATACATGGTCCCCAGCTTACGATTCAAGGACCTGGCGAGGGTAGATGGAATTATGAGGGAGGGAACACAGTGACATGTTAATCTCTCTTAATATCTCACATCATAACTCATCCCCCTCCGGGGGCCCTCGCCACCCGCTATCCCCAATCGTTCTCGTCCTATATACCCCCTATAGCATACTATAAATCTATATTGGAAATATGTTGTGGCAAGTGACATAGGAGGCGGGTACGCTAGTAGGGAGCATGAACCGACTCGCCTTGCCGCACCCTTGGGAACTCAGCCTGTAATAAAGGTGTACGCTATTGTATAGTGAGAAAATACGTGCCTTGCAAAGGATTGAAGCGTAAAAGGTAGGAGTGCTAAGACTTTCGCTTACAAATGGTCACGGCAGGAGTAGCACGGAAGCCGATTTCGCTAACGACTGGAAACTCTAGTCAGGAGCTCCGCAAGTGTGTTATAAAGAATTGTACTGCACCGTACATAGCTTACTAGGTAGGCTTTATAATACCAGGTGAAAGGAAGCCCTGGGGAATCCTTCATACACATCCATGCTAGTCTGAGTCTATTTATAACGAAGAATAATTCTAGTTACAAAATTCTCGTCTCCATATTCCAGTCAACAGCCTTTCCTGACCGTGGCATATTGTGTGGATCGCCTACCGATGTCTCCTGTAAACTCTAGTGGAGAGGAGAACCGGCCGAAAGAGTATGTCTTCTTGAGTACAATCGGGAGTGGTGCTGGCAGGACGGTATTTTTTGCAGCGAAAGGAACCGTTCTTTCGACCTGAAGGACGGACTCAAGAGTGCTGCCCTTGCAATTCCCTACATCATATCTGTCCTCGAGTAAGGCCGTATCATCAAGCAATTGCGTTGCGTAGAAGATCCCTGGCAATCTCGGAAAGAGATCAAGAATCTCTAGCAGCTCGGTCTTGACCAAGGAGTATTCCATCATCGGGTATTTCGATTGTTAGACTGTAGTCTGGGAAGTGTTGTGGTGTGGATGGTCGCAACAGCAGGGATTGGGCCACCTTTGGAGGAGCTTGTATCGCACTTCCGCTGCTCTGATGTCCCCAATCCTAGAGGTATTCATACTTCACACATTCGTCTAGATTGTTGAAGCAATGTGATTCCTCACCAAAGATCCCCCCATTGTATCTTGTGATTGGCACGATAAAAACATGATAGTCGATACCGAGCGGCAACATTTCCCTGGAATGCCAGATCTAATGGTTGTCGAATTTGAATTGGCGGAGTTTTGTGATGAATGTATTCAGTGGGAGACGTGGCCTTCGGGCTAAGCTATGAAGGTGAGTTTTTCTGTAGATGTACCTAGATGGCTAGTAGACTCCCAGGGACTATAAGTTAATGTTAAATTGGGCGTCGTACAGAGACGTGTACAGAGCCCTCAGAAATCTAGTTTGGTGTAATTAAACCTGACAGATATATGACGGTTCTTTCCGCTCACTCACGGGTAAATCTCAAAGGATACTCTTCAAATCTACCACTGGGGAGCACTTCTTCGCGGACTCTGACATTTGCATCATCGAGTAGTATTAAGCCCCGTTCGGAGAGACGGTCATTAAAGGCGAATAACTTAGGTGAAAGGAGACGAGACTGGTCAAATGACCCAAGGGGTTAGCATATCAACTAGAATCAAGGAGGAGCTAGTAGGGCAATCTAGAAGGAAGCCTTAAGAATGTCATCTTACAGGTCCATTAATGTAGAGAGAACAAGAATATTTGTTAGAGTGTTCCCAGCGTCAACGATTGTTAGCAATGTCAGACAATATTGTCGGGGGCAACACTATTCACGACTCCCCATCAATGTGATGTATCATGTGTCTATCTTCGTGGATATTTCAAAGATGTCCATCGGTTGTCCGGGTTTCGACGCAAATCATTGGATATGCCGCAATACTGAGGGACAACCGACCAGATGATCATAAGCGAAGGCTGCGTCACCAATTTTCTCGGCAGAGATAACGAATGGCGTGTTTGCAGTTTGCGGCTGAGATGGGGCTGTCGGCATCGGGGGCTGTGGTGGCTCCAAACATCGCTTACTGCTTACCGAGCTATCGGCGAGTCGGCGATTTTGCTTCGTCTTTGGCTCCAACACCCCGCTGTAGATCTCCATCTCGGGGCCGGAGGACGAGAGGCTGGAGTAGGCGTCCTTTCATCTGTTATTAGTCCTCCAATCCCTAATTGCGTTCGTTTTCGATAGGTTTTCTGGAACAATACACAATGCAGGTTCCCCTCTTTTCCGCGCACCACTGTACAGCCGACATAAAGTCTCGGACGCGAAAGAAACGAGGGGAAAACAGGTATAAGAATGCAGCGATGAGCTGTTCTCAAGGACATACAGCAATCAACAGCAACTCTACAAATACATTCAATAACTACTCTTTCGAAATTTAAACTCGTTTCGCTCCCCCAGAAAAGTACAGACGAATCATCATGTCTTATCAACCCACCAACCTTCCACAGTCCTCTGTGAACCACACCTGGGGCCAACTCCTGCCCTCCCTCAATGGACTATATGACGCCCAGTTGGACGAACGCTTTGACATGGAAGATCCTATCACAACCTCCATGGCACCTCAATCCGCACCAGTCGCCGTTGCTATCTTGGAGAAGCCGAAGCCCTCGAGGCCGTTAGAGAGGGCCCACCATCATGTAAAACCTAAGACGTCCAAGAAGTCCGAAAGTGAACCCCAACACCCCACTGCAATCCACTCTTGGAGTCAGCTTTCTCTGGCTAGCACCCTGTCTGAGGAAGACTTCGAGGCCCGCTTCGCTGCCGAAGAGGAAGAATTGACACGCGCTGGCATCATCAAAGAGCCAACTTCAACCGCTGACAACAACAACGCTCCCTCTCTCCCCAAAGACCAAGACCAAACTAAGAAACTTGCTTGCATTGTCAAGAATACCAGAACGCCATCTGACTGCGTCGCCGCCCAAATCGCCTGGAGTTCGTCTCGCAATGCCTCAAGCAATGATCATGATATAGCCATCGATGATCAATTCAACGATCATTTCATGAATGAAGAGCAAGAGCTCATACTAGCCAACGCAATTAAACAAGCTAGGACACCATCAGCCTCTGTCGCCGCTCAAATCTCCTGGAGCGAAGCACGGGCTCGTGCCCGTGAGGTCGAAAACATGGAACCGTTTCAAGCGAACTACTCCTGGAGCCAAGTCTTGCCTTCCTTGTCCTCTGCTGCTTGAGGCACTCTTACCTGGGTGTCTGTCGGAGCATTTTTGCCATGATTATTCGGAGGAATGGGTTAGCTATTGGCTTGTGAGCCGAACATGCTTCAAGTAGTCATTCAAGTAGTCATTCATATAGTTCGTAGTTTATCATAGCAATCTCAAATCTAGCATTATAAAACAATATCCACACGCTCTTTCTTTCTCCCCCCGAAGCAAATCTCGCACTCCTCGGTAATATCTGAAAGTCGATCTGTATAAGCACCACATGAGCCCTTGTCTAGCATGCACGCTAAGATCTAACCTGATCTTCTTATGTTCCCGGAAAATAATCATTAGCGCCTTCGACCCCGCATATCCTGACCCTGCATTGTCAGGCCGCTGACCTCAAAAACTAAACATCTAGGTCCAGCATCATATAAAAGTAGCAGTATCCTGGAGATTTTAGAAGAGAAAGGAAGGAACTGCGAACGCTAATATTTCCGGTAAGCGATATATTTACATATTTACCCAAAGTTCCAAGGTTCCGTAGGGGAGAGAAAGAAAAGAACAACTCGTGTATTGGTTGTATGGGCGCGAGGCCATCCTCCTTGACCGTTCTGCCGCGTCACCTAGTTCCAGGTGAAAAGCCTAAATGAAGAGCTGTGAGGGTGCGGAAATTACCAAGTTTAGGTTAACATACGATTAGATTCTCTCCAGTTCAATTTTGATCCGCCGAAGGGTGCGCCTTACTTTTTGGAAATGAAATATCTGAAACAGTATTATGAGAACTGTATAAATGGGTATCAGCTAGTAGGTCTTTTGCTTCCCCTTCCTAATGAAATGGCACACCGTAGGCTGGCGGCGACGAGAGACGAGAATCTCTGGAAGTCGACCACCGTGGAATCAGCGATATAGGATGATGCGCGACGGTTACGAGCTGTTTCACTTACCAAATATGGCGTAAAAGAGAGACTAGAAGCTCGACGTACCATCTTTTGTACTGAGACTACTGGTAGGGTATCAACGATGCCAGAACATGCTAATCGAGTGAGTGCAAGTGGAAAATTGAATGTTACACTGGGGCGACTAACGGCCAACAGAGCTTGTCTAAAGGCGGGGTTTTGCATGCAGCGGACGAAATTTCGGCACATTAGTAGAAGAAGGGTGTCGTGATTCGCGCCACTAATACGGGTAAGCTCATAGTGCCGTCTTACAGTTATATGTATTAACAGAATACAGCACACGACGTCGGAGAAGATACGACGAATGTAGGTATAGATGTTACCATGATGCAGGGGATAAAACCAGTGAGTTGGGAAGAAACTTATTTGCATGTACACCCACTGACATCAGCAGTTGTGATATCTACCAGATTCCTTCCTCTTCACTGTAGGCTGACCTAGTTGTCGTGAGAATTAACATTAATTTATTGATTAGAAACGCCAATAGCGATTTAGATTTCTACCCCTTAGAAGCCGGTGTCATCGAGGTAGACTATCACTTCTGCTCGAGCCCCATCGCTATCGACTGGCTAGTTGCCAAAATGAGCTCATACTAGCTTAGGTTAACTCGGACATTGTCAAACTCAAGGCGATAGAAAGTGCCGGGTTTAAAGTCGATCACGAAGCCGATCTGATGCACTGCATCTTTGAGAGGCTTGGAGGACATGATCTTGATGTTAGTGCGGCAAATGGATTGTAGAAGGAAAGGTAAGTTCATGTCCTGATTGTGAATACATGCCGATAGACTTGTAGATCAAAGTCAAATCTAGCTCAAAACAATGTTTGTACACCTCCAAAGGACTCAAACTCAAAGATGAAACACAGTTCGAAGTCGATATTATTACCTTTGCAATTGGGTAAGAAGGTAATATGAGGCTGAGAGTAGGTCGAACTGTGGATACTAAGTCGCAGAGAAATTGCATGATTGCTGGCAGCTTGGTGAAGGGAGTCAGTCTTGGAAGCCTATTAGATATGAGTTTTTCTAACCAATCCCGCTTGGCGCTTGTTCTAGTGCTTCTAGATCCAAACATATAGTCCTGCCCTGATGATATTGCGCCCACGCTGTTCCATGCGAGGTTTGTTGCGCTGCAGATTAACACAGAGGTTGAGGGTAAGCTTGTTGGTCATAAGTGAATTGAATTGTTAATTTATCCGTTTCATGACGGCGCTTTTACAACCTTTCTTCCCGTGACTTCATATCTCTGCAACTCCTGGATGATTTTTGGCGAGTCTGAGAATTCGAAAACCTCAATTTTCGGTGTAATCTTCCCTTCTAGTGCATACTGAAGTAGCTCATCCATCTGAGCGCTGTTGCCGGTTGATGAACCTTTAATGATGAGACCTAATGAAATCACCCTGTGGACTCTGATAAAGGGCTGACTAGGAGACGAACCTCGATTCGCAATCTGGATAGGTGACATAGGAAACATGAAGGCATCTGGCGGCAGACCAACGCATACAAACACGCCATTGTTCCTCACTAGATTTGGTGCTTGTTCGTAGGCTTTTTCGGAGCCGGCTACACAGATAACTGCGTGAGCACCCTCGCCATCTGTCAGCCCCTTGACTGTCTTCAAGACGTCTTCTTTTGCGTAGTCGACGAATGCAGTCGCCCCCATCTCTTTACATAGCTGGGCCTTGTCCGCGCCACTGTCGATTGCGATGACTTTGTATCCTTTGGTCTTGGCAGCGATCTGGACTCCAATATGTCCGAGTCCGCCACCAGCGCCAACAATAGCGACCCACTCGCCTGGCTTAACCTCCGGGGAGCACTTGGAGACAGCGCCAGCCAGACTCAGACCAGCACATAGGAGCGGTGCTGCTACTTCGCTCGCCAAGCCATCCGGGATTAATGATACGAAGTCGGCGTGGGCAACAACGTACTGCTGCAAGGTGCCTCTGACACTTCTCCCAGTATTCAGTTGATTTGGACAGTTATTGGTGTTCCCAACAACACATGCAGCACACTTGTTACACGCACTCCACAACCACTTGATACCAACTCTTTTCCCCATTAGTGAGTCAGACGCGCCAGGACCAAGCTTGACTACAGTACCAACCCCCTCATGGCCAGGAATGTCAGTGTAGACGCCCATACCCTCTACATTGCGGCAATCCGAATGGCAAATGCCAGAGCATTCCAGCTTCACGAGGATTTCGTTGTGCGCCGGCTGTTGGACCTCAACTCCATCCCGGATCACCAGCTTTCCATTTGGGCCGGGGTCCTCGATCCAGGCGACTGTCTGGGTGGGAGGTATTTCAAGAGATGACATGCTGATATGTGAATTGAGTGAGGGCCTTTGATGGATGAGAACTTGGGGTTGTGAGATGTAAGAAGTAAACGGAGCTCGGACTGCCCCGCATGACCCCACACGCCTGACGTGACCAAGCAAGAGTCCAGCCCGAACGTGTCCGTCTATTTTCGTTCATCCTGCTCTTCTTCAGTTTCATGGGATAGTGAGAACGGCTACGTTCTCTTGTCTTTGTTTACGATAACATATCACGGGATCTGTGGGTATTCGGCTCTTAGCTTGTAGGAACCGCTTGTTTTTCATGTGTCATTTACGTTCATATCGGTTTAACCAATTATGACATGCATGAGAGGTTCTATCCCGGCTTACTCATCTCTATTCATCAATACATTTCCTACCCAACATTCTCATCATTCCAGCCACTTTCTCAAATCTTTGCTTCACCTGGGCTAGGTGCTACACCATTCCCCTCACTACTCCCAGCCCCTGTTTGCATCATCTCCCATCCTCTTCCACGATACCTCTTTGGCCAAATACCACACCGACCAGGGGCTAGAATCCCGTTCGGGTCGAGGGCGTCTTTGAGCTTCTCGTTGAGTCTAGTCAAAATATAGTTAGTTCATAGTTGTGTCTACATGTAGGCGGGGTCGACCGACTTCATGAGTGCGTTGTCGTTCCAGGAATATGTCGATGCGACTTGATCCATGAGCGCAAGGTGGGTGCGATATTCACCATAGCCGAGGGCCGCAGCGTCATCGATCATGTCTCTGTTGTCGAGTCAACATTTATCACTACCTCCCTTTCATATACCTTCTAATCTTCGTCTCCGATAACGTAAAAACTGACATACCTCAAACACTTCTCTGCCCTCTTTTTCATCCCTTCGTCCTTCCCATCAAACACGATTTCCACAATCAAATGCATCTCCCTTAGCCCCACACAAAACGCAGGCATCAAATCAATCCCAGCCTCCGCATGTCTATTCTTCGCCAACTCATACAACTTACTAGCATCGGTTCCACGGATCGGTGAAACAGGACTAAAAGCAATATGACATCCATTTGGCACCCAATTCGTCCAAAGCAACTCCTCTAGATCCGGTTCTCCGGCGGCGATTTTATCGCGCGACCAGAAATATTCATCTGTAGGGAGTGTCGATGGATCAATCTTGCGACACCCAGGGATCTTGTGGAACTCGGCGTCGATGATATCGGTTTTATACTTCCTGATATGTGGAGGGCCGTACGTCATTCCGTAGTATACCCAGGTGCAGTCTCCGGTCGGGGTCTTTTTGAGCTCTTCGTGGATGATGGATTCGGGAATTGGGCCGCTGCCCGAGTAGTACGTTGTTCGCGGGAGACCTTTTACAGAGATAGTTTGAAGACCATGGCGCAATTGCGCGACGTTCTCGAGGATGTTCGATATTCGAAGTGGACGGATTATTTCGATGAGTGGGGCAAGGTCGGATTCATTTTGGAAGGTGTACATCTACCCGTCCAATTAGATTCCATACTGAATCGACGGGGAGGCGGAAGAACAAGGAAACCTGGAGATGAAAATAGCGACATACAAAAGATTCATACCCTCCGGGATTAGGCATAAGCGTCATCCCCATTTTCGTCACAATACCGAAGTTAGACTGGGAGAATATCCCACTGGTCTCCGAGTCAGCCTTTCACGATCTAACTCAGACGTTGCATTCGACCATCATCTTAAACCAGACCCGAAGGAGAGAAAACCCGGGCACATACTCACTAACCGGCCCAAACCCATACGGAAAACTCTGCCACGTATTATTCCCCGGAAGGGCCCCCATCCCTGTCCTCACTACCTCCCCTTGTGGCAACACAACTTCAAGTCCCGCATGCATCGCCCAATGATCTCCATACGGCGTATATCCAACACCTCTATCCAACGTATTCCCGACCACACTCCCACCACCCAAATCTGGACAATCAATCCACAATTTATCTCCTAGTCCTCTGCGCTGGATCTCCTCATACAGAGCGTAAAAAGTAACACCGGGCTCCACAAGACATGTGAAATCCTCGGCATTGATGTCGAGGATCTTATTCATCCTGCGTCCAAGATCTATGGTCACTGAGCCGCGGACTCGGGGCGCAGATCCGCCGTAGCCGAGATTTCGGCCTAAGGATATTGGGGAAATGGGAATCAGGTGTTGGTTTGCCCATTGGGTAATCGTTTGGACTTCCGAAACGCTCCCCGGATATACCACGGCTGATGCAACGAATTCTTCGGAGCTTAGGATCGGCATCATATCATGTGTATTCGGGTGTTCCATGTACCAGCCATTCTTGAGCTCACCGTCATTGATTTCAACATTTTCGCCTCCTAGGATGGCGCGGAGGGAGGATATGGCGGAGAGGAATGCGGGTTTTGATATTCCTTGCGGAAGAGCGAGACCGCGTGTCCGTGGAATGGTATCGGGGGTAGTTTTGCCGGCATAGATGAGGGACTTGGCTTTTGTAGCTTTAGGGAGGAGACGAGAGGGTATACCGGAGTGGGAGGCGGATAGGGTGGGTGTGGGAGGGAGAGATGAGGACATGGTGGGTTTGGAAAGCATTGAAGTGGAAGGTAGAAATCGGCGATTGTAGGAGAGTTAGTAGAAGGGTAGGGGCTTACAGCTCTTTAGATGTTTATACGGAATGTTCTGACGATCGGAACGATTCCGCCTCATGCGACGGCAAGTCTGAAAGGTTGTGGGGCCTGTGCAGATGTTCGGGCCTTGTCCGGTGTAACCTAGTCCTGTTTGGAAGTTAGGATGAAGCTGTAAGGCAGAAGAAAAAGAGAATAGCAATTGTACAGAGGAAGGGAAATTCGAGAAATACCTTTGTAAAGTTTCTTCGTCAATATAATCAAACGAAAACATCTTACGCATGGGCCTTTCTCCAGCAGCTTCATCCCTGTCGATGCGGGGTATCGAAGCATACCCCAACCTTAGTCACGATGCCCCATGAATCTGTATCTTGATCTTGTGGGGCATGGAAAGCATGGGGATGTTTGGTAGAACGTTGAAAGCAAGGATTCCAGTACCCCAAATCGAAGAAGAAACGAATCCGCACATTGTTCATATAGTCGCTACATTTGCCATTCTACTTATTTGCGTGCTACCAAAGTCACGTTGTTCAGAGACCGAAATTTCCTCCCAGAGAGCACCTACCATTATCACAAGCAACCTGACTCCTACCGTTTCATCGAAATTCCATCCATGCTATTGAGCACTAAAGCCGTTGCGATTCGCAGAGTGTTACAAAACGGCAAACACTGCAGTAAACGTGCACAGTCCCAAGATGGCAAATTGGCTGTAGAGGTTGAGGAAACCAGGGAGCTCACTCGAAGGAGTGTATAGCCGGCTCGCGGCGTTCTTTGTGATGCTTGCTAGCGCTGCTGTAGCAACGGTTAGGCCTGTTGATTTTCCACCGGTCTGAAACGCGAGGCATTGCGTCGCCAGAGGAGCAGCAGTGCTCCAGAGCTGAAAATCGTAAGCATGATCGGGAAGAAGCTTGAGCTCTGCCTCAAACTCGAAGCCGACACCCAGACCCATGTTCGATTCAATATGAGTGAGATTCTTGAAAGCGTTTTTAAACTTAGTGTCTGTTTTACCCTGGCCAGATTTGCAGTCTGCATCGAATTGATCGGTGGCGAGTTGGGTGATTGTGGTGTTGATAAATGGCAAGTCCACATATGGACCACCAAGTAACTTGATGTCACCTCCCAGAAAGCTAACGCCAAGAGGTATGAATTGGCGAAGTCCAGCCTGCATGCTGAGCTGAATGTCGGATGCGTTCGTATTAAATGGAAGAGCAGTCACAGTTGTCTTATCAAAGCCTGTTATCCCACTTTTGTTGAATTGTCCAAGATCGAGACGGATAGTGGAGTGGTCGGGAACCTAGTTAATACTTAGAGAGGGGTGACTTGTAGAATGGAAGTGTACAAACCTTGACATCGAATCCGAAGAACAGCTCAATTCCCCCAGAGACAGTGACTTCGAAGATTAACTGTGGCGTATATAAGACGCCGGCTGCTCCAAATCCTGGAATCTGAATATGTGTAAGTGCTTAAGTTGTTGTCTTAAAAGTGGAGGAATAGGAGTTTTAATGTCTGCCAATATTTCTAGGAGCTGGAACAAGGGCAGGCAAGGGACGAAGTTCGGCAAATGGGATGAGGAAGAGATAAGATGGCTCTCGCTTACCTTGAATCCGAGCACAGGAAGTTGGAAGAGATCATAGGCAAACTCTAAGGATGCAGAAGGGCTAGCTTTCAAGCCAATAGAGGCTTCAAACCCATTTAGTTCGAGCTGAAAGAATCCACTCTTTATGAAGTCCATTTCTTCGTTCGCGTTAATCGCTTGCTCCGTCAACTCACTCAGGTTTGCTATGTCGAATTCCCCTTGTGTAAGGATCAACTTCCCGGTAGTCGTGCATTTATCGCAGCCGACCGTGATTGGTAAAGAGGGACCGATGCTGACGCCCTCCGGCCACTGGAATGTGGTATCTTTTGCTTCGAATGCCAGGTCGAATGTCACTGACTCAGCCGTTGGGGTTGCAGAGGGTATGATACTGGCCGCAAGGGATTGCACTTGACTTGGTTTTGTTTGGCGTCGAAGCAAACGGTCGTGTCTCTGTATCATGTGTGGATCAGGCGAGTGGCCAAACTCAATCTTCATAGACTTGAAGGATTTCTGCCAAGTTGTCGTTTCCACGCTCAGAATAATTCGATCGCGGTCGTCTTCAGACTTAAACCCCAAGACCCTTTTGAGATTAGTGACGCTCAGTTATATTGGAAGGGTTGAGTTACCGGAAGGCACTATGTGCTCCGACCTCGCTACAAGTAGAATGGGATGTGACAATCAAGCCATCTTCTAAGCTCTCACAGGTGATCTTAGCCTTCTCGAAGGATGCGCTCTCACGGAACTCGAGAGTCATGGTCGACTCCGAACATTCTACAAGGCCAAGAAGATGATCGATGTCCTCAAGCAACACTGTCTCGTGATCGGTTTTGAGATTTACTCGAGATGCAAAGACCGTATCATCGGCTTGGTAGCCATTTTCTAAAACTTGAGAGTTAGCAGGGTATACAGCAATAGGCTCGATACATAGCCGAGTATATGAAAACCCGAGCTCATGAAACTCGAACGTTGCAATATTCTGTCCCAGAGCCCCGTGGGCGACCAATGAGTAAACCAGGAGAAAGAGATAGGGGAAGTAGAAAGAGGGAAAGGAGGGTTAGGGGAATGTATACCTTCCGCGTAGGTCAGCGTGATCGAGCGCGTTGTACGAATCTCGTTGGATCTCTGGAGGAGGTCTACGTGCCTCCTAGCAACCTTCAGATGACGATACTGCATCAGCTCTGTAGGGAAAGTGCCAGCACTAGATGCCAGCGATGCACCTAGGAGGTTAGAAAGAAACAAAAATATGAGGGGTATCGGCATGATGATAACGCTTTGGTAGGTGGAACGGCACAGCAATTCAATAGAGCGATGAGAAGAGAGTTAGGCCCAGTGAAAAGTTGTTGAAAGTGTCGAAATTGGAGAGGTGATAGCTATGCAATATATGACTGAGCTTAACTCAGTTGTCAACCCCAGGGTAGCAGTCGGGGGCGAGAAGCGGCTAAGTAGTTCTTGATATGTTTTGATGCCTGAAATCAGTGTGCTGCGAGTATTCTCCTTGCATTGAACGGGACCAAAATAAATCCACCTGACCCCGGACGGATTGACATCCATGTTACCGAAGAAAAATCCCTAGATAGTGTTGTTACCGTGCAACCACCCAGATATGGTGAGTGATAAAGCATGAAGACCCTGCAGATCCAATGAGTGGATGAAGGCCTTGGAGAAGTAGGCTCTCCCACTAAACAGGTATTATCGCCGTCAAAATCAGGCGTGAAGTATCCATCTAGAACCTGCAGATACGAGACATGGTCTTGGGGGCGGATTCTCTGCAGAGTGGTGGGTCCGGTCGTGGCCGCGGGAAACGAGGAGGCTGAAAGACGAAAGGGGCGACTTTTGGAGGTGGTGAAGAGACCTTCCGAAATCATGCAGCAAGCCACCACCGTTCCACGTCCTCTAAAGGATGTGAAACGCTAGTGCAAAGGGAAGGTTCGCTAAGATTCGATGTCAGTTGGGGGTCAGGCACCCAGGCTGTGTAGCGTTGCGAAACTACCTCTACCCTCAGCGCCGTCACAAACCTGGACTGTTTGAAGACTACCCCCTATGTTTAAATCATAAGATTAGGATCGAAATCTCGGTTTCAATTACCCATAGACCTCTTTTAAAGTTATTTCCACCGATGGAGAAGACCCAGTCTGAATAATGGCTTGCAGGATGAGGCGATTAGGCGCTAAGGCGCTGGCACACGTTTTCTGGTATTGCTAGTGTCATGCCTCGAGTACGATATCTCTCGGTCGTCTGCATGGGGCGTTGATTAATGGGATGGTGATTCGTACAAAAATAATTACCGCATTTAGATTCGAATATGTAAATCTAGGATTAGTTAGGATTTTTAGTGGGGCCGGTGAATACATTGAAACTCAAGTTAGAGTCCTTACTGACGCCAAGACCTTTATGAATCCCTCATATTTTTCAGAAAAGGTGGGATATCTCCGTCAGAGGTTCTATGCCCCGAGCTGAGCAGATCGATTTACGCCACGTGGGAAGCGGGGAAGGTCCAGGATCGGAGAACCTCGTATTTCTCGGACGCGGAACACATCCGAGACAAGCTGGACGGCAGCATAACACGACGAGTTAAGGAGCCGTAATCTATCAACGGAGAGCACTCTCGAACGCTGATCAAATAGCTGCTACCGAGTACGTTTCTCTAGTCTTAGCACCGCGTGATACACTGTAAACATCGAACACTTGAACCTAGCTGACAGAGTAGGTATGGATATTCTAGTCCTGTTATCAAATAGTAAGCTTCTCTGCTTGAAAACAGAGTACTACGTGGTTCACTCATACTAACAAGCTGCGCCTCATGGAGGACTGACGGCGTGGCGCTCATATGCATGACACGCTGTAAACTCGAACCCCAGTATTGCCAGATCTGGTCATTAAATGAGAAACCTCGCAAGATGATCTGAGGTGATAAACTTGCAGATATCTTGGATAATGGGCTGCATTTGTTGAAGAGACGGTCCGGTGGCTGAGAGGCGGCCGGTCAGTCGGGTATCTGAAGGCTCGGTGGCATCGGCGGTGTGGGGTCACGTATTCAAAGCTGTCTTACGAAATCATTTGCTGGGATTCAGGCAATCGAGTGAAGGAGGAGAACTGATAAACTGAGATAAAAGCCAAGTGAGAACTTGCAGATGAGAAATTGCGCACGGTCCATTTCATGCTACGCCAAATATAGCTAGTCGCTGTCTGCAAAATCTTAGCCTTCGGTTTCACCAACAAATTGTCCTCACCGTATCTTCATACATCTAGCCAAAAATTCAGTGCCAGTCGACACTTGTAATTTCATTTTTTTCCTTACACATAAATCGACACCGCCGAATCTGTTTAAAAAAAAAAGCTCGGCCATCCCATGTGATGTTTTCTCTCACTATCTTAGAGGATCCCATATTAAACAATCTACACACCTAGATTCCTACCCTTTTTTTTTTGGTTTCATTGGCGAAGGATCGAATTTCTCGCTGAAGTCGCCACTAAATAGGGGATCACAGGCACGCACTAGAACGAATATGCCAGAGACACTAATGTTTTCCTAACAGCCATCTGCGGCCGTGTTTTGAGAGAGTAAGGGTGATCATATACTGGCACAGCGGCAATCATTTCATCAGTTACTTCGGAAATATATCAGTCAGAGGCATCCTGGCCAGTCCCTCCGGCTCCAGAGGAATCAGCACTCTGTGGCCGTTCTGGGCTTGGTGATTCACCGGCTGGATGCAACTTTGGCCCTTGCCGTTGGATGTCAGACTCGCAAGTCCCGGCAATGGCCTCACGAAGGTTTTTGAATCCGACCAGTGCCTAGGAGGCTTTAGAAGGAAGATCCCAACTATTGTATTGAGATCAGCTAGATCCCTGGATCTGTTCGAGAGCGGAAATTTAAAGTCTTGGTTGATTTTCTCCTAAAACTAGACTAAATATTACGAGTACGAAGCACTGATGATAAGATCAAAAGCGACGCCCTTGACCGCGCTATGGCAAGTCTGGAAGAAGCTAACGTAGATTGTGGACCCCGAAAAAAGGATAGTATTTGGGTTCGAGCAACTTCGAGGCAAAAAATGGCAGATGGTAACGGTAGAAGTGGTGCACGTCATGTTGAAGAATACTTTGCATAGCTGTCTCATCGTGTCTAATCTGAACATGGTGTCCAATACCCAGACTTCAATCGTAGAATTGATCTCGCTACATTGAAGAATTTCCTGGAATGTCTCTGTTTCACAGAGCGTTTCTGAGGGCGATATGTGAGGTTAAGCCATCCCGCAATTGCCGTTCACTGCCGACGTTTTTGTCGACGCTTAGCTGCTCTGCAGCTACGATATGAAACCGGGTCTTGGCATTTCAACAGACACCATGCCATGTCATTCTACCCTAGATTCCTGCATTAGTGTGAACATCTAATAATACTCATTCACTAGCTTCTGGGGTCTACGGCTTCAATCCCCGCCAGAAGCGCCTAACAATCCAAATGTAATTAGTTAGAGGCGCTGACAGTTGGCAGTGTTGGGAAGAGTAGCCGGTACTAGGGGACTGTTGCTTCTTAGTGCCAAGTTTAATCTATCACCAGGATGCAAGAGAGCAGGTTTAGAGTAGTATGCGGGAGTAAATTAGTATGGTCCTATCTGCACACCCAACTGTCAACGAACGAGCTATTCCCACCTACATACGTACTCCGCGTGGGATACCTGCGATTGTTAGAATTATATGATTTTCACCAATGAAAGAATGAAGCTTAAAACTCGCCTGCAGTGCTGTCTCTCAAACATCACCCCAGAAGTCGCAGTGTCATTCACAAACTTCGTCCCCACCACGACCTCAGGCTTCCTGCCCTTCTCCACCCATTCTACGATCGCCGCCAAAACATTTCTTTTTGAATCGTACCCGACAGCCCCTGAAGTTGATTGCCCAATCATCCAAGCCCCAGGCCCACCACTGCAATGAAACATCCCCGGAATCCTGAAGAATCTCAGAAATGTATCCATCTCCGTCGAAGTCACGGCCATTGATCTCGAGAGGTGGTTATAAAACCTCTCCGTGTTGAAACCAGTGATCTGGTTATCCGCTCCACCATGGTAAAGAAGCAGCTTCCCCCCATTGTCTTTAAAATTGGTGAGGGAATCTGGCCAGGACCTCACATTTGCAGGATTCAACTCCTCCGCGACTTCTGCGTCATGAATGGTCCAAGACGCAGGGTCCCACTCCGGATTTCTGTACACAGCGTATCTAAACCAGTCTTCTGAATATGAAAACGGGCTTCCAGCGAGTAAGCGCTGGATTGCCTGGACTTCGGCGCCAGGCTGCAAACTCGGATATATGAGTTCGCCTTTCTCGCCGTAGAGCGGACTGTACACTTTCCGTACGATGTCGACCTGTTTGGCGCTCAAGCAATTGCTTGATTGATTAGTGTTGCAAAGTAAAGCTTCCGGTCTAAAGACTGCTGCGCAGAGCGACGCATCCGCTAGTATTCCGTCTTTCACGCCATCGATCTCATCGCATTGGCGAAGTATTTCAGTGTGGATTAATCTGGTCCAAGTTTCCGGCTTAATGAAATCAGTTGAATTCTTGGACCCGGCGATGGTGTAGAAAGACGCCCGCCAGGCTGACATATAGTTGAAATTAATTCCGGGTGCGCCCGCTACAATACCATTGTAATCCTCCGGGAACAAGGACGCGGCTTGGATAGCTTGACGGCCGCCGCCTGAGCACCCGATGTAGTATGCTTTATCATGCGGTTTTTTGTAGAATGCTTGCGTTAGGATTTTGCCAGCGACGGCGGTCGTGTGTAGGCTCCTCCAGCTGAAATCCGTTACGATGTTTAGGTTGTTCAAAAAGGCTTTCCCGCCGGTACCGTTATGTCCATTATTTGAGCCTGTCGTTGCAAAACCATGACTTAGGCCGTATGCGATGTCTTCGTACTTAATGCAGCCATCGATTCCACCGTTGCCGGTACCGAGGAACCGGCCCGTCCAATCGGCAGGTGCAGGGCTTCCAACGGGCCGTACTACGGTCCGTACAAAGTGAGCCGTAACGGTCACGTGTTCAGTACGAACGTACCGAGTTCGTGAGCCGTACCGTACGATTAATGATGCCCTAGGTACGGTACGTAGTACGGATGTCTCAAAAATGCCTATTACAGACTATTTTCTATTCCAGAGTTATCTATCCACGCCTCTTGCCGCCTTACAGGCCTCATCTAGTCCTATCTGCTCTTGTTACTAGGGAGAACTAGTTATTTTATAGTTAATTAGACCTTAATCTTGCGTCTCTAGAGACCCATAGTCTTAGCTGTTTCAACTAGAGTACGGCGTACTTTAATCGAATCGTACTACTCGTACAGATCACGTGAGCCGTAACAGTTACGATACGTACACCTACCTCTCCTCCTCCCTGTCGTACGAACGTACACAAAATCTCACCCGTACAGGCCTCAAAATCGCCCAATCGTACAGTACTACGCCTCGTTGGAAGCCCTGGGCAGGTGTAGGAAGGAATATTTCAAAGATGATGCTCGAGTTAAATGTTGGAATTGTAAGAGCTATGCGGCAAGACTCGTTTGTTATAAGTTGTTTAGGTCGGGCGCAGGATTCGTCATTTCCAGGAAAAGTGAGGGTTGTATTGGCAGGAACATGTTCTAAGATGCGAAGAGTGCTGTTTGTAATTAATGACACAGGGTTGAAATCGAGGCAGGCAGACTGGAAGTCCGTAGAAACTGCGAGAGTGAATGTGAAGATGGGGAAGATTGCAGAAAGAGTTGTTCGATTAGAAAACATCTTGGACGGGATGGAGAGGAAGAATGAAGCAAAATGAGACGTAGGGACATCTCGGAAAAATACCCAAGTCATAACCCGCGGTAAAGTGGGGAAAAATAAAGCTCGATCGATGCACGGCGATATAGACTCTTTTTGTAAGGGATCGATACCTGGCCTGGAAATTGTATTATTACCATGGAAGTTACTGTACCCCGCATTCCCACAAAACGCATCACGTGATGTCCGCATATCATCGAGCTTCTCCAGGTCGCCATCGCCACTTTTACGTCTTTTCCTCCAGCGACTTTCGAAGTCGGTCTGCAGCTGTCTCAGGTAAATCCATATTCTCAGACTTCAGAATGAATGGTACCCATTTCGTGATGGCTTCTTCAAGAGTTGAAAAACCACCAGGCTTCCCCAGTCTTTTGAGTAGTTCAGTACCACGGCTGTTATCAACGGTTCCTTGGTCGGATGGCGGTTCATCGATATCCTTCAAGAAAGCCCGATCTGGCACTAACTTGCGAAACAAGTCCAGGATCTCATTGTAATTGAAACGCCCCCCAAATGCTAGCACCCTCTCATTCTGGACGTCCGGCTGAGTTAGGGCAGCAATATGCAAGAGCGCTGTATCCTCCACATCAACGTACCACTCAGGAGGAATCATGAAAGCTGGCATGGTGTTTCCTTCCCATATCATCTTGAGCAAGCTCGAGGAGCTAGGGAAACCCGTGTTTTCTAAAGACACCATGGTGCCAAAGTTGACATTCGGCACAACAGAGTTGAAGGTGAAGTGCGGCTTGTTCTTCTCTACCCACTCGAAGCTATTCTTCTCAGAGGCCGTCTTTGCGCATTCGTAGTTGACTAGCATGCGAGTCATGCTCTTGTCGTCCTTATCCTCCCACGTCCATGCTGCATTCAGGCAGCCTTCATTGTAGGTTTCCGGTGTGATAGAGTACGGTTTTCCAGGTTCGAGGTGGATACAAGCTGCTTGCGAAGACGTATATACGACTGATTTGACGCTTGGTTCTTTGGCCGCAGCCTCGAGAACGTTGATGGCGCCCTTGATAACTGGTGGGATGAAAGCGTCAGGATCTGGGTTGAAAGCCACGCTAGATGCAACGTTTGCGATTCCATCGACGCCCTTTACGGCCTCATCAAGCGCACCGTCAGCGCTTAATTCAGGCACTTCGACAAGGGTAAAGTTGGACCCATAGTGGTCGAGCATCCAGTTATTCTTTTCGATGGAGCGAACCGTACCGCGGACCTTAAAGCCAGCATCGAGGAGTTTCTGAATAGTTACACCAGCAACATATCCGTTGGCGCCAGTAACGAGGACGAGACCGCCTGCTGGAACGATAGGCATCGTGGTTGTTTTCTTAGAGCCAAATCTGAACAATGAAGTTTCAGAGGATATTGTTATGAGTGGTAAATGTTGATAGAGAAAACAGAGGTTCGCTTTAGGTTTGAATAAAAATTTATAGATGAACCACATAACACCTCGCAAATGATTCCTGAATTGTATTCCGTATAAAACCGTCCGTAGGAGCAGCGACGCAGGGATAGCACGGTTAGCCTGACATCAGCCATTCACGGAGAGCTAACCTATGGTCAGATGTAGAGGCATCTGAAATAACGGTAGCCTTCTCTAAACGGTCTTAAGGGACGAAAGTGTTCCTAGCGCGGATAGCCAAGTTGTAGCGCGCCTGGCCCGCCATTGGAGAGGTTTGTAGAATAGCATGGCAGTGTTTGGTGTGGGCTACCCACATTCCGGGCCAAAATGCCCTAACTCCGCAGAAGCCGGCGCCGAGATTGTACCGCCGGATTATTTTTTGAGGAAGTTGGCGGATCAATGTTACCCCAGACTTTCGCCCTGGCAAGACCTTAGCCAAGTTAGCTTTAGCGACAAGCTGAGGGTTTCGGAGGGATTAGAAGTGTGGACGAAACGTTGCGCCGGCTGACTTGGAGATGGCCCGATCATGTGGCAAGGGTGGTGGGGTGGAATTCTACTGCCGGGCGACTTCCCTATGTATAAGCCAGAAAGTCGCACCTTGCAGGTGAGCTTCCGCTCCGCTTCACCAGCACGACCATTTCAAGGATACCCGTAGCAGCCCTGTCAAGACGGCAACCAAAAACCTCCCACCGCACCAGCAGCATAAGCAAGAGGCGGCTGCATTGGGGTTGCAGGCGGAAAGCTCTTCTCCCCCCGAGTCCCCCAGTTGCCGGCACCTGATGAAGACTGATTCATCCTTGGCCCACTTTTGGAAGGACGAGTACACGCTAGACAGTCACCACGATACCACACTCCATTTATCAGCCGATAAAGCAACTAGCTTATCGTGAGTTCTGCTGTTCCATTGAGCGAATCCAAAATAGCGGTCTGAAAAGTTCATATCTGTTAAATTGAACCTGGACTTGCTCCCCGCCCTTTAGGAAACCCATGCGACAGAGAGGGGTGGCCATTTTGAGGATACGGAGAACCCCATCTATGTTAACTAAGAGGGGTCTAACTTAGTGTCTCTACTGAGTGGGCCTCCGACGGAACTCCTGTCGACCGTCCGTCCTTTGCCGCCTTCGAACATCCGTTCTGTAAACAACACGATCGCTGCTTCTAGTTCGTGGGATGGTATAAGATTGCCAGATTACACGTGCTTGAACCCCATTTACCCATGCTTGTTAGTATGTTAGTGTAGAAATGAGGGTGACGAGACAAGTTTGGGCGGATCAAAACCCGTGGAGGAGCGCAAAGAGCTGGGAGGAGAGAATGGGCTGCAAATGGGTTGTGCTCAAGGTAGAGGTCCATAAAGAGGCTACGAAGAACTGTGAGCTTAAGATCGAGAGAATTGAGGAGGGGAAGCCAGAGCCGGGTAGTGATATCAGCGTCGACGACATGTTGACCCTGCTAGGCTGAAGGATGGAAAAAAGCAGGGGAATACGGGAAGGGGAGGGTGAGGCTGCTCTATTTTTATTATTTTTTGACCCGAAGGGAACTGATGCCAGCGAAATGAGAACAGATACAAAGGGTGAATGAGCCAACAAGTCAACCACAGCAGCACCTACTCTTACTCAGGTAATTATCCGAAGGTCCCTCATTGTGGATGTCAATGGTATGTAGAGGTCCACCTGAACCGTCATTTTACAAATATGACTGAACTCACAAATCCTAGATCTTCTCAAAGTCATACCCAAACCTAAAAATTCTAGGAAAGGAAGGGTTTTACGGAGGTATTTCGCCTGAAACCATTCTTCACATGATGCTCAGTTGTGGTGGTGCTTCGCCGGATGCTGACTGAGCCATGCGATGGGTTTCCCGTCATGCCACCTTAAGCTTATAATATCAGGAACACGATGCACGATTAGCAAACTCCCTCTTTTGCAAATGTTCCGTCATCTGTTCATTTTCCGTCGCGTTTCAAATTGTGGTTCACGGGATCAAGCCTCGAGTAGCATGCCGCCCAACCTTGTAAAAACTGGATCCGTCAGACACTCCTTAAAAATACCCCACCTGCGATCACTGTCCAACTTAATCTCCTTCTATTCAAGCAGACCACCTCGATCGGCTTCCCCAAGTTCTGTGGAGGCTTAGCTGCTCTTTGTCCTGCTGAGTGGGCGATCAGCCGCTCCCGCAGTGTGTCTTGGTAGGCTGGCGCAACTCGAGCTGACAAGGCTGGCCCCAACAACTTCTCCGTGCGATGTTTCAACACCTCTTTGTCAGCCAATACGATGCAAGGAACGGACATTCGGACTCGATGCACGGCCTGCACTGTTCGATCCCGTTATGCCTCGTGCGACGTTCTAAATTCAGGGTCTTTGCTGGATTTAGACACAAATAACGAGAGCATATGATGAATCCGCACAGCACAGGGCTGATAATTGTGAGATATAAGGCGGGGTGGTAAGCCTCTTCATAATGCGATCGAGTTTTCATCACTCTTCGAATATCTCTTTATACATTTAAGAATTCAGATTCCTCATCTTCACTGACCATATCCTCTCATTCTTACCATTTCAAAATGCTCTACTCATCGCAACTCATCCTTCTGGCTACCACTCTTGGGCTCTCCGCAGCACGTGAAATCCCCTCCAACGTTCAAGCGTTCTTCGACGCGAATATCAACGTAAAATGTCCCAATGCGCTTAGCATCCCATATAACTCCGGCCAAGGAGAATCCGACACCGTTTACTGCAAAGATGATGCAAGTGGAGCCATCTATCTGAAGGATACTGGAAACGGATATGCGGACATGGACATCGATTGCGATGGCGTAAATGCTAGCGAGGGCGCATGCTCCAACGATCCGACAGGCCAGAGCATGACTGCTTTCCAAGACGACGTGCAGAAGTTTGGTATCGATGATCTGGATGCTCATATTCACACTTATGTCGTTCTTGGGAATGATAACTCAGCGTCGGAAGGGAATGGCGGCGAGAAGTTTAATCCTACCGATGCAGGGATCCAGCCCCTTTCCGTGGTAGCAGTTGTTTGTGGGGGAAACATGGTACGTTAGTTTTCGTTTGTATCGTGTTCATCTTTTGCTTCCCTTTCTCTTCTTCGCTCTAATCTTGAATGACTGCCGCTGTATCAAATATAGGCCCCCATGCTAACGCAACCTAGTTTTATGGCGTCTGGGGCGACGTGAATGGCGGTATCTCAACAGGGGAATCCTCCCTGGCCCTCGGCCAACTCTGCTTCCCAGATGGCGGCATCACCGGCGACAATGGTCACTCTGAGCACGATGTCTTATACATTGCATTCGAGGGAGCTGAAGCTGTTCCCGGAGCTTCCGCGAATTGGAAGGCGAACGATAGCGCGGAGTTTGAGGAGAGCTTGGCGACTTTGGGTGATCAGTTGGTTGCGAAGTTGGGTGGTGGTGAGGGAGCAAAGTTTAAGAGGAGTCGGATCATGAGGGGGAAACTTTGAGGGTGAAGTGTGGTTCACTAAGCCAAGAATGTGCAGTTCTATTCTTGGTTGTACTCACAATCAGCGGATGGTATTGTCGTAAAGATGCGAGGCCTTGTACCTAGGGGAGTTTGTAGAGCGCTGGTGGATTTCAATTACACATACATGGCTAGGTCAAAATGTCTATCTTTTGTCCTTTCATATCTCTCAAAATTATTTAAATTGTCTATCGTAGCATTGAGCATTGATGCGAGAAGGTGCAGACGCAAAGCCAATATGGCACTGACTGAGTGTTAGACCTTTCACTCTGCTGGTTCACCGAGCGGTTGCTGGGTCGCGGTCGTTTGCCACACAGCACGTGGGCGCAGTGTCCAACGATAACAAATTCAAGCTCATAATCTTATAGAAAATCTCTCTCCTCCTCCTGAGCTGACCTTGTCGTTGACCTCGAGGTCGAGTCTGTTCTGGCTTTCGAAAACACTGCTAAACTTGCCACTGGCATTATACTTTTCTCTTTCGTGCGTGATCAAGACAACACAAAGCTGATCAGTGAAGAGATAGATATAACAAATGAGGACGCTAACTCTAGTCTATCCCTAGGGCGGCACAAACAACCACCACGGCGTCAGAGAACAATTCCCACCGAAAGCGTGCAGCTGCACCTTTACAGACGTGTCGTCACACTCCACCAGCTCCAATAATCACCATGCCAATCACCAACTCCGACATCACCGCCCTCAAGATCCAAATAATCAGTCAGGCTCCCTCCTCCGGCATAACATTCATCACACTAACCCCGTCTCCATAGACACAGCACGAATAGCCTACCCCCAAATCTCAACACTGATTCTCGCAGTCCGGGAACACAAGACCGGCAACACGCACCACGCAATCCTGCAATCCCGCCAGCCCCTCACCGTCTGGAGTCCTCAGTTACGACACGCAGCGAAGGGGCTTGCAGTGTGGGAGTTTGTTGTTGGTGGACGAGCAAGGGTGAGGGCAAAGGCGGACTTGCATACGCACAAGGTGATGCATCGAGTGTTGAATCGAGATGGAATTATAGAGGAGGTTGCAGCGGGCGGAGGGGTGGATATGGGACATATGGAAGGGGATGGGCAAGGAAGGGCAAGAGTCCAGAAAAAAAGGTCTTTTTGGGAGGTCTTGGGAGTAGGAAGGCAGGGAGAGAAGGATCATTGGGCTAAGAAAGAGGATGGGGTGCTAGATTTGAAAGGCAGGTATGACGCTTTGAGGGATTTGTTGAAGATGATTGAAAAGCAGGGGGAGATAGCGAGTGTTTGGAGGAGCTGGGAGGGGAGCGAGTTGTTGAATTTTGGAGAGGAAGAGGGAGTAGGAAATGAGTATCCGTACCATGCCTTTTGAGGTTGATGGCATTGCTTGGTTTTGGGGGTGGATGCATATTAAGGGAGGCCTTTAGGATTTAAAGGTTCTGGAGAGTCAGGGGATTGGGGCGATGCGGTGGGGTTTTCCTGGGCTAGCCAGAGATGATAATCCTGACTGGGCGAACTCTGCCGTCCTAAAGGTGAATCCCCATATCCAACGTCATGAATACCCGAACCCCACTGCTTAAATCAACAAAGACGAAAATGCGGAAAGTGACATGGAGTCACTCTTTCTTGCGAAGTCCTGCCTCCATTTCTTCAACCCATAAACCTAAATCGCGGATGCTCATCTCCCAAATTCTCCCTCACCTTCTTCTCCAATCCCATCCTCCAGTCCCTCTCCCCCCTTTCCCTCTTCCGATTCTCCCACATCAACCCCACGTAAAAAACCGTACTCATTACCCCACTCACAAGTACCATTGAAAGAGCTGTGCCATACCCTGTCTTAAAGATCGGCGCCTCACTTTGCAAGTAAATATTGCTCCCTGCAATACCCCCTGCATTTCCAATGCCAACTTGTATCGCTGTTCCAATCGCTCTTTTGTAATGTCCAGACATATTATTAGATAACCAAACAACAACCATGGGCGTAGAGATATACTGCCCAATGAGCGCGAAGAAAATAGCCATATACCTGACCTCCCGCTTCAGCCCTAACGGGTCCGGCGGACCTTGGCAAAGAAGGATAATATACGCAATCGCATTAAAAAGTGTCCCGAGCATCAAAAACCCGTACCGGTGCCGCAGGTGATCCGACGCCCATGCCGCGATTAAGGTTGTTGCGGTACACACTACGTAGACGGGAATAGTGCGGAGTTGGGCTTCTTCTGCCACCCATCCGAATTGCACGAGGATGTAGGGGATGAAGAAGAGTGTCGAGTACCCAGTTACCGAAAGTGCGAAGTAGTTTGCGGCCGAGACCCAAATCTTCCAGTCACGGAGGATGAGGATCCAGGCACGGCGGTCGAGGCAATCCATGCGGGCTTCTTCGCTGGCATTATCAAGAGCTAGGCGAGTCTGTAGGAGGGTTTTCTCCTCGGTGGTGAGGAAGCGGCATTGCTCAGGCCAGTCTGGGATTAGAAATTTTGCGGGTATGGAGTACGCTATTGTTGCGAGGCCTTCGATGATGAAGATCCAACGCCATCCGGATTTGCCAGCTCGACCGTGCATTTTAGCAATGGCGTAGGCGAGCAGGCCTGCGAAGGCGCCGGCAAGGATAGCAGAGCTGAAGAAGGTCGTATAGCGTTTTTGAAGCTCAGCGCGCTTGTAGTACATGCTGATTAGGTAGATACAACCTAATAAAGATGAACTCCATGACTCAGACAAGGGTTATGGGAGGCGTACCAGGAAGAATTCCGGCTTCCAAAGCTCCCAGAATAACTCGACACGCCACGAGGGCTCCATAACTTTGCACCAAGCCCTGACACATAGTAACAATACCTACCAGATCGGATTAGCTCTCTACTTTCAAGGCTTGGAGGTTAAATTACTACCCCAAGCAAACATCAACCCCGACAGCCAGGTACTAGGCTTAGTTTTCCTAATCATCAAATTCGCCGGTATTTCAAGCAAGACATACGTTGGGAAGAACGTGAGTAGCGCGACATTATACTGCGTACCGCTCATATGCAATTCCTTTTGCAGGCCTTGGATCTTTGCATTGCCAATGTTGATGCGGTCCATGAAAGCAAGGAGATAGAGGCCGAAGAGAATGGGAATTAGGTGGATATCGCATTTATAGAGAAGTCGGCGTTCCACAACTAGATCGACTGGAACTTGTACATGCTGATGGTGTGCATCGGAGGCAGGACTTTCAATTCCAGCTTCACCGTGAGTGCGAGCCTTTTCCTTGAGATTACTACTTGCCATGGCGAAGGCATGAGACAAGGAATCCTTTAAATGTTAAAGAAATGTGGGAGAGGAGTGAATCGGAGAAAATCCCGCAGCTTATTTATATAATTCTCCGATCACCATATTGAGAAAACGTTGACCGCGCTTCAAGGATATTTTGCATAACAGGATGCCGATCCCTGCGAGATCAATCTATTGCTAGGTGCTGATACGCTACCGAAAGCATCGTGGCACATGTTCGTGGCGTGAAGTTTTCCCATGTCGGGATGGCCATACGACACGGCCATTGAGAGGTTACGGTGAGGTAGAAGTGGTTATCTGTAAGCAGTGGATTTCATAGAGCTAAAATATGATGAATTCTTGATAGAAGATTGATGCATGGTAGATCGGAAGTTTCGGGAGGAAGGGACGAATGAGGCTGAAGCTGGTGAAGCGTAATCGACAAGGGGTTGATCTGAGTACGCCAGTATATCTGCCACACTTTTAGAGGGAATTCGCCAGCAAGCCCGAGCCCACCTCCTTAGAATACCCTCCAATAATTCCCATGAGCCTCACACAGAGCGGGGTGTGCCAAATCATCTTCAATGACTGGATCACCGTTAACCCAATTCAGTTATTTGGCAACCGCCCCATGAGTCCTCCAACAAAACCCTTCGCATAGGCGGACGGCCTAGCCACTACCCACCCCGACACTGAAGATTCTATGAAATTTTGTGAAACGGGGTCAAATCTAGAATCTTCTTAGCCATCATCGTTTCTTCTATGTCTGCATTCTAGCAATCGAAGTAGTACGAGGTCATGTACCCGAAGCAATCTATGTTAGGCTGAACCCGCTCGCGAATCCCTTACAACCTCATGAGTTGCCTCGGTCAGGAAGTTAATACGATGCAGGCTAGGTGTCGTTGTGCAAGACCACTGCGGTGCAGAACATGATGCAGGATTTGTGAGCCCTAGTGGCTTGGTCCCAGCGCTTCTAACGAGGCTTGGTACTGTACGATTGGGCGATTTGGATGCCTATACGATTGAGATTTTGTGTACGTTTGCATAGCAGGGAGGATGAGAGGTAGGTGTATGTATTGTGACTGCTACAGCTCACGTGACCTCTACATGTAGTACAATTTAATTGTAGTACGCTGTGCTCTAGTTACAACAGCTAAGATTATGAGTCTCTAGAGAAGTAGAGCTTGGGCCTATAATGTTATTAAATAATTAATTATTCTTGTAACATAAGAAGAGAAGTCTAAAGACTCAATTTCTACTACGTTTGAAGGGCTTTGAAAACCCTACTTATTGCACTAATAGCAGAGCTAGAAGTGAATTCACTTGCCTTGCTGCAATTAATCTTTAGCAACAGACAGCGTACTATCGCAAGATGGGACAGGAGACGCAGTGCAGGGGGCTCTCAACTTCTGTAGCCTGTAATACTGTGCTAAATGGACAACAGAGGTATCTGATTAACTAGATGGGGCCTATAAGGCAGCAAGAAATGTGGGTGGATAACTCTGCAATAGAAAATGGTTAGTAGTAGCATTTTTCAAGCAACAACTTACAGATAGATAGATTATAACACTTAGAAGAAGATATATGCATCCTTGCAAATCTATTCCCTAACTAGAGCCCTCTTAATTGTCTAGAATTTCTATACAACCTCCCTAAAATGGTAATACAATCTGTACTACGTACAGTACCTAGGGCACCATTAGACGTACGGTGCGGCTCACGAACTGGGTCAGGACTTCCAACGAGGCGTAGTACTGTACGATTGGGCGATTTTGAGGCCTGTACGGGTGAGATTTTGTGTACGTTCGTACGACAGGGAGGAGGAGAGGTAGGTGTACGTATTGTAACTGTTACAGCTCACGTGATCTGTACAAGTAGTACAATTTAATTAAAGTACGCTGTACTCTAGTTAAAACAGCTAAGACTATAGGTCTCTAGAGACGCAAGATTAAGGTCTAATTAACTAGTTCTCCCTAGTAACAAGAGCAGATAGGACTAGATGAGGCCTGTAAGGCTGCAAGAGGCGTGGATAGATAACTCTGCAATAGAAAATAGTCTGTAATAGGCATTTTTAAGACAACAGACAGATGGATAGATTAAAACCCTTAGAAAGAGATTTAAGCGTCTGTAGGCCTCCTGCTTGCTAGAGCCCTCATACCCCTCTAGAACCCCTATACAAACTTCCTAAAAGGGTAATACGATCTGTACTACGTACCGTACCTAGGGCATTATTAAACGTACGGTACGGCTCACGAACTCGGTACGTTTGTACTGAACACGTGACCGTTACGGTTCACTTTGTACGGACTGTAGTACGGCCCGTTGGAAGCCCTGAACTGGGTACTGAACACGCGACTGTTAGGGTTCACTTTGTACGGATCATATTAGGCCCCGTTAGAAACCCTGGCTTGGTCGATCATGCCAACATCCCAGAAGTGGCTATTTTCAAGGACCGGAATCGTCTTTGCCGTGATTCTAGCGCTGCGGTCATGGAAAGCTAGTAGTGATTCTTTAACGTTGTCAACTTGTCAGATAGTGATGAGGCAGCCTCACCAGGCCTGGCGCATTTTTAAACGTGTCCTTTGGTATAGACGTAGCGGCGAGAATCCATTTGTACACCTTTATCTCTACCTAAATCATAACCTAGTGACCGAAACAACGAACAGTGTTAGGTGCTTCGACATCAAAAACACCGGGGGCAATTTGCCGTATAGTAGGGAATTCTCACGACTTACTTCGGTCAAGAGACCTTCTATACAGATTATTTATAGTAGTAACTATTTTGTCGTTGAGCCTACTGCGATGACTTCTTCGGTCACGTGTGCTACGGCGCACTAGTGAGGCTAGCGCCTTGGCATGCTTTCCCACCTACGCGCAGAGTTTTTGCACTCCATCTTTCTAGCTTACTTTTCTAGGTACAATCAAACAACTACTTCCTCACAGGAGCCTCACGAAGATTTCCTTATGCAGAGCCACTTTGAGTCCTCTTACCTGTATATCTTCCACTATATGTGGCTCTTCAATTCATCCCATCCTCGTGGAACTCCCATAGGCCATGGCTCATCGCCGAAAACGATCGCCATCGCAGAGATTGACGCGCAGGTTCTGCCGGAGCCTGATGTGACCCTCAATACAACAACATTCAGGACATAGAGTGTGGAAGACCTGAGGTACGAGTATTCTTCAGCAGGCGCGTCCAGATTTCCGTCCACCTTCACCCTGCAATTCCTATAATAATTCCAAATTCACTAGTCAGCACGATTTTCTTATCTATGTCCCAACTTTCCTTAAAGGGTCATTGAAAAAGAAGGCCATTCATGAAATTGGCATAGAACTTGCCCCACACATCCACCTGAGTAGATGATTACACGGTCGGTAGTTGCAGGTGCCCAATTACAAGCTGGGTGTCTCGGAGTAAAGTCTAATATGAAAGTCATGGCACCTTCGCGCATCGGCAGTCAGACTCGTTTTCAATAAACATTACCCGGATTTCTGCAGTTAAATATTCCTGGAAGGGGATAGGCCAATTAATATGCTTCTAATTTGCGACACTATCGCCTATGGATGATAAGATCTACATCGCCAACTTGAATAAATGAAGCTAATTATTCTAGCACCGCATGTTTGACGAGCAAGTTCTCGCAGTATAGAAAGTGGTTTGGATTTCAAATAAATCGAGGGAGCACTACACTGCACCGCACCACACTGCTTACTTGAACATCTCTGTCTATCATTCCGATGCTACTAGAACAGATCACGTAATTCCTCCTCCGGAAACGCCAACTGACTCCGTATCAAAATGAAGTGGTTTCCTCTCTTACTTCAAGCTGGGCTCTCCCAGGCCGCCCTTCGATTCGGATGCGCGACTGTGTCTATCCAACGCTTAGATCCGCTTGTCGAACCTGGTCGCATTCCTTCAGCCCACGTTCACCAGATTGTCGGCGGAAATGCTTTCAATGCGACTATGGAAGGTGACATTGGCGAGCAGGGTAGTTGCACAACGTGTGCGTACACTGAGGATTTCTCCAACTATTGGACAGCGGCAATGTACTTCAGACATGAGAACGGTTCCTACAAACGGGTTCCGCAATACCCAAACGCTCAATTAGGTACTGAGGGCCGTAACGCGACTGACATCAAAGGCGGCATGACCATCTACTATACTCAGAAGGATTTCGATTCTAACGGCAACCAACATATCACCGCTTTCAAACCCGTAAGTGGCGCATGCCTGGCCACATACTGACCTGAAGCCCGACCTGCTTCTTGGGCTGGCTAAGAGGACTATCATAAACTAACCACTCGCAGGGCTTCCGGATGACTGTCGGCAGTCCCACAACAAACACCCTCGACGGCGCAAAAGCCCACCCAGGTCTTCGCTATACCTGTCTGCAGACAATCCTGACCCGGGGTAGCGAGACTCCAGACTTCCCCAACAAACCCTGCCCCGCCGGCATCATGGCCATCCACCACTTCCCTTCGTGCTGGGACGGAAAGAATCTCGATAGCCCCGACCACCAGTCTCACATGTATAGTACCACCAAAGGTGGCTTCCGCGAAGCAGGTCCGTGTCCCAGTTCCCACCCGGTCCGTATGCCGCAGGTTGCGTACGAAACGATGTGGAATACAACGGCGTTTAAGGATATGTGGCCGAAAGATGGATCGCAGCCTTTTGTTTGGTCTTATATGGATAGTAAGGGGTATGGGACTCATGCCGATTATCTCTTTGGGTGGAAAGGAGATTCTCTGCAACGGGCTATGAATGATTCTTGCATGTTTCATAATTGTGGGAGTCCGGGGGTGCAAGGAATACTGAAAACTCAGACTGTTGCTGATATGAATAAGTGTGCAGTTCAGAAGAGCGTTACAGAAGATACGGATGGTTGGCTTTCGGAGCTTCCGGGTTATTGAGGAGTTCAACAAGCTGATGTGCAGCATGCCTTTCGCCTCTGAGTATGACTTGGTGCGTACTGTTATGTGTTTAGAATTCAAAATCGAACCCTCGTTTTTATTCTTGATTTCTTACAGAATCAATCTAGTCGATGCTCTGTTTTCTGCTACGGTGCTAGAACCATGTTTGGTATGGCGTCTCACTACCCACCCATCAAGTGCCTAATGAGTGCTTTTCTTACTAAAAATACACTCGATCAACATGTACAAACTCCAAACTCCAGTCAGTGTACTTACCCATTTTTGAGTAATCGAATTGACTGACTCTTCACTAAGGCCTATCTGGACAACCCTGTCACTTCGACATTCGATTTCACATCCAAGAAACTAGACTCGTCAACGAACAGGTCACCATGTCTATACCCACCGAATCCAATTGTGAGAAAGATTCCAAAAATCGCTATTCCAGCGAACCCGAGCATCAGCTATTCGAAGTTCCTATCAAGGATCCGCCCATACCCACTAACCCAGTCCTTTGCGGTCTTTCTCTCCATTACCGAGGTTCATTGTGCATATCCCTGATAGTCCCAAAAGCGTAATGCCAATGCACTAAAAGCAATGGAATTTCCTGTCATGCAACATCCAGCTATCTGCGGTCGAACACTGGATTCATGAGCCGCCTCAAGATTCCTGGACTCCACGATTTCCCGCCACGCTTTGATCCTACAAGAATTCCCACCAACGACTTTTATACCAACTGTGCTGCTGCTGCAGACCCAAGCCTTGGGCCTCGTGACCCTCCGCACGCTTCCCTCGGCCGATTTACTTCTAATGTAAACTGCCATGCTACTTGCAGCTCCAACAATATTACTCCACTGGACGTCACCGAGACTCTACTTCCCCTAGTCCGTCGCGATTTCTTCGAACCCTCGGTGCATGTCAGGGGTCCGGAAGTAGACTGTGATCAAAACGGGTTTTTAGAACAGACAGTACTGGCAGCGTGGCCAACAGTCCGTAGTACGTAACGTAACTACGTGAACGTAGTAATCACGTGAGGAGTACAAAAGTAGTTAAAATGTGAGACGTAACTTTTGTACAGTGAATTGCCAAGTACGTCCCGTAGTACGGGTCAGAGAGGTCATATTTTAGGAGATTTCCCTCCTGTTTTCAGACCCCATTGGCCATCGCGTTAGGAGCTTTGTTTAAGGTCGCGTTTTAGAGTAACAATTATAAAAATAGTTAACTTTTGCCCTAGAAAAGCTCCTCATCTTATACCTGCCTATTTGCCAACCTATTGCCTATCTTATTAATTGTTACAATGAGCTAGATGTCTTAATTCCTCTATCGCAGCAGGCGTACAGCCTCATCCTAATCCTCCTGCTTATCAGAGTCGTCCCAACAAGCTAGAGACAGAGGGCGATAAGGAGGAGGAGGGGACTTCATCTAGGCTAAAAAGCTTCTCCCGGAACAATTTTGACCCGGACCGACGAAACTTCTCGCGAAAAGTACAAAAGTATAAGGATTTTGAGAAGTTACTGTTACGTTACGTACTTGCTAATCAATTCACTGCTTACGTACAAAAGTACTACCAAATTGAGAAGTTACTGGCAGAAAAAAGCTCAAACGTAACGTACTACGTACTGTTGGCCACGCTGAGTACTGGCCACTGTGTTCAAAATTTTGTCAATACTGGCGCGATAGTGATTCCATAGTCGACAATGCATGGTCTTGGACTAGGTGACTAGACGTCTTCTATAGGTGTTAGTCATGTTGGCCGCGTTTTGATAGTCTGAGACCCTACGCCTGCTAAGATACAATGAACAACGAAGAGATCGGACTTCGGCTCATATAAACTCCTGATCTCATCATTGCTCATCCATATCTTTCATAATTCTTCCCCTGTCCCCCTTCCACTAAAGGATATAATCATCGGCATATATCGGCTCTGGTTTAACAGGAGCGATGCTGCTGTCCGTATCACTTACAGCACTGCGACCAACTACCTCCGCGACTCCATTGGGTACGCCAGTATCGACATTATTATGCCGCTTCTTCATGAAGGCTAAATGACGCATTCTCTAGTGGGTTCAACGGAACTTACTGCTGGTTTTCCTGGCCAAGTGTCTGATCTGACTGCCGCAAACAAAATACCCATCAGCGTGGGCAGACACCCCGGCATCCAACTATCTCCTCGCACGGTGTCTGTGGGAATTACTTAAGTGACATCTTGCTGCATTGTTCCACGAAAACCCTAAGTTAGTTATTGAAACTTCAATAGCCACTCTTCCCCATTGGCCCACCAGTGGTGGTGCGTTTGGATCTAAAGTACGGCGTCAGTGATGCCAATATGCCGATGAGACACATGGAGTACCTGTGCCTGGCAAAACAATTTGGGTGTCCATGTTCACAGATGCCAGTGGGTTATGTCGACATAGACGGGGAAGGGAATGTGCGGATAGGAATGTTGGATGACAGAATGAGGCATTGATGAGGAGGCCGTAATTTGAGGATATCATGCCGAGAAATGGAAGAAGGCAGGAGCATGCCGAAGACAAGATTAGACGTCTTGGGACAGGCAAATGGCGAGGGGTTGTGAAGCCGAATGCGATTTTCAGGCTTCGAAGGCCTTTATAAGACCATTAGCCAGTTCAAGGCCAGTTCAAGAAATTTGCGAGAAATTCCATATTGGGAGTGACTCGCAAGTAAAGGGAAAGCAGAACTGCTCCCGTGTCCGAACTTGTAGAGGATCGAGAGGTGAAAAAAGGAGGAGGAGGCCGTTTACGCCTAGGAATCGAGGATGGGAATTGACGCTTGAGACCCTGGCTGATTTCCATGAAGAGTTAGTAGAGAGGATCTTCTAAATCTCAAATGTGCATGGAACGCGCCGGGATATTCTGCGGAGAAGAGACTGAAGCACCCTAGCTAAGATCTTCGGAGCCTGTATAGGACTATTTAGCTTATAGAAGGTTATGTATGGCCGTCGAAGCTTCCTTACATATGGAAATGAGTATGCAACTTATTAATAAACTTGAAGTCCGAAATGACATTGGCGGTACGAAACTCCAGCCGAACGCCCGCCGAACGCAAGTAAATCCAATCTCGGACACGGTCTAAAGTCTTCTGTACTAAACGCAGCGTCGCATCCAACTTTACCTAGTTTTCCTCCAACCCTGAGCAGTCTTCCTCATCCTCGCCCTCCATACTCAACTTCTTGTACTCCTTCACTAATTCTTCGAAATCATTCGTACTAGGATTCCGATCAACTCGAATAATTGGCATTGGCCACTGACTTTGCACATGGTGCGATATTAGAGGCTCCACGTCTTCTAACTCTTTGCTTTGGGCAAACCGATTCATGAGCCGGTGGTCCTCGGGCCTCATTTTCTCGCGAATCATGCGAAATACGGCCTTTGCAATATAGAAACTTTGACCTTGGTCACCAATACCTTTGGCGCAGAGAACTAGTGTCGAACGAAGCGCGTTTAGTCTTGCGAGAGGAGTCGTGGAGTCCGCGTTGAAGATCTGGCTGAGGGCGGAATATGCGAGCGGAATGAGGAATTGAAGAACACAGGCATCATAGTAGTCGAAGCTGTGACGAAGATAGTAGAGGCGGGCGAGAGTCTCCATTCGCGTCAAAGCATAGGAGATTATTTCTTGGGGGGTCCTACCCATGAACTTGATCGTGGCAGTCACTGGATCTGCAGCCAGAGGCTGGAAAAGATCTGAAATTATATGGAAATAATAGGCACTATAGGGGAGATCAGAACTGTTGCTGCTGATTGATATGCATCGAGGTATTTAGATACTTACTGGATCTTGAAATGTAAAGGAAGGACAATTCTCTGTGGCTTTAGCGGACCTGGCAAGCTGTCGAACCAAGCAGTCAATCGTTGGAAAAGGGTTTTGGTCTGCGCAACCGACAGCTTGCCACTGCCAGATAGGTTTCCATACATTTCAAGCCCCATGTCGTTCTTCATAACCTGCATCGCAGCCGAGGCCTGGAAACCTAGGCCAAAATAAGTAGGCGACAAGGTCTGGCTCAGCGGATATCGAATCCACATCTCGCCGTACCACCCCGGGTTCTGCACTGGATCGGGCAAATCTATGTTTGGTGGGCCTTTCAGTAGTGGCGGTTTGTGGAAATGGTATGTCATCAGTCTAAGGATCCGTTAGTTAGCGATTAATGTGTAGGGAAGATGCATCGCGGTCAGCCTACGTCTGATAGTTAAATAGTGACCAAGCCGTGAACGCTCGTACGTTTTCCATTTCTGCACTCTTGATGTCCGTGGAGGTATCAAATATGTGCAGGTCATGTGACATATCGACGGCCTGCACCAAGTACGCCCAACCGATCTTGTCCATTCCATTTTCGCTATATGAGATATTCATTAGCATTGCGGCTTGTACAGTAGTAATTTTGCTCCTCCCGGCTTCAAACTCCCACAGCCTTCGAGCCTCAGCCGAAAACTGGTAGCCGAGAGTGCGTGGATTCCAAAATTCGACTCGATTGTCCATTTTCGAGTGTGTTTTCTAAAGATAATTAACGAGACTTATATATTCATATTTAGCATTCTACTTACATACGCCTGCGCAAGAAGGGCGTTGACGAGCAGGTCCGAGCAGAAACGGTGCCGTCCACTGGCCAAATCTCGAAGGAAGTAGTCCTTGTGAACGACTGTGAGAAAAGGGTGGTCGTACATGAAGTAAGCGTGGATCAATTTTCTGAGCAAATCATTGTCGGACGTGACGGGTGTCCATTGGGAGACGTTGGCGGAAGAAAGAAGAGGATCAACCAACTCTGCCGCGAAGAAGTTTAGCATACCCTTCTCTCCATTCAAGCCACATTTGAGCCATTTTGAAACTGCTGTGCTGCAATAAGAGCAATTATTGCCGCCCCAATACTAGATCCGTCTTTTGAGATTCCGATTCTGATCCTGCGCTCTATGGCAGGACCGATTCCATCAATAACCCTCCATGTATCACGCATGTAAGCTTCGAAACCTGGGTAAAACTCAACAACACTTCCATCAACTGCGATATCAATAAGGGCACGGTTCGTTGTGTTTGAATCCTCGTCGACAGGGAAAGTATGGGGATTCACCAATGATCTCCCGCTCTTCAGAATGACGGATGCAAGAGCAGTACCAGCGAGCCTCGCTGCACGCTTCCCTATAGCGTTTGCAATTAGTTTCACTGCCTGGGCATCCTCTACTCCAATGCAGAATTCAGGAATTGAGAGAGCATCCGCTATCTTTTGCCTAAGCGGTAGCAATTCGCCAGAGTTATCCGCTTCGGCAATCGAAAGGATGGAAGTATCCACAGCCCATTGAGTGAAAAATGGGATTTTTCCATCAGCTTCTGTTGCTGCGTCTTCCCGGAACTCTCGAAAGAGCCCCACTTCTGGATCTTCGTGCATCTCAACCAGAGCAATCCTCAGAAGCTCTCCTAGAAACATCCCTGAGACGCGCTTCTCAAACATTTGATTTCCACGGTTAACGCTGACTTGGTCTAGACTGGTGTCGTATTTAGTGTTGGGCTGAACCAAAAGCCCATTATCGAAGGAACCCCACTCGCAACTAATGAACATCTCGTTACTAGCAGGAGGATATGCACCTTCGAGTTCTTTCGTGATGTTGTGCAGCTTTTCAAGATAAACACCATTTGTGCCTGTTCCAAAGATTGCTCCCACTGAAGTGCGGGTCTCCGAAAGTGGAAGGGCGTATGCGCGAAACATGAGTGCCCCTAGGGCATCATTCACCAAGGCGGTTATCTTGATGGGAAGGTGTAGTTCATTGATCGCCTCCTGAAGTAGATGGCAAACATCTTGGCCTATTGCGTCTGGAATGTCAAACCCCTTCGTCCAGCGTAACAGAATGCCCGAATTAATGCTGTTCTGATATGCTGGGTAGGAGAATGTAAAACCAAGACTGAGCAATTCAGCTGTCTTCGCCTTGTCTGGCGTGAGAAGCTCTTGATGATACGTCTGCAAGAAATGCTGTATCTGCTCTGCGATGAAGTGGAATAGATCAGATGCCTTCTGAGCGGTCATGATCCGAGTTGGTATGGTGATTTTGGACTGCTTTGTGGTATATGTAGAATCGCCGCACAAATCTACTGAACAGACTCGAAGATTGGTCCCCCCAAGATCAACGGCCAATGAGAGACCCTGATCAGGTCAGAAGCTATAATTGCCATTCTCCCCCGAGCACTGACCTTCTCCGTTCCATAAGCAACCTCCGTGACGTAGGTTGGAATTTGGCACACAGCAGGCGACCGCCTTTGCAAGCCCACCTCTGCCGCTTTTGTCAGCCCCGTTGATGTCAGGATGAGTGGAATGATAGTGGCTTACCAAGCTCATTGATGAAGTGCGCGCAGCACCTGCGTACGTCGTCATCAGTAAGATCAAACTGGTGAGCCACTCTGTTCGCCTTTTCCAAGAGTGCCATCGTGATTCTGGGTCGGATAGTTATTCTGGATGGGGGACTAAAGAGGGGGCGGGTTCCACGTATGTAGGCACCGAGCAGTCAAGAGGTAGTACGGTACCTAACTCTAGTAGGAGGAAACTACATGTTCTCACTCTCCTCTGGAGCGACCGGTGGGTAGATCGCCCGCGCCCGCGCGTTGGGGTAAGCGGGTCTTCCCGCGGCCTTTGTCCGGTTTAAAAAAAGAGTTGTCAAGAGGGTGTGCAGGCCTCAGGAATGGCGACCAATAGATGCCTGCCCGTGGTTCAAGCGAGAAGGGAACTCCAAAAGGAATGCTTCCTTCAACAGCTGGCGGTGATCCGCAGCCAGTAATCGGCGGCCCCCAACAGAGCACCCTTGAGATTGGAGCTGCATATGCTGCCGTGCGCCCACTCAAGGATCCGACGGCTGACACAACGCGCGGAGAGCTTCCATATCCGGTCCACACAGAGTTCTCGTCGCACAAGCAATCACGGCTCCCGTTGGGCTCACTGTCCTAATCAACATATCCCCTCAATCGCCTTTTGTTTCCTCTCGAGAGCACACGACTATAGAAAGGCCTTTGTTATTTGTTTGTGTCTTGTGTTATCCTCCTTGGCCATCGCATCGTTTGCCATACCCGCCCTACTCGACGTATAGCACACGCTAAACCTTTAGCATCTATTGTAGGGTGACATCAGACATGGACATGGTCAGTACTCATGTCACAAGCTCACTTTGCTCAAGGGAAGAGTAAGGATTAACTATTCAATTATGCAGATACGGAAGGGAAAGGAGAAATGGAACAAATTGTATTCTGAGGACGGCCAAGAAACCGATTCCGACACCCCCGCTCCAAGTTACCATACACTGCACCCAAACAGCCAGCAAAAGCGGGCATCGGAGCCAGCTATCTTCTCCCATCGATCATCTCTACCAGATTCGGCACCCGAACTCCACCGGTTCGTCTCGGCTGATGCAGTATATGGAGTGGGAAGTTTTCCCCCCTCAAACAGCCCAGATCCTGTTTCAAATGCCCTAGGGTTGTCTCTAGTTCACGCGTTTCCCGAACCGTTGCTCGATTTAGTATTTGTGCATGGCCTTGGAGGGACGTCAAGGGGAACTTGGTCATGGGAACATAACCTCCAAAACTTTTGGCCATCCTGGCTTGTAGACGACCACGACTTAGCCAGAACAAGGATATTTACATTTGGATACAACTCCGCTTTTCGTGACGAATATACAACCCTCAACATGATAGACTTTGCCAAGGATCTTCTAATTAGGATGAAGACGTACTCGGCTGATCCCCAATTAGATTACGGTCGACCGATAGCGATAGGTCAAGTATGTTCACAGCATTGCCCTGTCTAACCTCAGAGACTGACTTTGTTCGAAGCTTCCCATTGTTTTCGTGGCGCATTCTATGGGTGGACTCGTAGTGAAAAAGGTACGCAGACAACCTCGTCCCGGATCTCCTTCACTAACTGCCTCTGGAGGCATATATAATGGGCACGACAGATCATCAATATACAGATCTAGTCTCTCAAACAAAAGCAATGGTATTTTTGGCTACACCCCATCGAGGTTCAATGTATGCTCAGACACTGCAAAATGTTCTCCGAACCATCCCCGGTCTGAGTGGAAAGGCCTACGTAGCGGAGCTTGAAAGAAATTCAAGCACCTTGCAGGATATTAACGAGCAGTTTAGAAACGTTTGCGAAACTCTCAGGCTGGTATCGTTTCACGAAACGATAAGGACAAGTGTGCCTCCTTCCAAGAAATTGGTATTTGCACCCACGGAAGACTTTCTAGCTTGTCCTGACCCATCCTTAGATTGTAGACAAAGACTCCGCTCACTTAGGATATCCCGGCGAAATATCAAGTTCACTGGACGCCGACCATCACACGATCGTAAAATTTAAAAGTCCGCTGGATTCGAACTATATTAATGTTAAGAATATTTTGAAATGGATCATGAGAGATGTTGTGGAAAAGCGTAAGCGTACTGATTTCTTGTTGCTAAACTTTCTGAAAAAATAATCCTGCAGTACCCATTTTGACCCGTCAAACGCATATGCATGCCGTCCCTCTCCCAGACGTAACGGCGCCAATCCAAGAACCTACCAGAGACCACTTGCTGAGAGTCCTCGGTCTAGCGGAGAATTTTGACGAGGACTTTGACTACCTCTCCACGAAGGTTTCGAAAGGATCTTGTCGATGGATACGGGACCGGAAATCGTTTCAAAGGTGGATCACAGCGAGCCCAGATTCTCCAAATGTGCTATGGCTCACTGGAAACCCTGGGTCAGGGAAATCTACACTCGCAAGTTTTATTATCCGAGAAATCAACGATAGGCCATACATCGGAACCTGTCAATACCATTTCTTTCTCTATGGCCACCAAACAAAGAGAACTCTGGCTTATCTTTTGAAGAGTCTTGCTTTGCAAGTAGCACTGATTCACGAGCCATTCTGCCAACAGCTGCTACGGTTTTGTGAAAATACTGGCGTCAACGTCAAAGAGCAGAAAGCGTCAATTATATGGGAGAAGATTTTTGAAGGCATCCTATTCCGGACTCCATTTCCAGGCTGTTTATTCTGGATCCTTGATGGACTGGACGAAGCAGAATTCCCCGCTGAGCTGATCAAATTTCTCTCTAAAATTAAGTCGGCTACCAAGATTAAACTCCTTTTGTTGAGTCGCCCAAGGAAGGACTTGTCAAAGGAAATCGGAGAACACTTCCCGAATGTTCGTCCAGAAGTGATTTCAGCTGATGATACGTTATCGGACATCAGGGATTATGTTCGGTCATCACTTTCCAGAATTCTTCCCACAGATCAGGACGCTCAAGCCGACATCCTGCAAGATATTCTTTCAAAATCCTCCGGATCCTTTCTTTGGGTGAAGCTAGCACTAAGCCGAATAATGCAGAATTGGTATTTGAAAGAGGATATCAAGGCTGCCATAAATGAGATTCCGGAGGGTATGGAGCCACTATACGCTGGTATGATCCAAACAATTGCGACCCAAAATCAGAAGTCACGCAGCATTGCTGCACGGGTGTTGGGCTGGGTCGCTTGTTCGTTCAGACCTCTCGACATTGCAGAACTTGAGGAGGCTTTGAGGTCGGAATTCGCCGGGTTTGTGAATCTCGAACTTACAATTGCGGAGATATGCGGACTGTTCGTTGTCGTCAGTAAAGGCAAAGTGAACCTCATTCACCACACCGCCCGACAGTTTCTTTTGACGAAAACCACGGAACTTTCAATCAGCATTGAAGAACATAGCTCTCATACGCACCTCGCTTCAACATGCATTGAGTATCTGTCTGATGCACCCAAGTGGCGTCGAATCTTCTCTGCCCTTCAAAATATCCAGCAAGGAAGTCGTTCAGTCCCCGGTACTGCGGTGTTCACGGACCACCCTTTCCTGTCCTATTCATTATCCTATTGGGCATATCACGTCGGTTACTCATCAGTAGCTCTAGAAGATTTCACTACCAAAATCCTCTCATTCCTAGAAGACAACTTTCTAACGTGGGTCCACGGAATTGCCTTGTCAAAAGATCTTCGAATCATGAGCCAAGCTGCGCAACATCTCAAGATTTACGTTAAGCGCAAGGCACAATTATCTTCTCGGAGGCCGTTAAAGAACTTGTCGATGAACCGCGATGGAGAACTTAAGCAATGGGCCAATGACATTATCCGAGTTGTTAGCCGCTTCGGTAGCAGTCTTGCTGGGTATCCAACCTCGATCTATCGGCTTGTAGTTCCATTCTGTCCTAAAGATTCCATCATTAGTAGGACGTTCCTACATTCAAATAGTAGCGGTCTTCGGGTAACTGGACTTTCTTACAACAATTGGAGCGACTGCTTAGCTAAACTGGTGATGGGGGAGAATCAGGCTGCCCTTAAGATCCTCTGTAAGGATAACTTTATCCTCACACTTGTTGGAATCGATGGAACAATCATCGTGTGGTACGCGGACACTTGTCAAGAGGCAAGAAGATTCAAGCATGGCGAGTATGTCATGGAAATCGCCAGCAGCAAGACATCAAATCTCGTTGCGACAGCGGGGTTCAAGACTACAAAAGTATGGGACATCAGTACTGGCAAGCAATTGTACTCCATGACAAAAGAACAACACCACCTTACAAAGAGCATTGCATTTGGGGCAAAGGATGAAGAAATACTCGTTGCGTATGATGACTGCGTAGTCCAGTGTATTGATTTGCGGACCGGAGACCAGAAGTGGCGTTTCGTCTCCAAAGAGGCACTAGCTGGCGACAACAACTGTCCTCGCTCCATGTGCTTCAGCCCGGATCTCACACAGATCGCTCTCGTCTTTCGAGGTCGACCAGTTGTGGTGTGGACAATCCAAATGGACAATGATTCCACAAAGCCTGGATTTATTCCACCAAAGAGATGTATTCTCGCCGACGATAGATTACGTACAGCCGCTGAAGGTGATGCTTGGGATCCTCCAGAGGTTGCAATCTGGCACCCTGTGACCGGCCACCTCCTAGTTCTTTACGAAGATACCAGGTTAGTTGATTGGAATATCGCGGATGATGAGCAGGTGAAGTACAGTCATACCGACGCACGAGCCATGGTCCTGAATTCAGACGGTACGCTACTTCTCACCAGCGATGTGCATGGCACCCTGAGCATTTGGACGATTCCAGGGTACCGACTTTCCTACCAACTCAAGTACGATGAACTTGTGACAGATCTGGCGTTCTCTCCAGATTCTACTCGTTTTTACGACATTCGTGGAACTTTTTGCAATGTTTGGGAGCCCGATGCTCTCATACGCCCGACTGAGATGGATCGGGATGATGTGTCAAGTTATGAATCTAGTAATTATGATTCAGTCGTATCGGATCCAGTACTCTCGAATGACGATAATGATCGGATTCCAATAACAGCTATCGCATTTGACAGTTTCGACCAATTCTACTGCTGCGGAAAGGAAGATGGGACGGTAACTATCCACACCATCCCTGACGGGGAAAGGTCGAGAAAGGTTTCTAGTCACTCCTCGTCAGCATCGATAGTCCGACTTGCGTGGTCTCCGTCTTCCAAGTTTCTAGTTTCCGTGGATGATTCCGGCCGTATCATTGCAAAGCGCCTTGAGCCTCCGACAAAGGAAAAGAATCGATGGGCCGTGTTTCCTCTCTTCGACATCCGCATTGACAACTCTGAAACTGTTAGTGACTTTTTTTTTCACTCGCGAGAACAGTACCTGCTCATCATCACTCCGACAACTGCTTACGTCGTGAGCCTAAACCCTAAGAAGAAAGATAAACAAGTCTGCAAGAACCGGGTCTCAAAAGGAGCAGTCTGGCTTAACCATCCAACAGACCCAGCTCTTCTCATCAAGATAGAAGCTGACAAGGAATTGACGTGCCTTTGGAAGACGTTGAAGCCAGAGGACGAAACACAATACGAGTCGCCGACCATTTCTGACTCGCCCATGGGGACTGGCACAACAATTGTAGGATTTGTTCGAGCCCGCGATTTTGTTTTGCTGGAAACTATCAACCACGTAACCCTCGGTGTTTCAGATCACTCCCAGCCTTCAACTCGCAGTTTCACACTTCTCGATCGGAGGAAACTATCCAGTGCACAATACAAGAGCAATCGATATGACGTCGATAGCCTTGCCGAGCATGTCCACTGTCTTATTGGGAGTATCCATGATCGGATCGTCTTCCTCGATCACCAATTCTGGCTGTGCACTTGGGATGTGGAGGCTGTCTATACGAAGCATAAACGGCATTTCTTCCTCCCCCAAGACTGGATTAGCCCAAGGTCGCTAACCATGATGTGTATCAATGCACATGGCACGCTACTCGTTCCGAAGAATGAAGAGGTGGCTATTGTACGAGAAGGATTCAAAGTTTAGGCCCTGTTCTCGTACAGTTCTCTCGGTTATGTCAAGATGCTGCATGATCTCTCCAAGTAACGTGGTAAAAGGTTTTGAGAGACCACATTTGGCTAGAGAGGGGATCTTCATATTTCCTCAACATCTTCGTCCAGATCTCTTTCCAAATCCTCCTGGTGATATGTAGCTCTTTCGAGTCTTCTCTTCAATTTCTCTGCGTAGTTTGTACGAGAAGTCTTGTATGTAGTTGTCAATTTATTGTTGCCAGATATATCGACAAGGCGAAGTTGATGCTTAAAACTTTGATATGGTAGAATGGTAGGATGTAACTCACCGATACTCTACTGCCTGAACAGCTAGCTCAATGCAAATGCTACCGATACTCCATGCTACGCAAATTTCTAGTCCCGGGATATTCATTCAATCCCTATCGTCGACCCTTGGTCGCTTGCCTTCTCTACTCGACTCCTCTCCATACCTCTTCTTTTCGCCAAGAGGTCGGGCATTCGCGCCAGTAGCACCATCTTTTCCTCCATCTCTTCCCCCAGATCGATATGAATCGGAGCGGAACCGGTCATCCAGACCAAAGTCATCTCCCCGTCTCCGCGTATCTGCAAAGTCGCCCCAACGCCCAGTGTCCTCGCTCTTCATGTCTTTATATCTCGTCCGCCCCTTCTTACCCAGTTTGGTCATGTCCCTGATCTGCATGTACTCGGGTAATACCTCTCTATTAGTGGCGTCTTCAAATCGGGCACCCATGATATTTCTTCGATCGACGCCAAGATCTTTGAGGTCGTCTTGGAAGAAGGCACCTTTGTGGAAGTATTTCTGCATGTACTGCATTTCACCTCGGTCTTCCCGGTCTTCTTTCTGCTTCTCAATATATTCTCGATCTTCAGCCTCGCGTTCAGCGTCAGTGAGATTCTTTCGCCGTTCGATCTCGGCGCGCTCAGCTTCGTATGTTTCGATTTGCTCGCGCTCCCGTTTTATCCGTTTTAGCTCGCGGAGCTTCCACGCTGCGTATTCAGCCTCCGGATCTATCCCATCTCTGTCGTCAATCTCATCAATGTCCAAGACATCATCCTCCTCGTCCCAGTCCTGCTTCCGTGCCGCCTTCTCCGCCGCCGCCTTCTCAATCTGTTCCTGCACCAGCGCCTTGGCCTGTTGCTGTCGCCGTCTCTTGTCTTCCGCTGCGATTTCATCTGCCGACTTCTCTGGAGGGGCGCCCTTATTCCGCTCATTCTTCTTGAGAAACACGGGACGCAGCAGCTGCCGTGGAGCAGCTTCCTCTTCACTGCTCTCCTCCTCCTCCTCTTCGGACTCCTCCTCGCTCCCACTCCCGCTACCACTTCCACTACCACTTCCGCTGCCAGATTCCCCCGACTCATGCTCACTCTCCGTCTCAAACTCGGCCTCCAACCGTTTTCGCTCCGCTGCTGCTTTCTGTCGTGCGGCGAGGGTTGTTTTGAGCGCGGATTTAGGAAATGATGTCGCAAGAGGTGCCGGTTTCGGCTTGGTGAAGGGCTTGTCCTTTCCCTCCTCTTCCTCTGCTTCTGACGAGCTAGAGACATCTTCGGCTTCGGGGGCTGTTGGTTTCTTAGCGAATAGACGGGCGCGCACCGGCTGCGCGGTCATCTTCTTGGACTTTGGTGGAGGCATGGTGGTGTTTGTGGCGTAATGTGTGCGGAGGAGGAAGGGACGGTATGCAGATGTCCTAAGATTATGTTGGAGTGTGTGTAGAAATGATGCAAACGTTACTGAGACAGGGCAGAGCCGAGGCTTTCCCGCTAGCGTCTTGGCGTCTGATGTTCGGTACGACTTACCTCATCTCAACAACTGCACCATCCATGGATGATATACGCCCTTACCGAGAACCTGCAGTCTGTGGTCTGGAAACATCTCGTTCGTCGATACTTTATTCACTACACTCTGCCATCACGGTCCCGCTGGAAGGATCTTTTATTTTACATTATCTATCTGACCACTTTAGGCTTCAGCTTGCAATTCGAGACAACCACGCAGCTTAATTTATTGCCGGCCACTGTTCATCATGCCCCCCAAAAAGCGTCCAGCGCCAGCTGCAGCAGAGATCCTGCCAAAACGTAGGAAGCATGCTCCAACCAAGTCGAGCTGTTCATCGTCCCAGTCGCAGAGGTCAGGCGACAGCAATCCTGGTGAACTAAACCCTGCAAGCAACCCAGAAATCAACTTGTATGCTAATTCTATACCTGTTTCATCCAAGTGCAGCTCATTTACATAGACGCATAGAACACAGTTCAACGCAGCTCACTCCCCGCTCCTCCGCCTTCCTACTGAGCTGCGCGACCAGATTTGGAAGTACATATTCGCGGACTTAGTCATTCACCCCAGGACTCGCGCGCCCCATCATCCCCCTACACTCCACTACTTCATCTGCTATACTCCCGCCCAAACCCGCGATCTCTATTCCTGGAGCCTCCTCGGCGCACGACCCGGATCCCCACGGACCTGGGCATCCCCTGATCTCGAAGTCGCGGAAACCGGATGCTACTGTCCATCTTCAAAGCGGTTTTGCGTCCCGATGGTTTGCAAGCAGTTTTACTACGAAGTTCTGCCGATTGTGTTTTCGACGTGCATTTTCTCGTTCCGAGATCGAGTCGATCTACACACATTCGCGCTGTCGCCAAGTTCCCATGTCTCGGACGTGCAGAACATCTCACTAGAAATTTTCTCGCCAGCCTACTTCAGCGACTGGAATCCCACGCTCACAATCTCCTCCATCATTGACCAGTTTCGAAGTCTCAAAAGTGTGAAATTGACGCTAAACAGCCAGTCCTTTGGTAGCTTGAAAGCTATACCGACGAATCTGCTAGCACCTCCTAAGATGCTCCCGAATGGAGCTGTGAGAACTTTGTTTTCAATTATCTGCGCTTTACAACAGTTCCAATTGGAGGCCGAGAAGACGACTGTTGTAGTGCAGCAACGTAGGCGTGGAGCAGACCGGATTACGGAACTGCGAGCGCTTGCGGAACAGGTTAGGCGGCATCTGCTTCATCATCGCCCGAGGCGGCGGTCGAAGAGGTTGCTTGGGGAGAGTTATGAGGATGTGGCTACATGAGGTGCTGTACTTAACTAGGACTCTAAGTTGAGACGGAGGGAATCTTTCTACTACGCTGAAGAGCCTGTGTGGTTTGCTGGATCGAGTTACTAAGGGCTAGAGAATATAGGACCAGAAACAGCTAGAGGAAACGCACATTGGAGCATCGAGCATCAGATCCTTAAGCACCCACGCGACCCGGCGTTTAAACACTTGGAATTCAAGCATTTTGGTATTCAGACATGTATCTAACCAAAACACAGTTACATGTCCCGAGTAGCAGAGCCCCATATACCACACACACCAATCACGACTGCGCAGTGTGCAGCAAGAAATCAAAACACTAATTACACTGCCGATCTGCGCTTGCCAAAAAGATACCATTCCATTCGACATGCGCATGTCCACGGATGCATGTCCATGACCCTAGATCCACGTCCACACTCCTTGACCCAAAACTTCACAGCCTCAACTCAACTCATTTGCCTTCTCTTTCTCCTTCCCCAATTCCGGATTTAACGGCTTATTCCGATCATAACCCACCTGTTTCACGATGCCCAATCCCTTCGTCCTGCCCTCGCGAAACAAAATCCGATCCCCCACCGTTAAATACTCCGGCCTCTGCACAAACCGAAACGCAACCAGCGCCCGATCACCCGTCCTAATAAACTGCCTATCAATATCGATGATCGCGCAAGTCTGCGACACTGGGCCTACATGCAGCATTGCCTGGTATTTCGTTTTAATAGTAGTAGCGTGTGACAGGATGAGCACTTCGGCGATGAACTCGCGGTAGACTTTCGGTTGGAGGATGGCGCCAGTTGCAGGATCTGGTTTTTCTTGTTTGTGCAGCACGACCATGCCTTTTCGGACGTCTTTGCGACGAATGTTACGGAGGGCGAGGCTGGCACTTTGACCCGCGCTACATCCAGGGACCTGGATCCGTTTGCGTTCGATAGAGCGGACTTTAGTCGTGGTGAAGGAGCCCAAGCTATCGGGGCCGATTACGATGGTGTCACCCGTGTGGATGACGCCACTTTTGACGACGCCTGAGACCACGGTGCCAACGAATGGGACTGAGAAAGTGTCGTTGACATGGAATTCGAGCGGTGCTTCTGCATTGTAGTTTCCGTGGTGGGGGAGGATGTTTAGGAACGTGCGGACAAGGTCGAGATTATCACCTGTAACATTTGATACTTGGAAGATGGGGCAAATGCGGCGAGAGACAAATTGAGTCTGAAGATGTTAATATTCTGGACCGAAGTCTCCCTAAAAGGGGACAGCTCACAGCGGTGTTAATACAATCCTCTCGATTCTTAACGAAGATCGGAATTTTCCTTGCGCCGGGAGATTTAAGGATTTTGGTCAATTGGGAGATCGTTTGCTCGAGGATTTGCGGCGGGCAAATGTCGATTTTGGTGATGACAACCATGACGGGAACATTAAGCGCTAGAGCAATTCCAAGATGCTCTCTATAACAGCGTTAGAAATCCTGGGGGAAGAGGGGGGCGGGGACCGATACGCACTTGCTCATGCCAATCAAACCATTATTTGCCGCAACCATCAATAGACAATAATTAGGCTCAGAGCTCAGCAAGCCGAAGACTGTGGTTCGGAGGTACCTCTCGTGTCCTGCTAGATCGGTGAAGCTGATGACTTTGGCCTGTCCTTGTTAGACATTTCACGCGGGGAAGGGTTCTTGTGGGTGGCGTACGGAGCGTCTACCAATCTCCTCCCAAGTCAACTTCCGACCAGCAACATTCGAGACTACTCCATCGCCTTTGCTATCGAAGCCCATAATCTCCATACCAACGGAGCTGGTCCGTCCACTCTCAAGTTCATGCTTATGCCGGAAGAGATTGACCCGCGCTTTACCTCGGCCATCGTCAAGACCTCCCTTAACAAGCACGCCGAGCATAGTACTCTTTCCCGCGTCCACTATTCTAAGTTAGTACCGCTCTCAGAGAGAATTGTAAAGACACACCATTTCCCACGACCGCTATCCTCGTCTCAATCACATCATCCACACTCTCCGGCCTCCGTCTAATCATCAACTTCCCTGATGCACCCTTATCTTTCGCAGTTAGCGGCCCCACCTCAACTTCCCCGCCCACGTTCCTTGTCATCAGCATCTTAACATCAGCGCCAACCCTCTCACACGCCTCTCCCAGGCGCAGCAGTGCCGCATCCCACTCCTTTTTCGAGAAGTTCATCGGATCGCCATTATCCTCCAACCCAAGATCAAACAGCATCTCGCCGTGGCCTTCAGCCAGACGACCGCGAAGGTAATCCGCAAGTGCAGCGACATTATCGTCCGCGGGGTCGAGCAGGAGGGTTTTCAACCTAACGTGGGATACAGCGTCGTCGGATAGGCCTAATTGGTCGATAATATCGAGCTCGTCGTGGTCTTCGAGTACCGCGGGGGTCTGTCCGGGCGGCCGTCGCAGTGCCTGTTGTTTCTGTACGTAGTCTGCGAATTCGCTAAGGGCCTGTTCAATAAATTAATCAGCCATTGGCCCTCTAAAGAGCAGGCGCTTCAGGTGAGAAGCATACTGATTCCCCCTTCCGCCGATCCACGGGGTTCAGTTTCGCATGTCGTGAGGTCATGACTTCTTGGCGCTTTCGCTCAAGTACAATTTCGTAAAGAGTGCCGTTGCCGTATTATTAAGTAATGCCGGAGTCGGATTCGATGAAAATGTTCCATGAGATGTCGCTGAGCTTTCATTGATGCGTACGGCGTGCTGGAGTGCGGGGATTGCTCTGGGAAGAGTGATGGGGAAGGCGTCGCGGAGTCAATTTAAGCTGCACCAGATGTTTCGTATCGATAGCGAGTCATAGGTGGCACGGGCGCCCTTGTGGAGGATGATGTGCCTCCAGCCACAGTGAAGAGTCACCCTCTGGAGAGGCAGATGTGTTGGTCGAATGATCAGCGGGAGATAATAGAATGTGGAATGTATTTCTTGACCGTGTTCACGTCCTGAATTCACATCTAGACAACGCATCCACCGCCACAGTTCACTCCCAAATCGTCACTCCAAGGGCGCAAATACGAAAAGGGCTCAGACAGAGAATTGTACGCATGCGCCATCGGATAGCACTATTCTACGGGTCAGCGCTCCCCCGATTCTGACCTTTGAGTCAATCGAACTCCCCGCATCATCGGCTCAGGACACAGCAACTCCCCTCTCCCCGCAATATTTCGCCACCTCTTTCTTCAGCGTCTCTTGCTGGTGGTTAACCGTGTCCATGATGTCGCTGACACCATGCACCGATTTGCAGTGCATTGAAGTGTCAACCATTTGAGCCATGACAGCTTGCAGCTGGTTTGGAAGCCACTGTGAAGATATTAGCACCTGCTACAACTAGGAGCAACATGTAGACCTACGGTAACGATAGGGCTTCCACCAGTCGCCGTCGGATGCATAGTGCGCTTGAGGATATACTCTCTTGTAAAGCACCAGTGCCGCCAGCGGAAGTCACGAACCTGGTCGAGCGCTTGAAGATACAGTGCAGCGGAAACAGGGTCGCCAAGAGCAAAGTCCTTTAAGTTGGATTTCTCTGCACAATCCCGCACAGTCTCGAGGAACTCACGATGATTCCCAGGCCGATATTGGCGGAAATCTTTAAGGATTTCCGTGAGTGGCGTTTGCGGCATTTGGATTTGAAGTAGGTTGTCGCACAGAGGAATCTTGTGGTAGTTAGTATGAAATCCTTAATTGAGAGACGAGCTTACCATGCTGTCGTTTGCCCCCGATTCGCCCCTAAAGGACATCGGCTCTTCGCTCACTCCTTCATAAACAACGCCTTTGGGGAACATAGACTGGGAAGCAATGCCAAAAATGAATGTGCGGAACGTTGTATAGCTTTGCGGCTTGCTACGGTTCCACATAGCTATCACACACGGTCAGCCATAGGGCAGGTGGGTGCTGATAGGGGAGGCTTACTGTTCATCACGGCGTTGACCCTCTTCAACCCCTCCACCAAGGTTCGAAGTCCCTCATCAAATCTCTCACGATTGCAAGTCATACATCCCTCAAGCATTTCGACTGTACCCTTGACTAGGGCGCCGGACTCCTTGACCATGGCAATGTGCACTAAGACGAAACCAGCCTCTGATGATGTTGGATCAAGACCATGCTCGAAGGCTCGGACTAGACGAAGATTGTTGTAGTCAAGACCCTTCTCTGGATCCTCCAATCGATAGTTGAACAACGCGTAGGAACCCGCATACTCCATGAAGGGCTTGAATCCGACACTGACGCGCTCTCACGTGATTAGCTACAGGTTAACCTTTATGTGTGAAGGGATACAGCGAAGGGAATTAGCTTCAAGCCACAGTAGGTAAGCAGACTCAACTTACATATCAGCAATCTTCACGATCGGCAGCGCGATGCATCGTGGCAAGGACTGTCGACCCAGGCCATACGGTTCGCCTTCAAGATAACGTCCATGGCAGGGTTCGAGGAGATACGCTGAGGCTAGGAAGGAGTAGTCACGGTAGAGGGCATTCATAACCACGAGATCATCTCGATATTTTTCAACTTCGGTTGTCAAATCTGGAAGCTCCTTGACAACAGTGTCACCGAAGGTGAAGCTTGCAAGAAGCCCAGGTTTCCCAGACAAAGTCTTGACGGGCATGCGTTGGAGGATGGACTCAACCGCTTTGAATTCGGGTGGGAGTTCGATGACTGGGTCTTGCCGGGGTAGGAAGCCTCTGGTCGTTGAGACCATGAAGGCTGGGAGGGAGTGGTCATCAGGACGAGTGTCTGTCAAGACCGGGAAGTCGAAAGAAGGTGCTGACATGATCAGTCTGTAAATCCGAATCGAATTCCGAAAGAAGAGCGGCGTTGTATTTCCACCGTACTTGTGGAGGAATCACTGAAAGGAACTAAAGAACCGTCTCTGGCCGCCCGAAATCTGCTTATATCTTGAGGCCGGAAACCTTCCGGCCACAAGATAGCAACAATTCCGGCCTCACCCACCAAAGCATTCTGATTCGAGATAATGTACGTAATAGCTGTATCACTTGTCCCTTCTCATGACCTCGTCCCGTCGTAATCCTGCGATTCCCGATATCGACCGCCGACCCGGACAGCACGATTGCTTGCGTGTCGAGGTCAACGTCGTCGTCGCCAAGACTTGTACCAATAGGAGGGGTTTGAGTGGCTGCTACTCTTATCATGGTTGGGCTAAGTCTAACGTAGGAAAAAATTCCAGCTCTTTCTTTTTGTCGATTCTATTTCAATCTAGGGTTGCAGGAGGCTCGAGAGCGATGTTGAGGTCTTTATCTCGGTAGATTGAGAGGTTAGGCAGAAGACATTCAGACCGAGCGTTAGCATCAGGAGAGGCAATAGAAGTGGTCATAATGCACTCTTAATCTTCCCCACTTACAAAAGCGACCAGGAGTTGGATGTACCGTCCAAGCGATGATGTGTGATGGAGTGAAAGGAGTGCGATTTCCCCTCATAAGATTCTGCGCTAAACCCGGAAGAATTGTCCGCCATTGAGCCAATCATATGTCGCCGCATCACAATAGCATCATATGCCTCACTTCCAGCTTCACGTATAATCTGAGATAGTCCTGTCATCACGAACCTCACACCTAGAAGCTCGAATGGGTAAGGTTTAGACGGCGCTAGCTCTGCCAGGCTAGTAGATATCGAAATGTGCCGCTGCTGCTGCGCCACCTTAACTTTAGAGGATGGTCGCGCTGGAGTCATCAGGCAGACATTTATTGCAGCTCATTTCATTTCATCTTTTCTCGTCCACCTTCACGTTTTACTTATTGCTTGTCCGCAGCGTGCAAAACCTTCAAGCTCTTCTAGCTACGCAACACGTGGCCCACCCACGTCGTTCGCCTTCTTCCGTCTCAGTGGCCATTCTAAAGCGCTATCAAACAAGAAGAGTAGAATATCTAACTCTTTCATAAACTCTAGCAGTTCAACGCCAGTTGCAGCCATCTCTCAGCCATGGAGACTCTCACAGAAACTACGCTCTACCCAAAGATCACAAACCACATCAAAGAAGTCGTCAAAGCCCTCAAATGGTCACACCGTGACCCATCAAACCCTGAAAAAGAAGTAATCCTCCCCTCAATACCAATTGTCGGCACCGTCAAACTCCATGGCACTCACGTGGACATCCTCGTGTACCAGGACAATACGATCGTTCTACAGTCACGGAATAATGCCAATCTGATGACCACCGCCGATAACCAAGGCTTTGCGAATGCTATGACAAAGAAAAGAGGCGCGATCTTGAGCCTTCGAAACCGCTATCACGCACGATGGAGAGAGCTGCATCCGGGAGAGCCAATTGATATGAGTGTACCCATCACTATTGCAGGGGAGTGGATCGGCGAGAAGATCCAGAAAGGGGTAGCTCTTGTGCGTCTCTCGAAGCGGCTCGTCATTATCTCCGTCAAGATCAATGGGAAGTGGGTTCCAGACGCCGATTACCCCAACATCGAAGAGCCGAAGGAGGGGATATATAACATCTCGCGGGGCGGCTTCTACTATTCAACATTATATCCACAAGACCAACAGTGCACGAATGACAATCTCGAGAAGCTGGCAGAAAGGGTCGCTGCGCAATGTCCTTTCGCGGAGAGCTTTGGTGTGATAGGCGAAGGCGAAGGCTTAGTCTGGAAGCTTGTCCCGCACATCGATCAGTCCGAGCTGTGGTTCAAGACGAAAGGAGGGAAGTTCAAGCCTACGTTCACATCGGCGCCAAAAAAGCTATCGGCGGATGATGCGGGAAAGAGACAAGCCGCAGCAACAGTTGCAAAAGCATGGTGCTCTGAGCAGAGAATGGAGCAGGGCTGGGACTATCTGAGGGAACAGTCGATACCGCAAAATCTAAAAGGGATAGGCGCTTTTCTCAAATGGGTACAGCAGGATATTCTGTTGGAAGAAGTGGGGTATATTGAGGAACATATGATTCATGAGCAGATGCTGAGGATGGAGATAATTGCCATCGCGAAGCCATGGTTTCAAGAGAGGTACAAGAAAGAGGACGAATGAATGATAGTAGAAGGGGGTGGTCATGGCGTTGAATGTGACTCAGGAGTGCTTCGGCCGAGGGACTGTCGTATTTGAGATGCAAAGCAGTGCTGATGTCCCAAACTGCCAAAGTGGAATAGCAGACATCTCCAAAGATACCAAAATCGCGAGTTAAGTGGATTTAGGAGACAAGCACTCGGAAGAATCAAATTATCAGTTTATCAACATCAGCAACCATCTCCAGAATGACTCAGAAACGAATTCCTCAATCCTGCGAGCCATAATCCCAGCTTTCCGCCAACAAATCCATGCAAATGCTGGTAACAAAGCTTAAACGAATCAAGCAATCCTGCCGTCCCTGCACAGACCATTGCCGATCATTCCTATACCACCTGCATTCCGCCTAGCCCCTCACCACCACACCACCTCATTTAGAGATGACTGACTCCGCCCCACTCCTTTCTCACGATCAATTCACTCCCCATGTCATGACCAACATAAAATCCCCCATCTCACCCCCCAATGCGCAACAAACTCCTCAACTGTCTCCCTAGCATGCGCTGGGTCCCACACGACATCCCGGCCACGGCCAGCACTTCCCAAGCCCAGTCTAGCTCACGCACACACCGATCACGCTTCTCTCGAAAGGCTACCAAAGACCACGAGTCCTCTATTGCGCCTCCTCTCCACCATCGAAAAAGCACATTGAGTATTACATCTGTCCCTGATCCCGAACTCGATGCGCGAACACATGTACAAGCGCAGAGTCCATTTTTCAAGAAACTGCCGATTGAGATTAGGATGATGGTCTATGAGTTGGTCATGGGGGAGGAGGTTGTGCATTTGACGCTGGGGAGTAAGGGGAGGCTTGGACATTTTGTATGTGAGGATGAGGGGAAGGAGGAGGAGGTTTTGGGGCAAGAATGTGGGTGTCGCGTGCTTGTCGGCGGGAGGGATTGTAGGAGGCTAGAGCGGTGGAGGGTGAGGTTTTTGAGGGTTTGTCGGAGAGTGTATGTGTGCAATCTATTTTATTCCATTTCCAACCAGACATTCACTGCACTTGTTATGGAGTGTTCGGTCCGAGAACGATTGCATCGCTGAGCACAAACAAAATTGCTACGATACTATGCTAATATCGAACAGATACTCCGAAGCCATCTCTATCCTCTATAAAGCCCACCCCTTCTCCCTCCTCCACTCTACTCACCTCCTCTACCTCCCCACCCACCTCCCGTCCCCCCGCCTCAACAACATCCGCATCCTCCGCCTCCGCTGGGCCATCCGCGCACTCCCTTACTTCCGCCGCCCACACTCCAAGAAAATCGCCTACCCCGAAGACACGCTAAATTGGCAGCGTGGGTGGCACATCATCGCTTCTATGAAAGGTCTGCGAGAGCTATTCGTAGTGTTGGCGGATCCGTCGCCGTTTAAGATGTGGGAGCAGAAGTGGATTGAGTTGGAGAAGGAACTATTGGCGCCTGTGAAGTTGGTGATTCAGCCCAGGTGGTTTGAGCTTTGGTTGCCGTATTCGGGGAGTAATGTGGGACTTGACATGGGGGGTTCGAGTTGTCGGTTGAGGAAGCCTGATGGGCTGGAGGAAGGCGAGGAGGAGGATTAGGAGGCCAATGTTAGCGGGCTATATCGCATGGTTTGGGAATCCAGGAGCAGATGTCCGTGAGAAAACCACTAAGAGGAATGGGAATACTTGAGAATGGAGTTAGTATCACCCTGCCATCTTCTACGAATTCTCTATCGGGTCATTTGATGTGCTGGATGCCGGTGGATGCAATGATAGGCCTATGGCTAGCCATGTGGAACGGTGATTGAGCCTATATAGACGTGAGAGGCAAACCCGATTGGGTTGTCTACCCTAGAAGAGGTGGCCTCAGAGGTATTCATGTATATAGAGTGTCTCCTTTGGCACTTGATCATGTTCCAATACAAATGTAATTGAATCATGCGTGTGTGCACGATACATCTAAGTGCTAGCCGGAATACCGACAGAATTAGAAGAATCGCCTGTATTCATTGCAGGCGCTAAGGAAGTGGTTGAAAGTGTAGCTTCTTGTATCTTAATTACTTCTATTCTCGACTCATATAACCCTAGGGGAACAAGATATTCCCAGGGGCCAGGTCATTTACAACCCAAAGCAGCTGGCATAATACGTGACCGTCGCAGGCCAATCGGTGAAGATTGCCTTGATCTTGACCTGCTTCGCCAACACATCCAGCACGGTGTACATATCTCCGTCGTTGTTGATGACCGACGCAACATACTGATAATAGTAATCGCCACCTTTGTTCAGCCATCCTGATCTATCGAAACTCCAAGTGATGATTTCCATGCCAGCTTTCTTGACTGCAATTGCGTACTCAGATGGCACGATGTTCTTGTTGGCATCGACTTTCGTCAAAGCGAAGAATGCAGGAGCCATGATGCGAACACCCTTCTTCGCTAGAGAGGGGATACTCGCGGTTGCATTAGCGTAACCCTCTGGCGTATCGACGCGTTCGTCAAGGTAGACAGCTTGCTTTCCAAATTTCGGCTCTTTCTCCAGCCAGTAGAAGATGTCGTCGGGAAGGAAAGATTGCGCGTACACGCGGCTAGGATCAATTCCGGCTTTCTTAAACGCGTCGATCATATCCTGAGCGTATTGCTGTTGGGTGTAACCATCGAACGGCATCTTAACTTGTGGAGTCTTCAATTCAGGAGTGAACTTGAGACCAAAGCTGTCCACGATTTTAATATAATCATTAAGGGTCATGAGCGTTCCGCATGTGCTGTACAGATCGGTTCGGAAATATGGTGTTCCATCCATGTATTGCGCAACAGTGGTTGCGTTAGGGTTGAAGCCGTCCATTTTGGCGCAAAGAGTCTTGAACTCGGCTTCCGTGATATCAGAAGTACAGCAGAAGGCATCGGCAGGCTTCCCATCTTTGGATGGGGTGAATGGTCGTGTGCATTTGGAAGCTAGGCTAGGCTTGCTAAGTATGTTTGTTGTGGTGTGGAGATCGCACTGCGCGTGACGGCACACGAGCTTTTTGTCCTTAGTGAATGCGACATCGCATTCGAGAATGCCCGCACCCATTCGTCGTGCAGCATGGAGTCCTTCGACTGAGTGCTCGGGGAATTGGAGTGGAGCCCCCCGATGTGAAACGACAAAATCCGAGGTTTTGAATGGTCCGTTCTCGCATTTCTGCAATTGGGTCTTTAATGGCCCAGCATCCATATTGTCCACGAGATAATACGGGCGTACTCCGACCTCAACATGCCAGTTGTTGTGGTAGCCATAGTCATCTTTCTTAATGACTGCAGCAGAAGCTAGACCGAAGAACAGACCGGAAGTAAGGAGGGTGTGCATCGTGAGAGATTTGCAGGCACTCGCAAATCCTGGAATTTGGGAACTGGAAACAAATGTTCCTGCAGCAAATCTCTCAGCGTTCCGGCGTTCTGGTGCTTCTTATTTCAAGAGTGTGTCTGACATCCCTTGAAGCTTCCGTCCATGGAGCTTTCATCCCCCTGCACGTGGGAGTTCGGTGCTTGACGGAGGTTCTTGGGAATATGCATCGGTTGAAGTCGTGCAGGGTTCATACGATTGCAGTGACATCGTCCCGTATTCTGAACCCTCATATGGTTAGCTTGCCAAGGTAAGCAGAGCACGTTGTCGAATGGCAGGATCTCAGCCCGTCGATGGCAAAAGAACACGAGATAAGTAACTGCATCCTGGAGAGACATTCTGATGATGGGGGAGCTCTTCCGGGTTGCTGGGATGACAGGAGATTGGGAGGTTGCTGAGCGAGGTTCACAGTGGTTTGTCGCGGACAGGGGTGTAGGCTTGGCTTTTTTCGTCGAACGACGGGAGAATCCAGAGAAAGTGTTTGCAGTTACGGAGCTCTCCATGCTCTAGCTACCTCCACTCCTTTGACCTACTGCTGTCTAGCCACGCCACCTGCTGCAGCCTAGAGCTATTGGTGGCCTTAAGTCACATGATGGGTTCATCTAGTACTATATAAACCTGTAGTTGCCCTCCTTTAGCAATGAATCTAGTTCCTTATGCCTCTGCTCCTCCTAGCTTCACGGTTATGAGCCCGGCAATTGCTTACTAGTCAATTGAGCTGTTTTTAAACCTATACTAGGGAGGGCTCCTTTGACACCCTGCGTACAATTGTGACCTCTTTGTTACGCCCTACCACCTCAAAGTTGCTCTTTTGCAGCACTTTAGGTATCTTTTAAGACTAATTAGTCACCAATCTTGACCCTGTGGTCTAAAGAGGTGATTTAAAGTCTCTACTTTACCAGTCGCATCAATCGCGACCTCTATAACCTCCTGAGTACGCTACCAAAGCTCTCAGTCAAGCACTGCAAGGACAAACTTGTCCACCGCAAGGACAAACCTGTCTACAGACTATTGTCACAACTGTTAACCAACCACATTACCAACATGACAGATTTAACTGATCTGCTAGTCTTAAAGACTGCAATCATACTTAATACAACCAACGACTGGGACTGATGGATCTACCTCCAAAAGTCAGTCGCGCAGCAGCTGTTTGTATAGGAATACTGCAACCCAGAGCTCTCAGCAGCTGAGGTGAGGATACTAGGAGACGAACCAGTCGAACCAACATACGGCGATCATCAATCCGGGGCTACTAAACCATTTGACATGGATGCGAAGAGCCTATCCAACTATACCGCCGACTACAATCGATGGGAGCGCAAAATTACAGAGTACAAGACCGCTAGAGATTTGCGCAGAGATCTCCCGTACAGTCGCACTCCAGCACTACTCCCCAATTGAGGATCACAATGATGCCTACAGCAATCTCGTAGCGCTCAAACGTCAATTGGCACCAACCAGCACCGATCGCCAAAGGATACTTATAGAGCAATACCGAGCTCTTCAAAAGAAACCACGCAAGGATTTTGAGGCATGGCTGAACGAATGGCTACAAACTGTCGGGCAGTGCAGAAGAGCGAGTCTTCCAGATGTCCAGGGTACCCGCGCGCAAACTGACTTTCTTCATACTATTAAGCCTCTAGCACCAGAGTTCGCAGCAAGCGCACTGCTCCATATCACAGAGAAAGAGCGGCCTAAGTTCAAACCTGGTGCGAAACCTCCCTGCATCTGCGGCAGCATCTATTGATTTAGCGAATGCAAATATTTGAACCCTCCTACGTGTATAGTCGGATAGGCTCTTCGCATCCATGTCAGATGGTTTAGTAGCCCCGGATTGATGATCGCCGTATGTTGGTTCGACTGGTTCGTCTCCTAGTATCCTCACCTCAGCTGCTGAGAGCTCTGGGTTGCAGTATTCCTATACAAACAGCTGCTGCGCGACTGACTTTTGGAGGTAGATCCATCGGTCCCAGTCGTTGGCTGTATTAAGTATGATTGCAGTCTTTGAGTCTAGCAGATCAGTTGAATCTGTCATGTTGGTAATGTAGTTAGTTAACAGTTATAGCAATAGTCTATAGACAGGTTTGTCCTTGCGGTGCTTGACTGAGAGCTTTGGTAGCGTACTCAGGAGGTTATAGAGGTCGCGATTGATGCGACTGGTAAAGTAGAGACTTTGAGTCACCTCTTTAGACCACAGGGTCAAGATTGGTGACTGATTAGTCTTAAAAGATACCTAAAGTGCTGCAAAAGAGCGACTTTGAGGTGGTAGTGAATGACAAAGAGGTCACAATTGTACGTAGGGTGTCAAAGGAGCTCTACAGCTCGATTGACTAGCAAGCGATTGCCGGGCTCATAACTGTGAAGCTAGGAGGAGTAGAGGCATGAGGAACTGGATTCATTGCTAAAGGAGGGCAACTACGGGTTTATATAGTACTAGATGAACCCATCATGTGACTTAAGGCCACCAATAGCTCTAGGCTGCAGCAGGTGGCGTGGCTAGACAGCAGTAGGTCAAAGGAGTGTAGGTGGCTAGAGCATGGAGAGCTCCGTAACTGCAAACAGAAAGACTTTGACCTCAAATTAAGTCCCAACCGATACCCTAATATGATCTCAGTATTCAATCGACTTCCTAATTATACCCTTTCCTCATCGTGGAGCAGATCAACATCCAGCAGGCCTCCTGTACCTTTCATTCCCTTCTAATCCTTGTCCTTCATCCCAATTCATTATTAAGGCACTATGAAGCACGAGTATCGAAGACAATCATACACCTTCTAGTTCAGCAGAAGCTGGCCCAAGGCCCAATGTACAAACATGTAACAAGCCTCCACCACCCCCTCCCTAGTCCAATCAGTCACCCTATCTACTCAGTAGTACCCTTCTCTCTGTACGCATTAACGCACGATAGCAAGAAGATTGAATATACTAGTAGAGAACCATACACATCATATATCACATTGAAGACAATATAGTACAGCAGAGGAGAAAAAAACCCTCTTCCCCAGCATCTAGCAACCATCCATCCACCCCGGCTCTCCATCTCAATTCCCTACCTTTTTAATGCCCTTCTTTCTCTCCCCATATTCGTCGTTAAGGACGATCCCCACTCGGATTATTTCCTTAGGCTTCTCTTAGAGCTTCTCTACTAGCTTCTTCTCTCCTCCCACTGCTACGTAATGCGCAACATGGAGGGGTAAGTGACGACAGGAATTTGCGTCCTGTTGACGTTCTAGCTGCACCCAGTAAGAGATTCAATAGATTAACTACACTCTCTTCATATCCCCTGTTACGTGGTGATATATATGCACAAACCTTAATCCGTTGAAACATTCTTATTCTACTTTCTATCTCATTCAGATTCTCTAGAAACTCCTTTATAGGCTTCCTCTCTGTCCTGCCATAGCCTAGCATGTACCTTCCACATTGCTATCTAAAACATTAGTAAGATGCGCCTCTAGCCCTGTCACCCAAACATGGAAGGGCTGAAATATGCACCCCCTGCGGCCTCTCCACCCCCATGATCATTTCTGAATTGGAGCGAGTGGGCCTTCAAGCACATCATCAGCCCGTTCTGCAACTAGACTACCAGATCAGGTGTGAAAATCTCAAGGACGCGCATAATTTGGAGCACGCGCTGATTGATAACTGAGCAAAAATCTCAGCTCTATATAGCGGCGGCAATATGATACAAAGATAGAGCCTCAAGGTTTTATCAGGAATGAAAAACTATAGCTAAGCCTAGAATAGCGTCAATATGCGAGCCATACTCATTGTGGAATATAGGGCACTCTGGTAGTGCGAAACATCTCATGAAGACAGGTAGGTAACGGAGCTTCGAGAGCTCCATAGCTGTGAACATCAGATCCCACCTGGAGAAAACTTCTACCTTCTATTTCATATCCACACGGAAAGTCAAGCACACCGTATACTTTACAAAGTGAGCCTGCACACAAAAGGGCCAGGCTCAGAGAATAGTTCTAGTAAAAAGGTCATCGTTGCTCATCTAAGATCCAATGCTTCGGTGATGGGATATAAAGTCTTTATCCGTGCAACAGATATGGAGGCAGGTATTTAGGATCTAGGGTTTGAGAAGGTACCTAGAAGCACTAAAAAATAAACTGGGCGGCCAAAGACGAAAAATGGGGAATGGTCATGCGAATCAAGCATTAAGCCACTAAACAACAAGAGGATAGTAAACTGTTTTATTTTTTCAGGAAAATTCAGCAATCAGGGACGAATAACCGTAGCACTCTAATTAGTAATTATTTAGATTAAATATTAAGACATAGAAACTACGCTCTCTAATACAGGATTTAATTAAACTGTGAGAGTCTACTTAAAGTTACCATCACCTAAAATGTACAGCAGTGTGATAAGCCTTTAGAGACAAAAATTTCTAATTTTAGATTTTATACTTCCCGAATAGGTCCCTTATTCGCAGCACTTACGTCCTAATACTTTTATTCTAGTAGCTTGTCACGTCTTCTGCTATGTGTTGGCAGTGCGCACTTTGAAATGTATATATATACCACGAGGATGCATGGTGGTGCTTACACTTTCAAAAGATGCCAATATGGGGAAGCTAGAGTCCCGTAGAGAAAGGAATTGGAATAAATTAACTGTTCAATCGGATCACGCACCTCGGAAGGACTGGAGTGAATCAACAAAGTCAGGTGCACCGGAAGTCAGTATTTCTCACCTGAAAGATTTGCCCTCACATATGGAAATTTGTTATCAGCGACTCCAATTTGAGGTGGCTATACACTTCCTTGGGCCTGCGCTGCGAACTTACCGTGGCGGACTACGATTTACCGCGAAATGTGGGATTTGGGCATTATATTCACGGAAATTATCCTACCCGTTCTTAACCCCCCGACCGCAACCCAGCAAAGCAGAGGGCTCAACTGTAAATTGGCTCTCGTCCTTGCGCAATCACTCGTGGTAAGGATGAGCAGCGTAGTTAAATTTCACATTGCGGCCTCGCTAACAGCCGTTGAGCGTTGGGGGCCAGTCCTTGCAACCGCGCAATATGGTCTCACTGGTAGGTTCCAGCGCGCTAAAACCATCAAACTGCCACTCTCCCAACGCATCAGCGGCCAGCTAGAAGGCAACCCCAAGCCACAGACTCCAATCCGGTCGCCCTGTTCAAGCAGCCGGGCCACGACAACAAAATAGCAGACTCAATGTAACGTTGCTCTACGCTGGAGGGTGTAGTAAACGAATCGCTTTCGTCAAGTGTGGGTTTGAGGCTTGATGGCCGAGGAGATGACTACAACTGTCAAGAGCGGAATGTGTCACTCTCAATGCTGGTAACCCTCCCGAACTACACAAGTAACTAAACCAATACGATCATTTGCTCACCACTACGCCCTAATCATGTGTACCAAACTAACTTCGAACACCCGGACCGAGTTATCGTCACTTGCAACCCCAAGTTGTTGCTTCTCGTTCTCCATGTTGGGCCTCCACGCAATTCGATTGATGGATCGAGCCGGGTTTAGCTTCGTATCAACCTTGGAAACCTGGACTTGCTCCAGCGCCGTTGGCAATCCACTACAGATGCTTATTTCGCCACCGTCCGTGCCATACGCGAACACGAATTGATCTTGTATTACGTGTTGAATACATGCGACCGCAGTTACTGCTGAGGTTGCGGAAATCGTTGTCTTAAGCTGCGCTTCGCTTCCAGAAAACTGCCAGATCTTCACGCTTTTATCTCTGCCTGCTGTCAAGAAGGTGTGCTCAATTGGGGCCCAAGAAGTATCCAGAATCATTCGGGTGTGTCCTTTGGGGTTTGACAGCGCGAGACTATAAGTGGAGTTCGTACCACGTTTCCAAACAGCCCACTGTCTGTCCCTTCCGACGCTGAGTAGGTATTGGTCATCGTGAGAGAACTGCAAGGCGGTCACTGTGAGAGAATGAGCTTTCAGCGGGGGCTTAACTTCTAGCCATTCTTTGGTATCGTAGATGCGGACTACTGCGTGGTCAATGGCGCTTGCCCGGCATGCCGTTGCTACTAGGGTACCGTCATTACTAGTTGCTACCGCTGATATTTCGTAACCATGTCCGTAGAGCTTCTCGGTTTCAGGCCAGAGTAAGTGCCGCGCAAGGTGGTCTTCAAAAGGCGGGTGATCAAAGTCCAGAGTCGATTTCCGAATGAAGGAGGCAGGATCGACAGCCTCTCGCTCGTCTTCGTCAGTCACAGAGGCTGGTTCATAGTCTTCCACAGCTTGGATGGCTTTGTTTGACAACCCAAGAACAGGAATATTGGCGGCATCGATAAATCCCTTAGATGTTGTTTGAATATGGCAAAGCTTATTCAAAATGTCGGCAACACCCTTGGGTTCATCAAACACCCGTAGGAGCTTTTCATCTGCCCCAGAAATGAACTGAGTATCTGTCACAGAATCGATGCAATTAAGATCGTATCCGTGGATCTGAGGTCTAGATAGTTCATGCCATGATGACCTATTCTCTCGCTTCCATTCGGTAAAGAGCCTCGTTGTTTGGTCGGAACTAGTGGAGAGAAGATATGATCCATCTTTTGACCAACATAATCCCTTCACTTCTCGTATGTGGCCAGTAATTGCGACCTGCTGCACCCACACATGTTCCGAAGACGAATACGTCCACTTTCTCCAACTTCCAGTTCGACCTAGTGAGACAATGGTATTGGCATCGGGAGACCATAGTCCGATCCAGAATCCTCCCGCGCTGCCAGTCGCAGTTGTCGAACCTTTTTGTGCGCTAATTTCGCCTAGTCTAGTGACGCAGACCCATACCCCAGAATTCGGGTCCGACTCCCAGATAGCAAGAGAATTATCTTCAGACGTGGAGAGAAGTTGTAGCTTTCCTTCCCGATGTCTCCATGATGCTGTGTATATCCAATCTTCATGCCCTAATAATAAAGCCTCAAATGTAATAGAATACCTCGCGTCTTTGGACTCGATCCTGTGGGCCTTGTTGGATAATGATTTTCCAAGTATTCCGAGGGCAGGATCATTGAGTGCACTGCTTACTGCAGGTAACTCTTCGCCTGTGTGTACGCGCCAAAGACGGATGTACTTGTCTTGGCTCGCTGAGGCCAGCAACAGGTCGCTCTCCCTGTTGCCCTTCCGTTCCCGGGTAAATTCCAACGCACGAATCCATCCCTCATGGCCGGAAAGGGTTGCAACAAGATCAAAATGAGTATCTCGGGAAAGGAAAATTTGGATTGTACTCCTTGTTCCAGCTACAGCTAAGATAAGCGAAGAATCGTCTAGGAACTCAAGCGCAATATTCAAGGGGAAAAACTTTGGTGACAATATGATTGTCTGAAGCAATTCGGCGTTAATGTTAGAGAAATCAGCATCATGCAGAAGCCTCCAGATCTTGACAGTACCATCTGATGCTCCGGTAGCAAAGATGTCAGACGCCGGTAAGGTTGCGATGCGGATGATTGGGCTCTGATGTTCAGTGATAGTCTTCACTGCCTCATAGATGATTTCTGGGTAACCATGACATCGCCATATCCGGAGTGTGTGGTCGGCGGAACCACTCAGAAGGATTGATTTGGATGAAATCTCAGTAGGAAAGAACTTCACTGCATTGACTGCCTTGTTATGTCCATTTAGTAGGGAGCGAACACCACGGAGTCCATGATCCTGCGCACATGTTAAATTGTGCGATTCAACCCGTTCTTTGGCTGCTTACCAAAGGATTCCACAAGGCTATGGAGTTGTCTGCTCCGAAAGCCAGTAGCTGGAGGCCTTTAGTATCCCAGTCGGCGGCGGCGGGATTCCTGTTGCCTCCTATTGAGATAAAAATCTCCGAGATATTCATCCTCGTCGTTAGGTTGGTTGGTTGGGATGTGAAAAGTCAGAAGTCCTTCGAAATCATCGAAGTTAGTCTCGCTTATTTCACTATTTCAAGACTAGCTCCTAAACCTTAAACCAAAGGCCTCCAAGGGTTCCACATTTCCAAGTGCGATCGCTCTATCATCCACCCAAGCATTGATGTCGAGTTCCAAGATGAAAAATGCTGATGAGATTGCAATAACGGTAGAGTTCAGGTATGTTATTTTATATGGGACCTCCAACATTGGCTCAAGAAGACTAACAGAGGGAAGTGGAGGGCTAGAGATGCTCTTCTCAAATGAACGAAAACACTCGCTCTCGATCCCCGCTAACGACCAGGGTGGATCGCGCTCGAACATTGCATCCCTGGTGAGATATCTCTGTCAGAACACCATGAAAGATCCAAGAAAGGATCTCTTTGTTCTTGATGGAACAGTGTGAGTATTCCCTCACTGAAAGCTACATCGTATCGCTGACAGTCCGGTTAGCCGACCAGGTATACTAGTACTCATCAATGATGCAGACTGGGAGCTTGAGGGAGAGGACAAGTATGAGATAAAAAGTGGTGACAACATCTTGTTTGTCTCAACACTTCATGGGGGTTAGTTGAATGAACACGAGCTCCGTGGGCCTATTGTCGGAGAGAAACTACTGTGGTTCTGTAAGAAAGATTTCAGTATGACAATGTTTTTCTTGTCGAAGTTTGGTTGTTGAAGTAATATTGCTAAAAACGCCTCACCTTTACCAGTATTTCCATGTTGACTCCAAACTTTGTTTCGCCCCCGCTAGTATAAAGCCAAAGAAGCCCCACGCTTTGATTCAAATTTTCTTTGGATATCCCCCTACACACACGAAATCAAAACACAATTTCCACACAGCATACCCACACAACACCGCCGGCACACCGCACTTGCTCGCCAAACCAAGCCAAGGCACTTCCAAACGCCATGCAATAAAGCTGAAGCACTTAAAATTCATTAAAGACCAAAATGAGCGTCCTGTTAGATTTAGAAGTCCCTCTTGAGACACCACCCAAAGAATCCAACAATAATGACCAAGGCTTGCAAGCGGAAGCCAGCCCCGAAATCGTGGGCCATCTCCTACGTATTTCCCCCGTAGAATTCATCGTGACGGCTCCTCCATCGGAATTGGATGAGATCGGCCTCAGTACTTGCTGGAGCTTCATGAACAAACACTCTCACCTAATACCGTCTGTTCTAAAAGCCTCCAATGTTCCCCCTAGTGACCCCACTCATCTACACCGGAGCTGTATGGCACGAGATCTTACGGTTTTCATGTACCGCGTCGGTGTTGGAGCCCCCACCTCATGGCACTATGGTCAGTGGGCTCGATCGAGTGTCTTGGATAGTTTCCAGAGCCCCATCTTCCTAAGTTACCTCCGCCAATTTTTAGAATATCAGAACATCCGATTTGGCCTTGCTGAGTGTGAGCTCGATGATTGTACCGTCGGCACATATCGCGATTACCTGCTTGCGGTTCTACTAGTATGGGAAGCACGAGACCTCGAGTGTGTTCACCAACATCTGCTCAAAGCTAACGGGGAACCCGAAACAGCGCTAAAGCATACGATTGGGGCTCTTAGTCGAGCTGAGTACTTTCTTGGATCGAGAATGAGAAGCCCATATCCATATTCAATGCGCCAATTCTTCGTGTACTATCGGAAAATGCAAGGTATGATTCTATGCTCCCCACCGGATCCGGCCATGACACCAGAAATCCAAGAGATTCGCCAGAAGAGTAAATATATAGCAAGGGTCGGTGTCGAAACCCTATGCGAAAGGATGGGAGAGTTAAAAGATGAGCCGGACAGCCCCATTGGCAAGATTGGATACTATTGGGAGAAACCGAGCATTTTGGACCGAGCATATGGGATTTATCGTAACGGCGACATCACAGCTCCGAGTAGGAGGCGGGCGCTCTGGACCAGAATCCAATGGGAGCCACGTTCTTTTAGTGTAACATTCTAAAGCGGAGGTTGCCACTAAAACCTGAGTCCGGATCGATTTGGCGCTAGGAACTTCTGCTTGAGTCGTTTTGCAGGGTTTACATTAATTATCCAATATTACAGTCAAACCCCGCCAAGCCGATAGGAATCCAGCCACGTCAATTCAATCGCCTTACTAAGGGTATCGGCTTACTAGGGTTGCCAAGATGTGTCTTAGCAATAATTTAATTATATAAGCCAACTATCTAGTGTTTGTTAGCGCTAATGTTAAGCCTTGTAGGCTTAATATTGCCTCTCTAGGCGCTTAAGTTAGCAGATGTCTGTATTAATTACTGTCTCTTAGTGTTGTTAGTATTATAGGAGTAACTAGATAGCCTAAATTACTTAATAAGTTATAGGTAGAAGTATAATCTTACTCTTATCTTTAGCTTAAGCCTTCTTAGTATTAACACTATTATTATGCTCTGTAACTATATCCTTAAGCATTTAATCTTCCTTCCTAATATTAGTGTCTTTATTAATTAGATTAAGGAAGTTACTAAGGCTTATTATATTCTATATCTAGCTAGCCTCCTGCGTACAATTGTATAGGCCTAAGAGGTCTAGTTCTAGCTAGAGGGGTAGCTGCAGTACCTGTAGTAGGATAACTGTACTGCAGTAGAAGCAATTATATATTATTAAGCTTAATATATTATTTATCTAAGTAATGCGCAGCTATTAAAGCGTGTTTTAAAGTGTAATTATTAATAGAAGGTTGTAGCTAGCCTTATACTTCTTTACTATAAATTAAAGCTAGTATTTTTTATAGTAGGTCTTTAAATTCTAAATAATCCCTTAATTAAAAAGTTAATATAGGCTTGTTATATTTAGTAAAAAAAAGGCAACATAGATATAAGATAGTAAAGAAGCCTACTATAAGCCTTAAATATAAGCCTTAAAGTTATTTATAAGAAGAAGAATTAGCTAAGCTGTAACACTGCTATAAAAATATATTAACTACTTAGCTATAAGTGTTAAGTTTATCTATGCCTTATTTACACGCTAATATATATTAAGCGCTTAGAGATTAATACTACAGAGAGGTTAAGGCTGCTTAGCATAGCTAATAAGCTATAAAGATAGCTAATAAAAGCTAGTTACATTAGTACAGCATACTACAGTAATTCTTAACTTTAACTTTTTAACTCTAGGTAAAGGCTAGGTTAATAGCTTTTTTGCTAGTGTATTTCTCTAAAATAACTTTATCTTATTTATATTATATATATCCTTTTTAGCATACTTGCTATAAATTATTTAAACTAATTTTATTACTTTCTTTGCTGCAGTATTGTCTACAGATCTAGCCTTACTGTAGCACTATTAAAACTTAATATTAAAGCGCTGCTAGAACTAATATAGCCAGCCCTAGCTAAACTTTAGAGGAGGTAGATGTTAATACTTGTTAATTTATAGCTAGATCTTACATGCTTTCTTAAAAAGTAGGTTGCTAGTAATATAGGCTCTGCAAGCTTCTATTAACTAGAACTACTAGAAGAGTATTAAGTTAAAGATTAGCTAATTACTAGTTATACATTACACTGCTAATAAAAGCTGCTAAGAGAGATTAAGTTAGTTAATATTATTAAACATGCTGCTTAGTAACTTAGAGACTGTTAACTAACTAATTTTATAGTTATACTGCTATAAGAACTACTGTATACAGTCCTTATAGCATAGTTAAGGTGTTTAACTCTTGTACTAGCTTCTAAGAGCTCTACGCTGTTCTTTTATAATCCTGCAAGCTATTACTTGTTAATTTTAGTAAGGCAATATTTTAGTGTTTTGCAGCTAATATATTAGGGGGTGAGGTATTAATTAATTTGTATAGGGGGATAATTAAGGCACAAAAAAATTATTGCAATATTAAGGTTATCAGCTTGGCAGGTGATTAGCTTGGCGGGGTTTGACTGTACTGCTATTTGTGTATTAGTAACCTTTGTTGCTGTGAATGAAGAACACAAGCTCTGCGCTGTGAAAAGACAGCGGGTGCATAAAGTACACGTGACTGATTACATAACTGCAAGGCTCGTGAATTTCGAGACCTCGGGGCCAAAGAATGATCAGAATCAACAGTTCTAGGAAGTCCGCGCCACACGCGCTAAAATAACGTACTATATTCGTACCTGCTGACTGTATCGATATTTAAATTTGTTTAGAATTTGCCGTTCCAAATGTACGCAATCTCGCTGCGACCGTTAAGGGATCTCGTTCAGGAAGCCCACAACCCTGGCCAAGAAGACCGGAGCTCCAATACTGACTGAGAGGATCATATTACATCTCTCGCACCTGTTCTGTCGCCTACCGCCCGAACCTCAATTCTCCACTACGCACACCGCCATGGGATCCAACGATATCCCGCCTCCTCATGTGCCTTCTGCATACCACGCAACATGTACGGTCCTCCTCGCTATTGGTGGCTGCCTATGGACTGTGACCTACGTTCTTATGATCCGACAGTCACTACGTGATCGAACCTATTCAATGCCTCTCGCCGCCCTCGCCTTTAACTTTGCTTGGGAGATCATGTTCACGATCTACATCTCCGAGACTAGCCTAGAAAAATCTGTTTTCGCCTGCTGGATGGTCTTAGACATAGGGCTTGCGTATACAATGGTGGAATACGGCGCCAACGAGTGGAGACACGCGCCTGTTGTTGGTCGACACATTGGGAAGATACTGCTCGGGTCTGTGCTCTGGATTTGTTGGGCTCTCTGGGCTTTCTCGTCTTGGTGGGTTGACCTGGCAAACCCGATCAACCCAAAAGATGGCAAGATATTCAGAGGCGTAGTAGGGCCAGATACTACGGAGCTTGGATACTGGACGTCGGTTGTGGCTCAGGTTTTGCTTTCGGCGATGCTACTCGCTCAACTAATCGTGCGTGGACACAGTGGGGGTGCCTCGTACATGATCTGGATGGCACGTTTTTTTGGTAGTCTAAGTGGGCAGGTCATATATTATGGCTATTGCTATTATGTTTGGTCAGAGGCTCACGGATATTTCATGAGTCGCTTCTCCGTATGTTTATGGATGACATGGATCCTCGCTGATCTGGCCTATCTAGTTGTGCTGAAGAAAGTCAAGGGGTCTGAAATAATTCTTAAGGATGGGCGAAAGATAAGGGGCGAGACAGAGGGTGGTTTTAAGGTGCTCTAGTAGTGGCATCAAAATCAGTCACCAAGCCTGGAGCGTAAAATGACTTTTGATAACGGTTTAAATCCGAGATATAACAAGCACGTTGCGCTTTTTAAGAGAATAGTTAAGTGAATGATGTCTTCCATCCTGCATGCTGTATTCGTAACCTCACCTACATCGAGTGAGGGTAGAGAATTGAGAGTGTCAGCTTGGCCTGTTTGGGACGCCAAGCCACCAATTGTTCAAAACACGTGCAGACGCGAAAGCGCGGTTGGTGTTCGTCGTCTCTCCAACGAACGCGCGGAAACAGTCTCCGACCATCAGCGCTTCTACATGCAGCCCAGATGGCGTCTTCCGATAATGATGACGAGGAACTTCGACAGGCTATTGCAATGTCCTTGGAAGAGTCGAAACCTCCCGCACCTTCATCTACCAGCAACCCTTCCGAACCTATGCCAAACTCGGAGGCTTCGTTTGATGAAGATATGCGGAGAGCTATTGCCTTATCCCTTGAAGAGAGTGTGCCAGAGATCAACTCCACTCCACTTCCAAATCAGAATTCCAAGCCTACATCTTCGGTGCTACAAGGGTGAGTCTTCCGCAGCCTCGTGGAGAGGGAACCTCCCACTCAGTCGTCTATTTAGGTCTTTTATCAGTCACTATTGTGCATGCTAATTCATACTCTAGCTGGCATGGAATAGATCGGAAAGCAATGGAGCAAGAGAGGCTTGCAAGGCTCGGAAAGAGAAAGCGATCTGTTTCTCCAGGTGCCCCATCAAAGGCAGCGAAACAAGAAGTCGGTTCAAACTCAACACTAGAGAACCCGACAGAGTCGAGCGCACCAGGACATCCGCCTATTCAATACCCTCGTGGAGTGATCAAGCGGACATGGGCCTTCAAACACAAACGAACCAACGACATCAAGATTGAAGAAGTGCTCCAAGCCCCAACCCTCAACATTGCCGTCCTCAGCGCATTCGACTGGGATGTTGATTGGATATTCTCCAAACTCGATCCGGTAAAGGTCAAGCAGATCTGGATTATGAACGCTAAAGGCAAAGACCTGCAAGAGCAATGGCGACGCGATGCAGCTGAGCAAAGTGTTCCAAACCTCAAGATGCACTTTCCGCCTATGGCCAGCCCGATTCAGAACATGCATAGCAAGCTGATGCTACTATTTCACGACACACACCTTAGAATTGTCCTGCCGACTGCAAACCTCAACAAGTTTGATTGGGGAGAAACGAACCTCAATGTACGCACCAAACAGATGGAACAAGCTGCAGTCATGGAAAATTCAGTCTTCTTAATTGACTTGCCACGATTTCCGGATGGCAAAGCAGGGGCAAGGGAAGATTTGACATGGTTTGGGAAAGAGCTACTCTACTACCTGGAGGCCCAAAAACTTGGAGAGACCTCGAAGAACGCAGTGGAAGGCGTACTGAAATTCGACTTCTCCCAAACTAGCCACTTGGCCTTTATCCATTCCATGTAAGTGTTTTCATGCGGATGTGGGAGCCATCCACTCGGCACCGATTCCTAGCCCACAGCCAAGATGACCAGCCCACCTTCCCAGATACTAGCATGAAGACTGCCAGCTAACCTTGCACAGAGGCGGACGACATGCCAGTGCGGGTGCGCATTGGACTGGGCTTCCTGGTCTTTCCATGTCACTTCATAGGTTAAACCTGGGTGAAGTCTCACAAATTCAACTGGACTATGCTACGTCTTCCGTGGGAGCTCTGAACTTAGAGTTCTTGAAGAAACTGTATATCTCCGCTTGCGGGCTACCCCCATTCAAAGACCACAACATTCCTAATGATTCCATCCTTTCCCAATTTCGTTTCTACTTCCCGAGTCAGGCCACTGTGGAGAACAGCACAGGTGGAGTGGCGTGCGGCGGTACCAACACGCTAAATGAGAACCATTTCTCCTCTTCTGCGTTTCCGGTCCTGTCCATGCGCGACTATAAATCCACGAAACCAGGAGTCCTCTCTCACAACAAGATCCTCCTAGCACGAGGACGCCGCGGAAAGGAAAATACACCCTTTGCGTGGGCTTACATTGGCTCTGCGAATCTCACCGAGTCGGCGTGGGGAGCCCAGAAGCTGGCTAAGGCTCAGAGGAAAGAAGGGGAAGAATGGGGGAATACCGGGATGCCTTTGCAGCGAGGAGACAAACTTGAGGTTCGGAATTGGGAGTGCGGCATTTTGGTACCTGTTCTTGACGATTCACTCGAGGATCTCAAATTAGGCCCAAGCGAGGTGCCTCCGATCAGCGTGTTCGAAAAGACGCTTGAAATCCCATTCCAGTACCCTGGGGAGACGTATATTGGAGAGAACAATTCGCAACAAAAGAAGCCGTGGTTTTTCAGGAGCCAGGGAAACATTGCTATGGTTAACAGACTCGAACAGGCAAGGAAGACACCACGTTAATTGAACATTGGAGGAAGTTGCAGCAGCTTTGAGGCTTAGTAGTCCTGTACACAATTGCTAGAGGCCTACCAGGAAGACACCTACGGTTGGGTTGTCTCGTGAAAGGGCTTGGTTAGATTTTACGAGGTTCTGCTTGGATACCTTCCCACACACTGATTCGTGCTTGAGCAGAATGTTTCGAGAACGGATCAGAATGGCTTAGTTGGGACTCTGAGGGCGTAACTTGCAGACTTTCCACATTCCACGGGGATTAATACCCCGGTGGGATACGGGAATACGGTGTGGCACATCATTGAACTTTGAACTTCGCACAGAATTGATTGTGATAGGCTACCAATGCGTAGTAAGAACCCGCCATGCCCAAACCAGGGTGGTGGTGCATGAACCTGGGGCAGATCAGCTGCGGACAACGAGCGGCGGAAGCCAGTTTTCACGGCTTTTCTAAGGCTTTCCAAGGACGGCCATCGGAGAGTCGGAGGTTTCGCGATGGCTGATTGATGACACAACGCTCACGAAGTTAGGAGCCTGAAGTTTGGGGTATTGAACCCTACAGACGAGCCATAACCCTTTGGTATGGGGTGAAAGTCTTTTCATGCCTATAACCCGCAGATTCAGGCAATTCGAGACTGCTGGCGAGAGACGCGACTCCCGTCGCGATCCTGCTGCCATGCCTACGAACCCCAATCCCTTCCTAGATATCCAGAGACGCACGCCCATTACCGCACCTCATCACGGATGGCTAACATCGCCTGCACGGTCCCATGCGAATGTGGGACAGGGCAGTGAGTTGCCTCTACATTTAATCGCGTTGATCCTCTCTCATGTATGTCTCCCCGCCAAAATGGAGTCGCGCTTATAACTTGATTCATGGTTGATTCGTGACGTGTAGCTTGACAATGTAGCCGATCTTGCGAGAATAACGAGAACTTCGAGACTGTTTTATTATATGACTTTGCCTCGCCTATACGAAGAGGTTACCTTACGCTCCTACTCGGAGATACGATATGTCAACGGCAGGCCAGAGGGCTACGGCAACGGGAGTCCGTTTGCGATGGGACTTAACACGCTGGTGTCGAGAACGTTCACAGACTACGTGCAGACATTCAGAGTGATAGGGGACTGGAGGGAACATGATATAGAGGATTACTCGAAAGGTCGCGTGCCGGATAACAGCATGATGCTACAAGTCGCAATGCGCGCCGCGCTAGACAAGATGAAAAACCTCCAGACATTCGCGTACGTTGCACGCACTATGTGTCTAGAGATGTGGAGATGCTGACAGTGTGAAGTTGGGAGCTGAACACGAAGCCGATGCAGACCATCTATCAAGGCATTATGACGAAGCCATCTCTGACATCTCTCACACTCCGCTGCCAAACAAAACGAATCCCGCGACCTACCGCGCTCATACCTCCGCTCCCTAATCTCAAAACCCTCATTGTGTACGATATGGATCCCCTCTGCTATCCCGACGACATTTCGCTGCTCCTCCTTACCTCTAAGAAACTCGAGAACCTTATGCTACACTGGAGTCCCCGCATGCGCGAAAGCGGAGAAGAATCCGTCAACCTCATGAACTACTTCGGGCGGTGCCTTGCCGCGCGCTACGCAGTTCCCGCGAAGCGACTCGCATTGTATAATCTTTACGCACGGAATACTGGCGAAGGATTCGAGAATTGCTTGGATGCTTCATCAGGGGAGGAGATCACGGTCATCAATTGTATGGGCTCGTCAGACCCCATGACTGTGTTTCTGGATGATACTTGGAGAGTGAACAGTAACCATAAGATTCCTGAGCGGCTGAAGATGATGAGAGGGGACATCGTCGATAAGGAGCATGTGACCATGCTGGCAAAGTTTCATGGCCTGGAACGGCTGTACCTTCTTAGCCGGCGGAAAACATCGAGAGGAAGTAGTACAGCAGCAACACCAACAACGCCATCTGTTAGCACGCCATCAAATTGTACGAGCACAAATGGTGCGCCATTTACCGAACACCAATGCAAGAGTCTGGCTGGTGACTATCTTGCAATAATAGCATCAAATCACCGAACAATGCGTCATCTTCTACTGTTAGACAATTGGCAGCTAAGCGACGGCGCTCTCCTCAAACTCTGCCAAAGCTGCCCAGACCTCGAACAACTCGGGTTCTCTTCCGGCGTCCCACCTCTCGGTTTCCTCCGCCAATGCCTCTCTCTCGTGCCCAAGCTGTGGGCATTGCGAGTTCTCATTCGACCGGGCTCCGACCTAGCAGAAAAGCTAGATAGCATAGAGTTCGAAATGCATCAATTCGCGCTTGCTACCGAGCTCTGGAGACCTGAGTACAAAAATCTTCGATATTTTGGTCTAGGCGATAAATACACTTTTAAATTAGGAGGTGTCGTGTTTCCACCGAAAGGGTCACAGGCGAATATTCCAGACGGACAAGCGAATTCGATGAATGCGAGGAAAATGGGACCAATAAGGGTGATGAGGAGGATTGAGAGAGAGGATGTTAAGCATGTGGAGATTTGGTGTATGGACTCGACGGAGTTCGAGCCTAAGTTCCCGTGAAAGTGATGGTGGAAGGGAAAGTATTTCTCAATATACGTTACTTGGGGTTCTGACTTACAGCTTGCTTGTTGTGCACACAACTGGACAAGATTAGGGTTAAGCTGAGGACAGGATGGTACAGAATTTGGCATGATACTACATCATGTACGCCATCCATATCTTTTTCTTTTTGCAGCGACGAGTCTCCAGGATCAGCACATCACGACCTAGTCCTCAGGATGAGGCTCCGGAATAACGGAATGCAGCTCAAGGAAGAGTAGTTGAAAAGTTCAGTCACTGTATGACTAGGCCAGGGTTTACAATGTATATTTACCTACCACTCATGTCAAAAAGCTTTTGTTCATGATCAACACGTGAACACTTGCTCTGCTACGATTTTTAACTACATCTCCAACTTCAAGTTAGAATGTAGTGCAGCTAATAATAGCATCCTTCGGAATATGATCTCCCCTGTCGGCGTGGCGGAGCATTCCGCCCTAGCCACCTCCACCTCCACCTCCACCTCCAAATTCATACTTGAACGTCATTTCTATCATCTACTCGCGTAGCTTAGTAGCTCCAAACACCTAGCTCTCACCAGTCACGCACTCTACAAACTTAAACTCAAGAACTAAGGAGGGAAATTGACCCTATTAATTTCATTCCACCAATGCTTTCCCCTAATGTCATTGCGTTGATGATACTCTCCAAGGATCATGTAACCTGTAACCCAGGCACACTACTCCAGTCTGCATCTACATAGCCGGCTTACCGGCCTGCATATCGACGCTAGGGAACGGCTCGACGCCTGATTTTGAAGGGATGCGATTGGAAGTGGAGGCTGTTGTAATTGGAAAGATGTCCGAGTGGCGGTGACGCTGGGGTTGTTAAAGGCATCGCAGGGCGGAGGGAGGAAGCTTCTTTTTACCTCCACCCGGGCAAATTTTGTTCTCTCTTGCCTCCTCTTGATTCGTCCTAGATTCTTTGGGTTCGTATGTACGACGATGGGGTGGAAAATAGAAGCGCAGATTGCTCTGGGGTTCGGGATTTTGGTAGGATCTATGAATGGAGTAGGTGGGGCAACGAACAGGATGAATGAGACTTGTGAGTTTGATTTCTGTTCGTGATGAAATCCCGATGTGGTGTTAGATATTCTTGATTCATGTATTTCTATCACATCCTGATCGTTCTCATCCCCACTACTCTTACTTTGCCTGTAAGCTTCATATGGCATGTATACCTAAGGGCAACAACGGGACTGAATGTTATAAATTACAACACAAGAGTGTCTCCTTTCGACAGTCTTCCCAAATCCATTCGTAAACATTTCTTCTGCCTAATCAGTTCCCCCATTGTGCACCTGGAACTTGTCGTACCCTCACATCTCCTTCCCATCTCGATTTCTACGCAAAAATAACACCCAACAGTGGTTCCTTTAACTTTCCAACCCCTCCCTCTAGGCTCCATTACACCACTGGGCTGGCTCAAAGACCAATTAACCCTCGAAGCCAGCGGCCTCGCCGGCCACGAACACGACTTCTACAACTATGTCGTACATTCCACCTGGCTCGGCGGAACGCAAGAATACTCTGCCCTCCGAGAAGGCTTTCCGTACTGGTTCAATGGGCTCGTACCGCTCGCTTACTCGCTCTCCGATTCTCGCTTATTAGATCAGGTGCACAGCGCCGCAGACTATGTCTTAGACAATCAGCAAGAGGATGGCTGGCTGGGGCCGGAGCAAGGAACCGAGAGAAACTTCTGGGGCAGAATGCCGTTTTGCCTAGGGCTGATGCAATTGGCACAGGCGGATAAGGAGTATGAGGGGAAGGTGGTTAGTGCGCTTTGGAGGTTTTCGGGGCTAATGAATAGTATGTTGAGGGACAATTTTACGGGGTATCACTATCATGAGGGAGACCAGGTTGGGCAGGGTGACGAGCAGTGGTAAGTCAACTTGCGTCTCTACCGGTCCATCCACAATTGGTTTTCAAGAGAGCTAAGGAATGCTTACAGGGGCCGTGTCCGCGTACAAGACATGCTAATAACCCTTCAATGGCTGTATGAAACGCATCCTACAGGTAACATGACCCAACTCATGGAAAACATGGATCTCCTAATCCAAGGATCGCTCAACTGGGCCGAGTGGTACAACACAGCAACTTACATCACCAAGGACCTCAACACCGTCCCAGTATCCGTCACTGAACCTCACTTCGCCTATGAACACGGCGTAAACATCGGCCAGGGCCTCAAAGCTCTCGCTGTTTTCCGAAGAGTAACGCATAACGACTCGCTTGTGCAGACATCAAAGAATGCGGTCGATTGGACGTTCCAGTATCATGGCGCGGCTTCCGGGGCTATTCTCGCGGACGAGAGACTCGCTGGATTATCGCCGTACTATGGGTCCGAAACTTGCACACTAGTGGAGACGATGTACTCCTTATCTTATCTGTATCAAGCGCTCGGCGACTCCTCGTATGCAGATAGGTGTGAGAAAACTGCCTTCAATGCCTTCCCTGTCCAACTCACGCCGGATTGGTGGGCGAGGCAATATGTCTCTCAACCAAATCAGCCGTACTCTGAGAACCTTACAGAAACGCCGTTCTGGAACGTAAACGACTGGGGCCAGACATACGGGCTTGAAACAGACTACCCATGTTGTACGGTGAATCATCCGCAAGGGTATCCCAAATTCCTGTCCAATTCGTATGTGAAGGTTAACGAAACGGGTCTCGCGCACGCATTATTGAGTCCTGGAGTTGCAGCAATTGGGGACACGATTGTCAAGTGCGAGACAGCATATCCATTCGGTAATACACTCATCTATACCATCACCTCGAGAGAATCATTTGACTTCTACGTCCGCGTCCCTTCCTGGGCCGAAGCCTCCAGCACCTCCATCTCCCTCAACTCGTCGACCTCGACCGTCAAGCCGGACTCCCACACCGGCCTCCATAAGATCGCCATTCCCTCAGGTTCCACGATTGTGACGTACGCAATCAGTAACCTAGCCATTGTCCAAGAGAAAAGAGCGAATGATACAGTAGCAATTCACCACGGCGCTCTCATCTACGCCCTCAACATCCCCAGCACAAACACCTCCCTAGCCCCCAAAAGCTATTCCAACAACTCGCCCCTCCCGTCTGGTTATGCACCACCCGAATCCAGAGACTGGATCATAACACCAACATCCACATGGGCATATGCTATTGATCCCTCCACTCTAACTTTTCACAGTGTCAATGGCACTGACACCAGCCTAGCCAATCCAATCTTCGCGCCAGGCGCAGCGCCGATGTATATTACAGCCAAAGCGTGTGAGATTGAGTGGGGAATGTATAAAGGTGTTCCGGATGCGCCGCCAACGGGAGGAAATAGGAAATGCAAAGGGAATAAGACGACAGAAATCAGACTTGAGCCTTTGGGAGGAGCGAAATTGCATTTGGTAGATTTGCCGGTTTTAGATTTAGGTGGGATAGCCTAGGGGATGCAATTTAGTTGTCGTCCTTGACGTGGAGAAATGTGAATTTTTATCCAATAGTGAGCGGTTTTAATTGTAGAGCTGTGGTTCAGTTTGATTCGATTCTAGTTGCGAGTGCGGAGCCGTATCGCATTATCTACAACACTATCGTCCTGGTAAGGCAGCTTTGGTGCTGTCAATTAATATAATGCGAGAGGGACCCCAGCTCTAAGAGTATCATCCCGTTTGCTTGGATACACAAGGTTGGGAGGGAGGATGAATACAGTTAGTGGATCTACCGTCAGGGCCGGAGCGAGCAGGTTCAGGCCATGTCCATTTAATGCATGCTTATTTCATGCAGCCTTCAATCATTAAGGCTTCTTCCGTGGCCGCTCCCTAAGGAACATCTTCATCCTAAAGAGTAATACTGAAGTCCAGGATTTCAAATCTGCGCTTTTCACATTTATCTCCGTAGTTTATTTGGACCAGGTTACCAATCGAATTTCAAGACCACGATGGACCCTGGTACGCCAAATGCGGCGGTTTTCTCCATATGAGTAGAGTGAAGTTTCTTTGACGCTAAAATAAGCTTCTCCGTGGGGTTGGTAACCAGAAAACTGGGATGCGCCTGTCGCCAATTCGAGGGCAGAGCTTTGGTGCGACGGCCGAGATGGCAAGCGGCCTATCTGAATGTATTGCGTGGTTTCTGAGAGAGAGCTCAGGAACTACAAATCCGAAAGGTATGCCATTTCTTCCGGGGTGTATTAGAAGTACCCGAAATGAGCCCATCTACCTAACCGCATTCTAGATAAGGATTCTAGTGAGAGCGTATCCATCTTTTCTGTTTCTATTTGCATTGCCAGATACGAAGGAAAAGTACTCACTCTTGTAGGACCCAGTCCGGCGTTTCAAGCCGTTCGGATTCTACCCCCGATTGTGGAGTTTAGAACGTTCACAATAGTAAAGTTCGTGTCGGGCGGCTGCAAATCAGTTCCAATGAGGCTTGATAATTAGCTATTAGCAGTACTGACATGGATACCCTTTCATGACAATCCGGAAAAGAGGAACGCTGACCAGAGTCTTTTCGAGAGATACTGTCTTTCGTCGGGGCAGAAAGGTAAAGGTGTCGAACAAGACTTGAGGCGGTAGCATCTCGAACGAGGTATGAACAGTATGTTGTTAGGATACTTGAGAAGCATAAACTGAAAACAGTCGTGGGAATCCTGTACACCTTGCTCGCTTCGCCGCAACCGTCACCCAAAGTTCACGATTTTGAATTCATCCAATGCATATTTTATCCTAAACTCAAATTTTAGTCCTCACAAAAATCTTACCAGCCCGCAAATATTTCGTCAGAACAAGCAGACCAGTCGCTATGACCATCCCCACCGCCGCCACCAGCCAAACGCCCTGAAACTCATTCTGCACATCTGACTTCCTCAAGCCCTTTGAAGCCCTCTTTGCAGCTCCTGCAATCGGATTACCCACCAGTCCTCCAAATGCCGCCACCGTATATGCCATACCCATTTTTGTGCCCAGCTCCCTTGAGTTCGGGGTCAAGCTCGCGATAATCGGCGGAGGAAGACTAATCATGCCTCCGGAAATAAACCCATATATGACAGAAATCGCAACTAGCCCTCCAAGGTTGTTGACAAAGCGGAAAAAGAACAGTATTAGAGCGGACAAAGCAGCTGAAGGAAACATGACATGCACGCCTCCGTACCTGTCTGCAAGCCAATTTGGTGCAAGGCGTCCCAGAAGGCTTGCGGCATTCATGATGCTGAGTAAGTTGAATGCCATTTCCTCGTTGACAGAGAGTTTGAGAGCGTAGTCTTGAATGTAGAAGAAGGGAATGTAGGCGGATGCGATCATCAGAGTGAATGCTAAGCCAATCATTAGCTACTTGGTTTTTCCTGATGAATCCTTCGAATCCACTCTGATGTCCAAGAGATTTATTAACGACAGATTTTTCAACTTACCACCAACGAATGCGGCGTACGGTTTGTCGGCGAGCATCTTGATGTTGAATAATGGGCCTTTCCGCTTCGGTCGATCCCTCAATCGCATGACTGCCATGCAAATAGCCATACATCCAAGGATCAAGAAAGCAAGTGTGCGAACAGCCCACGCAAACCCGACCTTGACAAAGAGACGGCGCATCATAAGGGGGTAAAGAATTCCCGCTTCAGGTAACACGTTAGCTTATATCTCTAAGCACTCATAACAGAGCAATCATAATGGGGCATACCGAGACTACTTCCAGTCGCAGCAATACCTGTGGCGATCATCTTGCGGCGTTGGAAATACAGCGGAATAACAGCCACGCTTGTCAATCCCAGTAACCCACTTCCAATTCCCATGCAGATTCCTTGAGCCAGGAATATCTGCCAGTACTTAGAACATTCCGCCAAGGCGAACAATCCCGCGATTTCCAACAGGGTTCCTGCGGCGATAAGGAAGTGGAGATGTCCCGCGTCGAGAAGCACACCTGCGGGTATGCCGACTACCATGGTCAGGAAAAGTTGCACAGAGCCAACCCACGATATCGCAGAAGCGTTAGATGAAGGTAGGAGATTGTTGAGATAGAAAGTTTGGAAGACGCCATAAGAATTCGTGAGTCCCCTACTATCGATTAGTATCTCCCAAAACTATGTTGGACAGTTTTCTAGTTAAAAACAAAAAAAACAAAAAAAAGGATTTGGACGGATAGTGTACGTTACCATGTATTCCAGAACAAAATCCAACTCCCCAGGACCTGTAGCCATGCTATGAGGCCATGATCCATAGACTTATCGATCGGATCCTCCACCGGCGCATCTTGACATCCTGCTGTTACAGCCTCTTCAGACTTGTCCTTTATAGATTCTGGCATTTAGGGCACTTTTTGAACTGTGTTGTGGAATAGAGTTTCGATGGAAATCAGAGGAAATTTATCATGCTTGACCAGAACACCAGTGTTTCGATAGTTACTGAAACACCAAAAATAGGTGCAGTACAAGCTAAGAAATGCTGCAAAGAAAGCTACAGAGACGATGAAAGAGCTTTTGGCTCTTTATAAAGTCTCAAAATCGCTTATTAAATCGAGGCACCGCGCAGAAGTCCCGCGCCTGCTACACTCAACACGAGCTTTGCACCATCAACCATGTCGGGGAATACAAGTTAGTAGAAGCTGAATGGTGGAGACCTCCCCACTCCACGTTAATAACTCCCATAGTCAGTACCGGTGGCCCAAACACACATTCTTACCACTCTTTGCCTCCTTTGAACAACGAACCGACTCTTCCACATGACTGGACAACACGGCTAACCAGGTCCCGGACAGATGCCGAGTTTGTCTATCTCGCCCCTAAAAAAAGATTTTATGTCGTATATGTACATGTTTTGTTATTTCGATGCAACGCCAAGTGCCTTCCCCGCTCGGTATTTTGGCCTTCATCCCCTTTGTCGCATATGTCCGGAATTAGGAGAGACTTACGAGAGAGATGCGTTAGTAGGTTACACCAACCGACAGTTTGGGAGGACCGATGTGCCTTCACACCAGCTTTCAAACTCAGAGCTACAAGGGAAATTCAAGGAAAGCAAAACTTACTAATTATAGCAGTCTAGGGTCCATGGAATTAATATTAATTTTATGCATTTAAACGACCAAAACGACCAAAACGAAATACAGAATTCTGAGGCCAGCTGCCTCTTCGACCGACAATCTCAGCTAACCTTCACAGCCTCATTCTAGTGCCAACCCAATCTTGTTTCCTCCGGGCGGAATGCCTTCGGCTGCTCCTCATCAATCTCACCAGCCTTTCTGTTGCAGAGGCCGAGCTGTGCGTCCATCCAAACATTCTCTAAATGATCCTTCCTCAAAGCCTCCGAAAGAGGAGAAAGTCCTTCAGTCTGCCAGTCTTTCAGTGTTGGTAGATGTAGTCTACGCCATATCTCCACTAGCGCTTTCACGAGATGTTCTTGCTGGCCCGGCGTATGTGCCGGCGTAGGAGCAATCCGAAGTCTCTCTTGGCCCCTTGGCACGCTAGGGCTGTTGATGGGCTGAACGTAGATGTCATACTCGTTGAAAAGAATATCGGCAACCTCTTTGCAAAGAACAGAGTTTCCCACCATGAGTGGGATGATGTGGGATTGGTTTGGAAGAACTGGAAGGTCATGCTCGCGAAGTGCAGCCTTAACCATCCGCGTGTTCTTATGGAGTTGTATGCGTAGATCATCATGCTCATACAAGTGCTCGATCGCAGCGCGAGCTCCAGCCATGACGGCAGGAGGTTGTGCTGTCGTAAAGATGAAGCTCCGCGCTTGAGAACGCACCATGTCGACCAGGGCTGCAGATCCCGCGATGTAGCCGCCCATGGTGCCAAATGCTTTCCCAAGCGCACCGCTGATAATATCTATGCGGTCCATTACTGTGCCTTTGATGTTGCCTACGAGATGAGCTTTGTAGTCGAGATGTTCGGCAACTCCTGCGCCATGAGGGCCGTATAGTCCCACGGCATGAACCTCGTCAAGGAAAGTTATGGCTCCGTACTTTTCAGCGAGATCACAAATCTCAGAAATGGGCGCAACAGTACCTACGTGCTATTAGTCTATATCAGGATTATATGTCCATTCATATACCGTGGACTCACCGCACATCGAATAGACTGACTCGAACACTACAATTTTGGGAACTTGCAGTGGAATCGACGCAAGTTTTCTCTCGAGATCGCATAAGTCATTGTGTTTCCAGACAAGCTTCGCCGCTGTCGACTTGCGGATGCCTTCAATGAGGGACGAATGATTGGAGGCGTCTGAGAGGAAAACGCAGTCTGGAAGATGGGACCCAAGAACAACCAGAGCCGACTCGTTTGCAACGTAGCCAGAGGTAAAGGTAAGGGCTGCTTCTTTCGCATGAAGCTTTAGGATTGACTTTTCCAGCGCCTCGGCCCATTGATTATGACCAGATATGTTTCTCGAGCCGCCAGAACAAGCACCATACTTATCTAGAACTGTATGCATTGCTTGAAGGACTTTGGGATGCCCGCCCATTCCAAGCTGCGGAGGAGTAAGAAATGCAGGCCATCGAATGGAGGAATCGATTAATACGTACGTAGTCATTTGTGCACCACACATCTACGCGCTTCTCTTTATTATCAGAATGTGCGTAAGGGAACTCTCGAGCAAGACGATTGATGTTACGGAATTGTCGATATGATCCATCCTCATGCTTCTTCTTTAGAACACGGCTATAGAAGTGCTCGTATGGAAACGTCTGAGGGACTGCAGAAGCTTCCTCTTCCGGCTCAGGTCTGAGAGCAGTAGCTGCTACAGAGCTTAGCAGATGGTTGTGCTCTCGAAGATACAATCAAACCACACTTACCCACACTAAAAAGACGTGCTGGAATGCGTTGAGTCGACAGTCTTGCTTGAGGGCCTCGCATATGGACTATATGTCGAAAAGACAACAGTCCTATCGAAGACGCCATTTTTGAAAATACTGATTACAATGAAACGATAGATTATGAAGCGAAACCTTTAAGATGTGTTCAACGTCTGTACCCAATCCACATACCCTAGATGAAGGAGCGAGCATTCATCCACATTTGACTAAGGATGGGTTCTTATGCTGCTTCCACAGGCACTAACATGGGGGTCTGGCATTGACGAGAAGTTTCCGCTGCAAATAGCATTACTGGGCGGTGTGGTGATGGATCCCGACCACCTGTTAGCACATCGATGAAACGCGAGTTTTGTGGTGTCAGATTCACCGTCGACTCGTCGGGGAGTGCCGAGTTTGCCAGGAGGAGACGAGAGGGGTGCTGCTGGGACTCCACTTTTTGACTGCCTAGTACGCGGAGCTCGCTCATGATGCATTTCTACAGTCACCCGGTTCGTATTCTGAGGGAGTCGGAGAGAAAATTTATACAAGAGCTGAGTTTGGGATACGTGGGACGGGTCAAGGTTGCCATGCAGGGTGCACGGAGTTCGTGCAACTCAAAATTTCAAACAAGACAATCAAGTCCGCAATACGAAAAGAACTATTCTTAGGTAACTTACGGTGAGTTCAAGATGGTGTGGTACAAGTTGCCTTTACAAAGCCTGAGTCAGATCATGCAGTCGGGCTGGACAACGGGAGCCACGTTCTGCGTCTATGCTTGGTATATAGACAAGCAAGTTTCGGGCCGATCCACGTGGATCGCTGTAACGTTGGCTGGAAAATGGATCGTGTGAGAGGCAGATATGAGGTCGTGATTGCCAAGCTAGGTGGGGTTTCACGGTACCAATATCTAAAAACCGAAAGAAGTTCTTGTCACGGAACGTAAGGATAGGAAGAAAAGCAGACTCGAGAGGGGATCATATTGTTAGAAAATACTCACCTCTTCATTTGCCTGTCCGAGACTCGTAGGCGTTTGGGTAATCCTCAAGCCAATTTCATTTTTAGATCTCAATTATTCCGTATCTTGCTTCTCCCTCTTCCTCGCCTACCCATTTCCCTCCCCTCCCCATTTGCCTTCGACTATGCTTCCTTCACCCCAACAACCCTCTCCGCCTCATCCACCAACACCTCAAAAACCCTCTTCAACCACCTCTCCTCCGCATTCTCCGTTGCACTTACTACTCTAATCAAAAAATTCCCACAGACCACCGTCCCGGTAATAAAGAACTCTCCCTGTGTATTAACTCTCTCATAGACCTCTTTCGTAACCCGGTTAACTTCTGCTTGATACCGCGCCTCCGCGTCCGTCGTGAAGTCGTTTAGATAGGCTTCGTGGGTTGGACCAGGGAGGGTTGTTGCCGCAGAGGGAGCATAGCGAGGATGGGGGTTGATAATGAATGTCGTGAGCGCGAATTTCGGGCTTGTTATTACGGTGAAGAGATCAGTTCGGGTTAGGAGGAGGGAGTGGAAGTATTCCCCCAGCTTGATATGGTTTCTTATAAACGCCCGCAAACCAGATACGCCATACGTCCTCAGCACAAACCAAACCTTCAAGCTGCGAAACCTACGTCCAAGCGGGATCTGCCAATCCCTGTAATCCGTCACCAGTCCTCTATCGGAGAACTCATTACGGAGATAACTCGGCGTTATTGAAAACGTATCAGTCAAGTCTCTCCTCTTTTTAATGAAAAAAGCGCTGCAGTCGAAGTTCACCAGTAGCCATTTATGCAGGTTGAAGTTGAAGGACGAGAAATTTTGAATAGGGGGGCAGAGATATTGGTACTCCGGACATACGAGCGCAGAACCAGCGTAGGCGGCGTCGACGTGGATCCAGATGTCTGGGTAGTCCTTTGCAACTTCTGAAATCCCTTCGAGGTCGTCGATAGCACACGTTGCTGTGCTACCAATGGTGGCGGTGAAGTAGAACGGCTCGAGACCCTTCGCTTTGCATTCTTCAATCGCTGTCCTTAGGGCAGCGCCCGTGACGGCGAAATCCGTAGCTCGTGGTGCTGGGACACTGCGATACCTCGTCCCCGCTATGATGGCAGCTTTATGGGTACTCGAATGTGCGTGTTCAGAACCTAGTGCGACGAGCTTCCCGCGCATTTCAGCTATCTTATCCCATTTCTCCTCGCTGTCCTTCATGTCGGATAGTCTCCCGCGTAAAATGCGCTCGCGGGCTGCAACGACAGCCGTAACTACAACTTCACTGGCCGTCCCCTGAATAATACCACCTCCTTCTCCTTCACTCAGATACTCTTTCGGTAGTCCGATTAATTTGGCCACCCAATCCATAACAATTGTCTCGAGTTCCGTGACCGCGGGTGAGCATATCCAATTAAAAGCGGCGGCATTAAAAGCAGACGAATACATTTCCCCTAACATCCCTGGGAACGAAGAGTTACAGGGGAAGAAAGCCATATATTTAGGGGACTGCCAGTGGGTTAGGCCTGGCATGATGAATTTGTCGATATCGGATTGGATGGCTGGCCATGATTCGCCTTCTTGGGGTGGAGAAGTTGGGAGGAGGGGTTTCAAATAGCCCGGGGACACAGATGGGAGGACGGGACGATCTTGGATGGTGTCGTAGTATTTAATGACTGCAATATATCAGGTAACGGTAAAGTTCGGGGTGGTTAGGGGGCTATACTATCTTCAATTGCCGTATGCGCTGCGTCTCGAAATTGCGATGAATCCATTGTGTGCGGGACAAAATTAGGATACAAATAAATAAAATAAATAAAATACTTGGGAATGAATATACAAGAACCAATAGACTCTAGATAGTGCTTTCGTATCTATTCGGTATAAAACAGAACAAAAGGTCCAGGAGGCAAAGAGTGGGAGGAAGGCGTCTGCGGGAGCCGTGATATTCGAAGGATGATGCGATGTCGAAAACATGTACCCTAATTCCGCACCCTTACCTGTTAAGGGTTAGTAGAACTCTAATGCGGAATTTTCCTGCAACGATATGCACACCAAACGTACAATTAACCTCAATCAGCAAAAGAAATGTAGAGGAAAGGGCGCGAGTTGAGTTTTCCAAGGACAGTAATGTTGCTTTTTACTTAGAACGCTTTGCCTTTTTTGTTAGTCCCATGCGGTCATGCCATCTTCGACGAATGACAGGAATGCTTCGCTGCTAGACCGACTTGATTTCGATTCTGCTTGAATTCGAAGGCTAGCGATCATGGTCAAACATGGTTGCTATTAGATAGATGTCAAACCCCTTAGACAGTGGCAGTTGTACACGGAGTCGGACGTCCATCCCAAAGCATTTCGTCTCAATATCTCTTCCCAACCTCAACACCCAAATTATCATCCGGATTCGCAAAGCCCCTAGCCTTGGGTGTGGACTTCCCCTCCGTGACACCCAACGCATCTCCCTTGTACTCCCAAGCCCCATCTTGGGTAAAGAAGTCCACCTCATCAATAATATCCCACACCACATCCTCCGCAATCTGCTCCTTAAACCGTTCGCCGATGGCGCGGAGTTTTCTGCCTTCTGAGATTGGTGGTTCCGAGGTGCTACTGCCAAACATTTCAGTGTCCTTCTCGCGCTGGATGAGCATCTCGTCTGGTGGACACCAGAGATCGGGGCCGAAATTGACTTGGCAGATTCCGCCGTTGAAAGCGGAAATAGCGGGGAAGTAGCCAACCATACCATCGTCGTAGCCGGGCCGGGCTCCAGGTTGCGTGGCTGGTGCGCTGGCCGGAGGTAGAAAAGCGAGGATGTTTTCAAAAGCGATACCGACCTCCTTTCCGTTCTTGTAGACTTTGACGTGTGAGTTGGGAAGAGATCGCAGACCGACATCCTCGTGATTTGGAGAGGGATTGATCTTAGGAACGGGACCGCGGTCATGATAAGCCTCTACAGATTTGGTGCAGGTGTAGTCGAGCTGTTCGAAGTAAAAGTTGCCTTTGTAAGGGACCGGAATGCGGTCTCGGATGATGTCGAGGGGTTTGTCGATATTCAGGGGATCTTTGACAGAGGCGACGGCATCAAATCCATCGCCAACATCAACAGCCGGGTTGTAGATTCCTTCGACGACTTTTCGATGAAGAGAGAGCGAGGGGAGCTGGATCTCCAGGCCAATGACATCACCCTCATGGACATGTTGGTCGGTAATGAGCTCGACTGGCATCGGCCTGCCATGAGGCGGCCTTGCCTTCGCGTGCTTACTCTTTGCGCCCTTTGGAAGGGGCTTGAAGATCTTGTTTGGCCGCGACCGGTGTATCGTCTCGAACCTCGAGTCGGTGATGCCATAGCTATAGCCGTCATATCCCACTGGTGCGTCGAGGGGTGCCTCTCTCCTTGCCCAGCCCATTCGAATGTGCGGCCCAGGCACAGTCTCACCACCGGGAGGCGGTCCTTCGATCGGTATACCTTTTAGAATCTTCACCTCGTAATACATGCGACCTTCTCGTGCGACCACATTCCCCCTCCCCATCCTCCAGCCCTTCTCGGTAGTGAATACAGTGCCGCTGTCGTCAAAATGAAATGACTTGTCGGAATCCTCATGGCTCATCCGAGGTCCATAAGGCCTAGAATCGCTCTGTCGATAGAATTGCTTGTGTCGAAAGTAGGGGTCGGCCACACAATGCGTGTACTTGTAGCCCTTCTTATTCCAAGCATGATCGATGGGTTTCCTGAGTTCCGTTATGCCATCGGGGGCAAATATCGGCAGAGGTTCATGGGAGGCGAAGAGGCCGTCCTTGGGAGGATCATAGTCGGCGTACTTGGGTTCTGGAATGGAGTAGCGCATGGGGGAGGGGGCCGAGGCCGGGTCCTGCTTGTTCTTGGGGTTGGGGGTGCTTCCGCGCGTATGAGCTGACGCTTCTCTCTTTTTCAACGTCTCTCGCTTCTCTCGCTGCTCGCGCTGGGGAGCTTTGGGACGCGCGCGAGCACTGGGGTCTGGATTGGGATTGAGCGGGGACGAGACAGCGGGGGCATGGTCTTCCTCCAGCGGGCGTCGCATTGGGGGGGCAATGCTGGGCGTGTTGGAGCGCGAGTGGGGTTGTGGTGAGGCCATGGCTAGTGTTAGTAGTGTGGTGAGGCCAATGTTTCCAGCACGAGATGGAGGGAAGCTTCAAGCTCACCTGCAGTTGTTGATGGTTCGAGATGTCGGCGATTCGGGGCTGTCTGTGCCGATCGCGAAAAGCTGCCCCCGCGAAAAAGTTTAGTTATCCCCCCAATTTTTGTCCCTTCACAGCTGGTCCACCATTCTCACGACCTCCACCACCCTCACGATCTCCACTACCCGTCAGCCCGTCGCAAATCGCCCACAATGCCGAAAGCCCCCAAATCGCCCGCCATTTTGCAGCGTCACAACCCTCTTACTGAAGAATACCTACCCTCACAGCCCTTCAAGCAGAAGCCAGCGAAGCGGAGGAAGCGCCCAAGAGATGAGGCCGACGAGGAACACTTCATAGACTCCAAGGCTTCGAGAAAAATTCTGGAGATTGGCCGCGGTCTGGCGGAGGAAGAGGAGCGAGAGAACCAAGTGCAACGACCGCCCACCGCCAACCCCGCTTTCGACTTCGACACACGGTTGGGCGACGACGACAGCGCAGAAGACCCCACGGCACAGTATGATGACGAGGAGGCATGGGGAGATGAAGAGGAAGCCGTGCAGGAGGCCGTGCAAGAGGCCGAGATTGACCCCAGCGACCTGGCGACCTTCAACAAATTCATACCTACAGACGACAACCCCATCGTCTGGCCAGGCGAAGAAGCCCACCCGTCGGGCCCGGGTACCGATCTCGCGGCCCTCATCCTCGAAAAAATCGCCGCCCATGAAGCCGCCAATCCCTCCCAGCACTCCATCCACGGCGGCGGCGACCCCTCCGACGCCATCGAGCTCCCCGCCAAAGTCGTCGAGGTCTACTCCAAAGTCGGGCTAATCCTCTCCCGCTACAAATCCGGCAAGCTGCCCAAACCCTTCAAAATCCTGCCTACGATCCCCGCTTGGGAGACACTCATCGCAGTAACGCGTCCCGACGCCTGGACGCCGAATTCCGTATACGCCGCAACCCGCCTCTTCGTCTCCTCAAATCCCGCTACCGCCCAGCAGTTCCTCAACACGATCCTCCTCCCCGCCGTCCAAGACAACATCCGCGAGACCCAAAAACTAAACGTACATCTGTACAACGCGCTCAAGAAAGCGCTCTACAAACCGTCTGCCTTCTTCAAGGGCGTTGTATTCCCCCTGCTGGCTGAAGGAACTTGCACGCAACGCGAAGCGCACATCGTCGCAAGCGTCGTCGCCAAAGTCAGCGTCCCCGTGCTCCACTCTGCCGCCGCACTGCACCGACTCTGCGAACTCGCAGCGGAACAAATGTCCTCGGATCCTGATAGTGCGGGTCCGGTAAACATATTCATCAAGGTCCTGCTGGAGAAGAAATACGCGCTCCCATTTAAAGTCGTGGATGCGCTCGTCTTCCACTTCCTCCGTTTCCGCGCTGTGGGAGCGAGTAGCGCCGATGCTATGACCATTGATTCGGAATCTGCAGCCGGGGATCTAGGTGGCTCCGGGAAATTGCCCGTGATTTGGCATCAGTGTTTGCTGGCGTTTGCGCAGAGGTATAGGAATGACATTACGGAGGATCAGAGAGAGGCATTATTGGATTTGCTGTTAACGAGAGGGCATAACAGTATTAGCCCTGAGGTGAGGAGGGAGTTGTTGGAAGGCAGGGGGAGGGGAGTGGTTGTCGAACCGCCGCCTGTGGGAACTGATGGTGATGACACTATGGTTATGGCAGTGGATGGGTAGATGGGGTTGAGTTAAAGGATCGACCAGGCTCCATAAGCAAGCAGCGTGCTATGCTGCACCTTGCACAAAATAATCATTTTCAGAGATATCCACATGTTTCTCCACTACTCTCTACCTTCTCTTCTCCCGCCCACAGCCCCTCTTATCCCCATTCACTCACTCACAACATCGACCTTACTCCCATAAAACGCAACAAACCCCTTAATCTTCTCATACCCAGACTTCGGCTCTGGGTAGTACCAAGCAGAGTCCTTCAACGTCTTTCCATCGACCTCGATCGTGTAGTATGACGCCTTGCCTTTGTAGGGGCAGGTTGTGTGCGTCGAGGTTGTGGTAAATGCAGTCTTAGTCAGAGATGCGGGCGGGAACTGTGAGTAGCGAGTGTTACGTTAGGGACGAGGGAAGGGGGGGGGGAATGGGAGGGCGTACGTAGATGTTGCCGTCTACAACTTCATATGAGTCGGTGTCGGCGATGGTGGTGCCGTTGATAGAAGCAGTTGCGTGCATGATTGATTATCTATTGCTGTGTCCTATTCTGTTTGGTTCGGAATATCGGAATCCTGATCTGAGGAGCTCGACTACGGTGGTTTGTGAGGAGGAATGAAGAATTGATGGGATCGTCAAACGGCGAACCAAGTCTAATTTGTACTCCTTTATCCCTCGGTTCAGCTGATGTTATGGAATCTGTTTCGAAGTACAATTGGTAGATGTAGAGGATATGCTGCATGATGTGGAATCCGTCTGCCCTTATCGATAAGGCCCTGAAGCGGGGGCGAAGAGTCGTTTTCGTCATTGTCAGAACTCAAGCCACCGCCACTGAGACACCTCTCCTCTTGAGTGATTCCTGACTTCGACGGTTGCGGAATAGTACCTAGGCACCGGCAAGTACGCAATTCAATTTAATTCACATCCTCGGAGTGATTAAAAACCACACAAATTTCTTCAATTAAGCCCGCCGAGGAAGCTTTCAGTCCAGCCAATTAAATGCGTTAGATCTCTGTATTACTGATCGTTCACATCCCTGAAGGCCTCGAAAAGGTATTATCGGCGAGGTTTGGCAAGCAGCCCCGACAAGATTAGCTTTGTTCTGGGAATTTGAGTGGAAGCTATATTTGCTGCAAACAGTGGATTGCCAGTTGCGGTCGTCGGTGTCATGACGTGAAGTCGTATGCATTGGACATGATTAGAATTCAGGCGTGAGGTTTGACCGCGGGGGCAAGAGGTGTTGAGTATTTGGGTGAGGAGGGGGTAGGTATAAAGGAGAGGGAGCGGAGTAGGTTGAAGGCTCACACTTCAATTCGATTCAACCCAGATCAACAGAGCCTTGGCCATCCCATTCAAAGTCCATATAAAGATCGAACTGCCATAGAAACTTGAGTGACTCCTCGAAACTAAGTTCCCAAAAACAATCCATAACACTATAACAATGGACCGACAAACTGTCTTAATCGTTGGTGGAGCTGGTGCCCAGGGAATCCCCATCGTCAAAGGCATGTCCCCATCCATCCACCTTTACCCATCTGTGCCTACCAATTTTAACAAATCCTAGCACTCTCCAGCGACCCCAAATACGCCGTCCGCGTCCTAACCCGTAACCCGGACTCCGACACCGCAAAAGACCTCCTCACTCTCCCCAACGTCAGCATCGCTGCCGGCGATGCCTCCAACGAATCCGACCTCCGCAGAGCCTTCCAAGGCGTCGACCTCGCCTTCGTCAACACTAACAGCTTCGCGCTCGGCATCCGCGCGGAAATTTTCTGGGGCATGAGGATCTTTGAAATTGCGGTGGAAAGCGGAGTCAAGCATTACGTCTGGTCTGCGCTCGAAGACACGTTGGCGCTTTCCGGGTATGATGAAGCGTGTCGAGTTGGACACTATGAGGGGAAGAGTCGGGTGACGGAGTGGATGAAGGCGAAGTCGCAGACGCCAATGAAGTGGAGCGTGATTACTACTGGTCCCTATATTGAGATGTTGCACGAGCTGTTCCGGCCGGTGAAGGAGGAGAATGGGACGTGGGTGTTTCAGTTCCCACTAAAGGATGGTGCGATCCCATTCGTGCATCTTGAGGATGTGGGGAAGGCGGTTAAGTGGCTCCTTGATCACCCTGAAGAGGCTGCTGGTATGAACTTGAAGACGACTGTGGAACACGCAAGTGGAACGATCATCGCTTCGGCCTTCACTGCTGTCACGGGACAGCAGGCTCGCTACGAGCCGATATCGATTGAGCAATGGTTCCAGGTCACTCCGCCGGGTCCCCCGTCATACAAGATGGGGTCAGGATACGAAGGAAACAGTGCAGAGGATCCGACGCTGTTGACCATCGAGCAGAATTTTGGGAATTGGTGGCACCTGTATCAGAGGTCTGGAGGTAACCAAGGACTCATCAAGACTGATTATGGACTATTAGACAAAATCTTCCCGAATAGAGTCAAGAGCGTGGAGGAGTGGATGAAGAAGGTTCAGTACACTGGGGAGAGGAGGCTTGTGATTAAGAACTATAATGGCCGTTGATGGGAAGCGAAGACTGTGTGAATAGATAATCTGAGTCAAAGGAAATGATTTGAATATTTGAGATAGCGCGAAAGAGATCGTAATAAGGGAAAGAATGAAGACCCCAGTTAACTGCCCGTTTCGCAAACCTATTTGAAGCCGGATAAACTGTAGTAAGAACCAGGAAAAGAAAGTGGATCTTGCTGATTGTCTCCATGGGTTATTAGGATCCATCTGAGTAAGGTTAATAGCAGTGCATCTTATGCGCGGTCACGTTTCACGCAGCACTATTCGAAGTTTGCCCCCTCGTTCCATTCAGGATGGAATCGGGAACTGCACTTCGAAGCCCGCGCGGTTGTGCCTGAAATGGCGTTCGCCAAACGGGCCGTTTGATGAATGAACCGTGGAACGTGGATCCACAATGTGGACAAGAATGGCGCCCTGGACCTAGACTCATCTAGTTCCGCTGAACCTCAGTAGGCCAGGCCATGAAGGGGAGTTTTGTTATTGATTTCGTCCTTTCACCCTTCCGTCCGCTCTTGCTGTGCAAGTTGTGAACTCCCACGTGTCCGGGGGGCGAATGTCACTTCGGACCCGCAAGCCACCAGTCTCCCTGATGACCGGAGCAACCCCGAATCTTTTTCGTGGAAGTCAGCGCGTAGTCACAAGCCAGGAGTGCCGTCACTAGCGGAGCCGCGTCCGTCTGAGGTTCAAGGCGCGCGAACACGATGAGAGCAATATTCAGAGATGATGGATGATGCGAAAATTTGTCTGCGTGGAGGCCGCAGCTGGAAAGCGAGGATGGTGAAATAGCGCGTGGGAGCTGGCTGAAGCGAAAAAGATTTGCATGCTGGGGCGCGTACATACTTGCTGCTGCAGTCTTCCTTTGTCAGCACGGCAGCGGCGCAGATTCGAGGCTTTAATTGGAAAAGGCTTATCTTTGGCTCAACAGAAGCAACCACGCACCAACCCCTGTCCAGCAACCTGGGCTGCCCTTCGTCATCGCTAGCAGAAAAAGTTCCTCAGCTTCTGCATTACCAACACCTGCCCTCCACGCATCTCCACCCTTCTTCTACCCCTCCATCCTCACCCTGTGTTGCCCATCTTTACTCCGACACAATTCAATGGCACCCAGCATGCGGCCCTTCACGACTGCCAGCTTTCTTGGGCAGCTCCAGCAGGCTGGACGCCGCTCCTTTGTGACTTCCCGCCCGTCACCCATCGCCAGCAGAGCTCGATGGACGCCGCGCCCGGCCTTCAGCCAAATTGCTCTGCGCCAATCTATCCGGCGGGCATCCACTGAGGCCCCGAAACCGAAGAAGAGGCGCTTCCGAAGTTTTCTGCGATGGACATGGCGACTCTCCTACCTGTCCGCGTTCGCGGGTTTGGGCTACATTGGGTACGGAATCTGGGAGATGCGCAATCCCGATGACCAGCCCGAGCCCGACCCGAGCAAGAAGACGCTCGTCATCCTGGGTATGGAGGAATTTTTCAGTCCATGTCCGAGGACTCAATTGACTGTATTGCAGGAACTGGCTGGGGAGCTGTCTCGCTCCTCAAGAAGCTTGATACCGAGAACTACAACGTCATCGTCGTCTCTCCGCGAAACTATTTCCTATTCACGCCGCTGCTGCCATCATGCACAACGGGCACTATCGAGCACAGATCTATCATGGAGCCCATCCGTAACTTCCTAAGACACAAGAAGGCGGCCGTCAAGTTCTACGAAGCCGAGGCCACCAAGATTGACTATGTGAAAAAGATCGTACACATTAACGATGACTCAGAGATCAAGGGCGACATCTCTTCTACAGAGGTGCCCTTCGACATGTTGGTTGTCGGAGTTGGCGCAGAGAATGCGACATTTGGTGAGTGGGCAAAGTGGTCTTCAGACTGCAAATTACTAACTAGGGTAGGCATTCCCGGCGTGCGTGAACACGGCCTCTTCCTGAAGGAAGTTGGGGATGCCCAGCGCATTCGCAAGCGCATCATGGACTGCTGCGAAACCGCCACGTTCAAGGACCAACCGCCAGACGAGATTAAGCGTCTCTTGCACATGGTTGTAGTCGGTGGTGGACCGACTGGCGTTGAATTCGCCGGTGAATTGCAGGATTTCTTTAATTCGGACTTGAAGAAGTGGATTCCAGATATCACGGACAACTTCCACGTCACCCTGGTCGAGGCTCTCCCGAACGTCTTGCCCATGTTCTCCAAACAATTAATCGACTACACCGAGAAGACATTCAAAGAGGAGACTATCAGCATCCGGACAAAGACCATGGTCAAGAAAGTGACCGACAAGTACATTGAAGCCGAATCGACTGGCCCGGATGGCAAGAAGGTCCTCGAAAAGATCCCTTTTGGTCTCCTCGTCTGGGCAACCGGTAATGCTCTTCGTCCCGTCGTAAAAGACCTGATGATGCAGATTCCTGCCCAAAAGGACTCCCGTCGTGGTCTCGCTGTCAACGAGTACCTCGTTGTCAGGGGCACGGAGAATGTCTGGGCAGTCGGTGACTGCGCCGTTGCCAACTACGCCCCAACCGCACAGGTCGCAGCCCAGGAAGGGGCTTTCCTTGCACACATGTTCAACTCAATGGCCAAAACGACCGAGATCGAGCAACAGCTAGCCAAACTTTCCGAGGCACAGGAGAAGGCCACCGCCAAGGACTCACGTGATCAGATATTTAGTGAGATCAAGGATCTGCAGAAGCGCCTGCGGAGAGTCAAGAGCATCGGTCCATTCGAGTACTCCCACCAAGGCTCGCTTGCATACATTGGATCTGAGAAGGCTGTAGCTGATATCTCCTGGATGTCCGGTAATTTTGCGACGGGCGGCACGGTAACCTACTTCTTCTGGCGGAGCGCGTATCTGAGTATGTGCTTCAGCACTCGCAACAGGATCCTCGTGCTCATGGATTGGGTCAAGTCGAAGATGTTTGGTCGTGACGTCTCCCGAGAATAGAACGTGGTATCGATTTACGGCCGACTGCATATCCTATTCCTTTTCCGACCAGTACATATACCACCTCCGTCTACGTTGCTCTGCCCTGTCTGCAGTAGCTGTACTGTACTCAAGTGTACGATTGCTTTCCATCCATCGATCCTCTCTTTGTCACTATAGTAGATTCCACACCTGTAATATCCCCCTTTCCCTCTTCCTAGATTGGATCCGGCGGTCTTGCTTTGTGTTTGGCTTTCTCTATGGCTTTGATAATGTTCTCTTGTCTACCTAACTCTATCTAAGAGTTTGGCGTTCCGCGGGTTTTTGCGAAAGCTATCTGGCTTGATTTGATTGATAGAGAGAACTTTTGCAAATTTTCTTGTGTATTCAAGGCGATATACGATATGAGGTTTAGAGAGAAATGAATGGTAGAAAGTGAGTGCGCGTAAACGTGAACGTTAAGTCTTTGAGCGCGTGAGCGTGTGAATGTCTGTGTCTTGGGTTTTGCATATACACGAACCCCCAAAAAGAATATAAATGAGGAGATCCAAGCTATTGCCTACTGATCAATTCAATTCGACTCTATATATCAAAGGAGATGTAGGAAACTAAAAGCCAGGGGAGGGCACGGATTATATTATCACAAGTTGGACAACAAACACATGACGTATACTACACTGCACGCCAAATAGTTAGTAACAGTACATAAACCCATTTCTAAACAGTACGAGCCCAAACAATATCCGTCCGTCTATCCTAAGTCGGAAGAACAGTCCCACCGTTATACCGATACACATGGATCATTCGTATTCCACCGAAATCGAGCACGCGCCTGATGATCGGCATCGTTGAAACGATGACGTGCATGATGCATCTTCGATATTTGGGACCAGATCCTCGCAGTGCGAGAACGCCGACGCGACTGAACTTTTTGTTTAAGGCCCAGTTCGAAGTTCTCAGCTTCAGCTCTGAACACTTTTATTTTCTTTTATTTTCTTTTAATCTTTATTAATACTCGAGAAGCTCTTTAACTCACCTTCCCTCCAAACTTTCATCCTATCCGTCCCGTCCCATCTTCTCATCCATCCACATCCACATCCACCAGAATGGGCAACACCACCTCTAAATCCGCAATCCAAATCCTTGCACCCCTCTCCTTCCTCTACGACTTCTCAGCGCAACAATACGGGATATTCTCCAAACCCAACATGCTTGACGTGCACAAGAAAAATCTAGCTGCATTCTCTCCGCAGCCTTTTTTTATTGCCGGGTTCTTCTTTCCTCAGCAAGTGTTTCAGTTGGTGTGGCTGTGGAAGTTGTGGAAGCGGAAAGGTGAGGGGGAGAGGAGGGGGATAATAGAGAGGGGCGAGGGAGACGTTATGGAGACGTTTGGATGGTTTTATGTGTTGGGGAACGTTTGCATTGGGAGTGAGTCTTCTGTTTTGGGATATAAATACCCCTATCTCTTCCTATTTGGCGATTTCTCTGGGTCTGTGAGTTTAGAGGATTAGCTAACGATTCACAGCATGGATGTTCTTCTGGAACGCCTCCGACCTAAAAACCTCCAACATCTTCGTCATCATAAACACCTTCTCGCAACTCTTATACATCACCACACTCCTTCCCCCCCTCGATACCTGTTCCACACCCAACTTCCTCACTCACATGGTCGCAAAAACCTTCGCAGGCATCGGCGTCCTGGACCTCCTACACAACACCTCCGCTGCCTACTACCGCAACGTCCCGCCCAGCACCGTTGTGCAAGTCACGACGGGTGTAGGCTTCGCCGCAGCCGCCAGTGTTAGTGACTGGATCTTCGGAGGGTGTTTGGTGTATGATCTTGTGGCGCTGAGTATGGGACAGCAGGGTGGGTGGAGTCAGTTGTTGGGTGGGTATGTGGTGATAACGGCGGGAATTGTGGGGTTGAGGAATTGGTTTTAGTAGGCATATGCGAGTTCTGAGAGAAGTACAGGGTTTGGCTAATCGTGCGCAGTCCGATGGGGAGCAAGAAGGTAGAGGACGGGTATTCGAGGGTTAATGGGGAGGAGGGCGAGGGGGGGGGTTGAGGTGGTACGAGGCCGGGGTGTAAGGTAATAGGGGTTGATGGGTGAGTTGCAATTGGGGTTGGCATGTGCAGTAACAGGGCAAATAGTCGAGCTACACTGAGGTTCGACGCGCTGGGATGAGGTTGAATTAGTGGTTAGAGTTAGCTAAGCAAAATACGAAAGCATCCTCTCTTCATTTCCACAACGAAAGTGAGAAGTGTGAGAAGTGATGGTAGCTCATCGGTTCCCAGTCGCAGTCCAGAAGTGTATCTGAAGGGTGGAGAAAGGATTGGACGCAGGCAGCTAGAGCTAAGCAGAAAGTCTGGTTCACAGGTCGCGTGCTCGAAGCAAGGGAAGCAGCGGCCAAAAAGCGCATTCCTATTACGTTTCAACCTGGCTGCGCGACTTGGATGAGGCGTTAGTTCTTTGGCGATGCCGAGTTGGCCGCAGACGCCGTTGCTGGTCGAGGTCCGATGGCGGAGGAGGGGTAGAGGGTACGGAGTCTGGTGTGACGATGAAGCCACAGTACCGCGCTCAACAACCTGCTCAGGATGGAAAAGACTGTGAATGGACATAGTAATAGACGGAGACTGTGAATAGATCAGTTATCAGGGCGAAGACAGCTGATAAAGAGTTGTCGCGTGAAGCATTCCGATGCTCAGTCTGGCGCTGGCTTGGGCTTTCCGATGGCGCTAGCGGCGGCAGAGTGTCGCGTGCTGAATAAAGGGTAAGCACCCACACCTCGCCAGAGATAAGCTTCCGTTATCAAACATCCCACCCTGATGCCCGTCACACCTCCTGCCCCCGGCCAGTAAATCATGGCTGTGATAGCCGCAATCTGGGGCTTGACGTGCTGTTTCGGGTCATCCGAACCTGCGGAGTGCTGCCCTCCATCCTCGAATCCCGATCTGCCACTAACCAGCTGTTCATTACTCCCCCAACACTCTTTCGCTCTGTCCGTCTTCTGCATGTTGTTTGACTTCATCTCTTCGCGACCGTCTAGAACTTTCTTCTTCTCGTCTACTGTATTGTTGCGTTTCTGTGGCTTGTTGCATTTTGCTTTTGCTGCCTTCCCCTCAAAGACTCCTGCAACCCAGGTCGATCATATTGCATCAACTTCACCAGCCCTGGCACTCGAAGCTACCAATATCACAGGAACTTGCAAAATTGCAGGCTTCACACAGAGTTTATGCTTGTTCGGCGCTGGCTTGCTGTGCCTCACTGCCGGATCCCACGTCAGCTGAAGATTGAGGCTGCAACTGCGCCCTCGTGGCTGCGAACCGAGACAGTCACCACCTGAACGCGACAACTGACCGTGGATCCTCCCGGGGGAAAACAACAAAACCGTCCAGGCCCCAGGTCAGTGAGTGAAGTAGTATAGTAATCCTAGGCATCACCTAGATCTCCCTCAACGCTGCACGGCTATCACGAATCCCTTATATACCCCTCGGAAGCGCTTACGGTTGCACCTCCGATTCCGCCATTTCTGTGCCAATGACAACATGCCACCCTACCTCTCCCCGCTGCGTATAGTCCAGCCGTCATTACCTGCACACTGCGAACCCGCCAACGAATTCCTATACCGATTTTCCGCAACCTTCCACACCTGCATACCTACGAACCTCGCATTATTCTCCACATGTCTCGGAACGCTGAGCATCGTCTCTTGGTTATTCGCACAACTACCACAGATATATAAGAACCATCAGCTGAAGTCGACTTCCGGACTTAGCATACTGTTCCTTGCAGAGTGGTTACTGGGTGATCTGTCGAACCTCTTCGGTTCTCTCTTCACAAGGCAAGCGCTGTGGCAGGTTATCATTGCAGGCTACTATGTCTCAGTAGATTGCGCGTTGGTCGGACAATGGATATGGTATGAGCTTTTGAAGCACGGAAGGCCTCTGCGGCCAGCTTGGAGTCGTATCGGCAGCTCGAATAGCTTGAATGGAAGTGGTGGTGCTGGCATGCAAGAAGTCTACGATAGCGTTTCTGTTGAACCCGACAGCAGACCCATGTCACCCAAATCCCCTGGCTTCGACAACAATAGTTTACCTCCAAGTAGCCCAGGCCGCAGCATCCCAGAACGCTCAAATCCCATGGATGTCTTTCGGATACCGAACTTTGCCCGCTCTCCTAGCTCGAACAAGGAATTTTCTAGTATGCGAAGCACGCCAACGCCCGGTACGACACCCAATAGGACTATTTATCGAGTTCAAGGGTCTAATTCACCAATGCCATCACCAAAGACGGTCTTGTATGTCTGTCTTCTGATTGGCGTGCTCTCCAATACAGGCACTGCAAAGCCTGTCAGCCCCTTCGCCCCAGCCATCTACAACCTCGATTCCATTGCAGCTCGTGCCTCACATACCCAAACTCCGCCGTCTGCCACTGAACAAGCCGGCAAAATAATATCCTGGTTCAGCACTTTCCTCTACCTAGGCTCACGCCTGCCTCAACTCTACAAGAACCACGTCCGGAAGTCCACTGCCGGTCTAAGTCCAACTCTCTTCGCGGCAGCCTTCTGTGGAAACTTCTTCTACTCTAGCTCTCTCCTCACCAATCCATGTGCCTGGAATGATTACGCTCCCGGCCAAGGCGCTGGTTGGGTCGGTCCAGAAGGCAGTGCAAAATCCGACTGGATCCTCCGCGCCACCCCTTTCTTCCTCGGCGCCGCCGGAGTCCTCCTCATGGATTTTGCCGTCGGTCTCCAATTCTGGTACTTTGGCGACGGCGGCGAGCGAGGGCGACCGAAACCACGTGAAGATGAAATCGTTGTCGTTGTTAACGATGAAGGGGTCCGGAGAAAGCGGCGCTGGCGGTGGCATCGCGTGAGCGGCTGGATGCGAGGATGGGTTCCTAGCGTCAGTGTTGCTGGCACGCCTGCTGTGAGTCGCACAGGGACTCCGGTGCAGACGCCGAGAGGCGTGAGTCCAGCTCCTAGTGCGGAAAGTGGGAGGGGAGGAGCGCTGGATGAGGCGAGGGCGCTCTTGGGGACGCAGAGGACAGCTAGTCCGAGGGGGTATGGGGGGCTTTCGTGATGAGAATAGAGACTAAGATCTTAATTCTACATCCTTGAGGTATCTTTACGAGCGTTAAGCGGTTGGACTGCATACAGGAATAGTGTCTGCATTGCTTGCATCGGATCTTTGGGACTTTTGGTGGAGCGATTTGGTGAGCATGGCATCTCTGCATCTACACGGGTTACCTTTTTTTCGTTGGTCTTCTAGTGTCCTATATCTAGCACGCTAGAGCTGTTTCCAGGTTGTCACACGATATCAGGGATGTTAGAATTGATAGTATCATGACTACTTTCTTGTTCATTATGTTTCTTATCCTTTGTCCAACTACCCAATCACTTGTTAGTACGGCAAGAATAGATCATCACAAGGTGAGTGTAATGCTAACCATCCTCATTACACCATACTAGTGATAAGCACCGCTGCCAACACCACCAAGAGTCACTTCCTCTGAACGAGAGGATAAAGCTTCGCGGGAATGTGGATCTTCATTCTCGGCAATCAGTCGAATCATCATCCCTTGTGGGTGCGTTTTGAGGAAGGTCCTTAAAGTAATATACAACAGTCTTCACGGTGATTTCCACTGTTCACACTTTTTCATATAAATTTCCGACGAAAGTCCCAAAGGAAACCAAATTCGTGGCCAGTGCCGCCTCTTAGACATCGACTCGCGCGTACGACATGGGTGCTCACGATGGCATTTCAAACACCCATAAAGTTCTCGGAATCATGGACGCTCAATCTCTTCGCTTTATTAGGAATGCGGGGAACGAAAGAGCTCATAAACCGTCCATAAGAGCAGTTTTTGAGGTGCCTTGACTTCCTACCCCTTGGAGATATTGTTCTGAAGATGTCGCCTTTTAAATACCTCACAATCAAGACTGGAATTTGGAAAAGAATGAAGTGATCGGATCTTCTGTGTAGAGAAGTATGCAGGAAACCAACGGGGTTTATATGCCCCATACAAAGGTTCGTAATAGAACCCATCCCTCGGATAGACTTAGAGAATACAATTCAATGGTAAAAGATCCTATCGGCAGCTTTCCATGGACTACTCCAAATCTGTTTTATTGTTCTTCACGGTCGGTAATTATCCGAGCGTAAACTCTAGCAGGGTCATCGCAATAAACACATTTCATTTCCAGTTCGCAGATTTAGCATCCCCCCTAGAGAAGCGCTTTCCAAGTGTCTAAACTCATACTGCTGGGGGTGTGCGACAGTATGAAGTCAAACCCATGAGACCAGGATAGTCCCCCCCCCCCCCCCCTCGTGCACTTGCTCCTTCTTGCTCCTTCCCCACAACACACAACATCACAATCATCAGTCTCTCGCAAATAACTATGGCAGAGCTTCAACATTGCCCGGCAGAAATCATCAAGTAGATCGCAAAGTCCCTTTCACTAGAGGACTATAGAGCACAGCGCTTGGTCTGTCTAGCCACATGTGAGAAAACTTTCCACTACTACGTGAAGCCGTTATTTGTCACTAAGAATGCGATGCGGTGGTGGGGGCACTGTTTCCAGAACTGTACATTAAAGCCGGGTGGAAACTGTGGATCGATTTACTGTGTATTGACCAGAAAGACATTGAGGGCACCACGCAGGTCAAGCGTATGCACAATATCAACAGTGAATCAATGACACCAATTGAGTGGGCTAGGCGCTGCATCTCCGGGCAGTTAAGCAGGCTATAACGCTGATTTAGGGACTGGCCGCTGACAGAGCGTCGCTGCTCAGGTGCCCTCGACGGGATATTGAGGAAGGATCCGAAAGCATTCAGGGAAGGAAGTTGGCGCCCACTGCATGACTTTGCGCTGCGGAGATTTTGGTCCTGAGCGTGGATCTTGCAAGAGATATCCCTTGGGAAAGAGGACATACCTGTATACCTGAGGGTCTACGAGACGGCTGGTGTCGCCGGGGAAATCGAAGTCATGAAAGGGGAAATGATGACGGATGATGATACTATCAATCACTTCTACATCATGTCCCTAAGCCAGCCCGTCACCACCACAGATCCACGAGATAAAGTCTACGGTCAGCTTGAGCTTCTGGACCAAGAAATTACTAGAAATATTAGGCCGGATTACGCTGCAACCGTTGAGGAGGTATATACCGACGTCGCTAAACCAGCTATCACCGTCACAGTCATTCGAGATCAGCAGACACGTAGGAGTAGCTGGCCCTTTCTCACTACCATTTTGGGTTCCCAATTAGCCCTCTGTGCGCCTTTTGGGGTCGCTGGGCCGCACAGAGCACAAAGCAAGTGGCGACTCCACAGCGCAGGGTCGTTCCCGCGGCGAAGTCTTCTATTCTGCTGCAGCCTCATCGTCGGCACGTTCGACGGCATGGGCTATATTTGACAAGACGAAGCTGGTCACAGATGGCCGGAAAACATTGTGTGCTAGAGTAGAGGCACAGCGAATGCGTACAGATATCGCGACGGCGTGCACGAATCTCTCTGGAGGAGCTTGGTTGCGAACCGCAAGCGGCAGCGTGAATGAGGAAACACTAGTAGACGACTATAGCCCACCCCTCGCTGTACCTCTCCATTTAGCGCAGGGACATTTACCTAACGAGCATCTCGAGACTCTGGCTGCCAGCCATTTCCTACAATATTGCGTGGGATTCTCCGCTTGGAACACTGACTTCTTAATTGCTGGGAACCCGCTTCCTCACTACTTCACCATTAATCTCGACTTCACTGCTACTAATCCATTAGCCCTGCGTGTTGCGCTAGCTGGGAGGGACCGGATCAATCTGTCGCGACGGCTGTTTACCACGCGAAGGGCTATGGAGGCATGACGAGGCAGGATACGAGGACCATGAATCTCATTTTCGTGCTGCTTGAGTGTAGTGTGGCAGTTCTGCTAAGGAGGTGAAGAGCAGTTGTCGCATACAATTATCCGCCTATATATATCCTTCTGCTGTGCTAGCTGGAAGGTTGACCTTTTGGCGACGCAACAGCAGTAGATATCCGGTTGCTGAGGAGTGCTATCTGCATGGATTCATGGACGGAAAGGGGTTAGAGATGGTACAGCCGGGGCACACGAAGGTTATGGAGTAGGGGTAATCACGCTAGGCCCTGGGGTCTATCAACAGGGGCAAATATATTGACGATGGGTTCATCATCTAAGCATATGATATGTGTTATGTAAATTCTGTTGATGCTTAGTAGTTCATATTGCCAACCAGCCTTAAGCAAGCATAGATACAGCAGAGCTTACGAATCTGCTCGTCCCCACCATAGCTACAGTTATTCTGAAGACCAAACCAGTGTGCTTTATCAACCAAAATGCAAATGCGATCAGGGGTGTATAGCCACTAATTCTCCATTCTTTTATCCTCTCCACCACGAGACCAGCACCCCCAGAACCTTCCATCGATCTTCCATTCTTCTAGACACCATACTGACCATGGCTTCTAACCCTTCCTCCTTCAATCTAAGAAGCAGAAATCTGGAAGACAATTATCCTACTTTCAATTCCAATGCTGATAACCCAGTCAACATACTTCTTCAAGACCTGATGATACTAACAGTTTTAAGTAAGAAAGAGTAGGGTTCCGTAGAATATTATACTACCTATTCTCCAAAACAAGTGCTATATGCAGACCCTTTAAGAGAATATAGCTTTCAACGCTGTAGGCTAGCCAGCATATGTCTCTACGACTACTAATAAGCTAGTACTAGATTCTATCTGATGCTTGTAATCAGTGTGAACTTTCCTACTAGCTACCAGCAATATATTTCTCTTACTTATTTTCTATTGTTTTTATTAGTCCTGACTATAATATCACAACTAACGTGCAGGCCAACTGCGGGACACTCGTCGGAGGATAGTCGACCTAGTCGCTATCACGTTATTACAATACGCAAGGGGAATACAGTGCGTTTTGCCGTAAGTTGAAGTAATTATCGTATAGCCCTACTATGCTGCAAAGTGCCACGTATTGTGGTAGCTTCTCAAGAGCGTGTGCGGGAAGTATTGATCCAAGACGTGGCGATTCTTGAATATTATTAGAGTGAATAACTAGCCTTTCGATTTAGTAATATATGATCGTCTGTGGTACAGAATATTCACTACGAAGAGGCCTCCTGGACCTAGGAAACCCTTTCCTTACATATCGTTGTTGGCCCATCAGAACGGACTTTGGCCGCGCTAATGCTATGTGGAAGAGTCACATGACCATATTACATAAGCTGCCTACGCTTCGTTGTATTCCTATCATAGCCCTCAGGTCTTGAGATATATCCTACATCATTGCTTGGTTGTTGCAGCCTTGTTACTAGTTCATTCGGAACAGACGTGCCAGACCTTACATGGTACTGCTCAACGTCTTCTGAGTCTCCTCGAGGATTCGCCTTATTTCAATCCAGCGTCTTTGTGCCTCGGCCTTCCTGCCCTGCAGCGCCCTCAAGCTAACGTTATATGCGGTGCTTATATGATTAGGAATAATTGACTACAAATCTAAGATTTTCCAGCGCTAAGAAATTGTCGGCTTCGAGGCCTCCATTTTCGGATGTAAACCCTCCAGATGCAGAGGTGTCTAATACTATCCAACATGTTTTATCTGGAAAACGAAAAGGAAAGGATATGCACGATACTTCCGCTAATTATTACTATGATTCACAAACCTCTGTCGCTCGGATCTATTCAATGTCGATCAATCGCGGCCCTCACCCTAGCCACCAATTCTACCAAATTCCCTTTCAGCTCCTTCCATGTAGCGTGAACCTAAAATTCACCTTGAAGGCGGGAATAGATACCAATCCTCTCTTATGCCCTTGGTTCCCGATTCCACACCCCAGAACCCGATCTGGTGCAGTGTCTGCGGTAGAAATCTTAAAATCGGAGGACGCGACGAGGACCGGTCGACACGCCACACAATAACCCGTTTGACGCCACCGTGAAGAACCCCTAGCGGCTTGCAGCAGCGCGTCCCGTCTGCACTCCAGCATGAAGTAAGAAACTCAAATTCGTTTTTTGACTGCAGGCTGGGGGAAATCGTGTGAAAAGGCACAGGTAAAAGTGGGGATAGTTATCCTATCATGTGGAGCAAGCTTGGGCCATTTTACGAACTCCACTGCTCGATTAACAATCTTTGAATGGATAATATTGAAACGGAAAAAGCTGCACACTATTCAAATCATCAGCGAAACTACAAAGCTCCCATGCTATGTGGGGTTGCCGAATTCAAGGTTTAGGTATCCTTTTGCAATTGTGAAACAAATGCTTTCCCAGCGCGTCCTAAATTTAAGGGGGTGAGACACGTGTTGGAAGCGTGAGCCCGAGCTCGGAGTAGCAAAACTCGCCAGCATGTCATTCGTAAACCTGGAGGCCTCGTTGGAGCATCGTTGGGAAGGCGACACGGGTCGGCTTCAGTTGAAGCTGAAGCTTTCGTGTCGCGTCTCGGTAGTGAGTGGTCCGGAGATGAGGTGAGATGCATGCGGTTCGATGATCCTCGGAGTCGCAAATTGGAAGAACTGTGGTTGTTTGATGTGCAGCTTGGATTTCAAGCTGGTGGAGCGATTCAGGCCACCGTGTGAGTTCACAAGGAGATTGTGAGGCTGACGAATTCTGACCTCATGAATGAGGCCGGAAGGATTCAACAAAGTGATTGGAGGGCCAGATGAGCTGATAATACGGTTGAGAACTTCAATGGATGTCGTTGCAGAACCCCGCACTTGGCTGAACGGAAGTCCGACGCGAATCCGGGAAGAACTTCCTCGCCTTCCAATTACATCAAAAAGGTTCGATTTAAAGGTTTCATGGATGAGAGTCACGTTCAAAATTAACGAGTAAGCACAAAATGAGTAGTGTAACTGTCGGAACCATCGCTCGTGGCGAGGTCTCGACCATGAATTGCACCACTCCCAAGTTCGATTACAGTCCTTCCGTATGAGCCCTGTTGGGCGGTGTGTACCATGAGTCTAATTGACTCTTTCTCCATCCAGCTGGAGCTAATGCCTTGAAAACCCGCACAAGATGGGTCGGGTATCAGTGATGACCCACGCTCTCTTGCGTCTACCGAAAAAAAAAGCACCATAATCCATTGGCACAGCCGCGCAAGGATAGGGTCAAGTAAAATTACAAAACTCCGAGTGATGCTGATGCTGATGTGTGTGATGTTATGCTGGCTCAAAAATTGTCCAGCTTGGAACCATACAGGAAACCGAACCCAATGCAATGCTCGCTTTGACGCAACCAAAAAAAAAAAACTAGAGGGTGGGGACATTGAGGAGCGATAGTGTTAGATATCGCTTAAGTCCCATTCAGCAAGGGTGGAAACTATACAGGGGAATGGAAAATGTGAGTTGGTCATGGCAGCAGCCTAACGATGGAAGATGGGCTGCTGTGGGATAGGCAGTTGATTGAATTGATTCATCTCCGGCCATGCTCCGTGGTCCATGTACGGCAAAGGACCAACTCTTCGCTCAGTCATAGGCCTTCCCAAAGGCTGGTATTGCATCTGATCATAGGCAATTTGACGAGGAGGATTATGCATTGAAGCTGAAGGAGGGGGAACAAGGAGAGTGTGGACCCCACGCACGGGGCGATAGGGGGATTGACGTTGGTTTAGGAAGTAGGATGGTGACAGCTGCCTCTGGCTGGAGTAGGAGGCGCTCACAGGCGAGGAGCTTGCGGATGGTGGATATGGGCTGACCTGGCGGGATCGATCACCAGTAGTAAGAGTCTGGCTAGTTGGGGTATGGGCCGGTGGGAAGGGGGGTGGTGCCGTGGAAGTTGGTGTGGTGTATGGCTGCTTCCATTGAACCGGGGGAGGGTAGACCATGGCCATTGATCGACTTCCTGGAGCGGGAAGAGGGAGTTCAGACCAATTGTTAACCTGTACCGGAGGATTGGTCTGTGGGGTTGGAATAGCAAGGCTGGGGAGAGGTGGTAGGCGGTTCATAGGTTGATGTGGCTCAAATGACCTGCTGACTGGCATCTGCAAAGTAGGAATCAACGGCGCACTGCTATATGGTCCTGGAGCAAACCCGTGAGCCTGTCGCTTGGGCGCTGGTTCTGCGCTACTGTCGATGCTGCGTTTGCGCTGTGTGAGAGGACCAAGCTCTGGGAGAGGGCCGATTGGGGAAACGGCAGTCGACGTAGTCTGAGGCTGAAGAAGGGGAGTGTTCGAGAATTGCGTTCGGCATGGCGAATATGTCATCGTCGTGGGTGGTGAAGTTTGCTGCAAAGTAGGTGGGGAAGGCATGTAGTTCGGGGGGACCTGCAGAGAGGGGGTCGAGGGTCCAACTGGGCTGATAGCACCAGAGGCGGGTATCTTGGAGGCGCGGTCAAAGAAGGATCCGAACTTTCCCAGAATGACGTGCCAATCCTCCCACTTCTTTTGTGATGTGTACAAGCTATACCTCATATTGCTCAGGAACTCTACTTCCATGATGTGGACTTCTTGCACCGAAATACCAGAAACCTCTGCCCAAGTCTTGTTCGTGTACGTATTGTCGTCCAAAACTGGAGCGTTGTTAGCCAAATGTGGTCTGGGAGATCATATACACCTACACTTGTTTCCGAGCATCAAGGCTACGGTCAGGAGCCTATATTCGCTACCCGGCTTTCCCTTGACACTCGGGTTGATTTGCTTTAACCTGTAGATGAAGAGAAGGGCCAGTAGAATGACATTCTGGGCCACTTGCGTTGTCGTCAGGATAGTGGCCACCCACTTCCTAAAGCCTGTTGTTGGAATTGCATCGGGCACAAGGGGCTGGACCGGGATGCGTGGAGAATTTGCGTCCAAGACCTGCTTGAGAGTCGACGAGTTTTCGAACCAGAATAGGCAAGTGACCTGGAAAGCTCCTGTCAGTTCAGGAGTCGGCGTACTTTGCCGAGGGAGAACCTACCTCCGCTGCCAGTTGGGGAAGCCCATCCTGGGGGGTCTTGATGCTCGATGGAATCCTCAGATTCGGAGAGATTGACCACTTTTTCCGCTGCTGCTGAGACATGTCTTGTGATGAGGATGGTGGCGGCTGTTTCTGAGGCGTTGGGCTTGGCTGGGAGGTCGCCGTCCTGGAGTTGCCGATTGCGGGCAACCGATATCCATACTCGTGGCCAGTCCCATTGTTTGGCGGCAAGGAAATCACTCTCACCGCAGAGCCTGAAACATCAGTCGGAGGGGTGAGGAGCGGCCGTGGTGGGTTTCTGAGAGCATTCAGCTCAGGGCCGGAGGTGATTCGGGGAACGGGAAGCTGCATTTGCCGCTGGGGAGGATCGAGCTTGGAGTAAGGGGGGATGGGGGTGTAGTAGTCGAGCGAGGGCTCCCGCGGAATGGCGTGAGGCATTGGATGAGGGAGCTGTAGCTCGAGCATGTGGACGGTGTGCGGCTGCGTTGTTGGGAAGGCGGGCCCTGGGGCAGCTGGTGTTGATATCCTTCACGCACGCCGGCAATTGGAGCGGGCGTCACCGTCCTTAATGTCTCTTGAATTTTGTTTGTGCTCCGTTCCTTCACTGCATGACCAGGAGGGATTTGGCGGGAGTGATCCAGGAAGGCGTCACTGTCTGGGTGAGGGATAGTTAAGAAGGAACCCGGGGGGGGGGGGGGGGGGGGGGGGATGGAGGTTGTTGTTGACGGAAAGCTCTGGCAAGTATGGCGTGGGGCCAATGTATGCAACCTTTATTCCAGGAGGCGGGACAGGTGAAAGGAGTTTGTGTGAGGGAGTATAAAGCGGAGGCGGTGCGGGCGAGGCAATATTAGAATGAAGAGGAGTGAGGACGAGCCTGAGGTCAAAGATGACTAGCCCGGGTGCAGTATGGGGTGTGAGAAGTGAGAAGCCAGGAGGTGATTGTCGTCGGCCCGCCAGCTGCTTTCACAGGCATGGCTTGGGGCCGTTGGGTTTTGATAAAACATAATTCACACGGAGTCGTGACTGTGTCCATCCATGATGGCTCGGAAGGTTCCAGGCATTGGAACGGCGACGCCCCAAGAGGCTGATCCAGAAGGAGAAGCAGCTTCTGACAACACCCTCCGCGCCTGCGCACTGGGGACGCACAGGGCAGGCACGTAAAGCGACCGCCCCGCCCGCGGCAGTACTGTAGGACCAGGGCCGAGAGCAGCCAGAGGCGGGCGCTGCCAGGGCCCCCGAAGAGGGAAGGCGCGCCCCAAGCCGGGTTAATTATGGGACAAAGCAACAGAGACAAAGCAGCGCGCGCACACCACACACCGTACAGGCACCGATGAGCCTGGCACGATGCGATGCACGCAGGACTGCACTGGCATTGGCAAAGACAGGCAGACAGGCCCGCTTGCAAGGTGGCAGTCGCATCGTCGTCGCCCCCCCGTCGCAGAATGCCGTCTGTCGTCCCAAGTCGTCGCTTGCGGCCAGGCCTGCTCACTCACTCACCACTGATCACTGACCACCGACCACCAGTGCGCCAGGATCGTCTTGGGTTAAGTCCGGCTAGTACATACACTGGAGGGCCACTGGCAGGCCGCCCGGCACGCATCCGCATCGTTGTCGTCGTCTTCGGCGGCAGCAGGCATTTGCGGTCTGACTCTCGCTGCGTCCTGGCTGGTGCGTCCTGGCTGGCTGCGAGCGTCAGGGTCCGTTGGCGGTTTGTCGCCATGGATGGATGGATCATGATGCCTCCCCCATCACATCAGCCCCTCGACTCCCGAGCTGCGACCTGCGACCACGCCGTCATGGGATTTGATTATTCACGGCCGGCCCACCGCCATCTGACCCGCGACTTGCCAACTTGGTCCGCCCAGTCGCCGTGTGTCGTTTAGATAGTCCTTAGCCTGTCTCCTGCGCCGCCGCGACCATCGTCGCCAACTTCCAGCATCTGATGGTTTTGCGCGTTGTGTGCGCCTCCTCAGCTTCCTCATCGCTCCCTCTGATTGGCTGTGGCCGGCGCTGGAGTCTGCAAGAGGGGAGGCGATGCCGTCGTGCGCGTCGCTCCGGCGGTCTCGTCAGCCAGGCCCATCTCCATTTATTGCACCATTGCAGGACTGGGACGGCCCACTCCCACACGAAGTCATAATCGCCATGGCCATGAGCGAGATTGTGAGATCCCTTACGCTGCAGCGCGGCTTGCTGCACCCGGCCAAGGCGGAGCACACGATGATGAAGACACCTCCCTTTGACAAACCTAGACACATTTGCGACGGCACGCTACCACCAACTCCCAAGACACTGGCCCAGCCTGTATCTAATTTTCAGACTAGTAATTACCGTAAGCGGGCTGAGGACTGGCATGGATGATGAGGGACACCTCCACAGATAGCGTTGTGTAGCCTGCTTGGTGCTGTTCTGCTTGCCTGGACGGGGCAACATGCACACAGGATCGATCCATCAATCAGCATCAGATGCTCGGCAGGCGGTCTGGAATGGCATTTCAGCGTGCATCATTCCGCTCATGCCGTGTTTGATTTGCTGCTGGGCCGACGGCTTACAGCCTCGCTGGCGACCTCACACAGACCGTTCCGAAAAGCAGATGCACCCCAACTCGTGCCTCTCTCCCAGCTGTTTGAGAAGATCGATACGAATAGCGAGTGCCGCCATGGCTCGTTGCTGGCCTAATAATTGTCTTACCCCTAACCGTCATCTAATTCTGTGCCCGAGCCCTGTCCAACACGACACTGTTGCGGGCTGAGGTTTGGGCGAAGTGCCATTTGTGTGCTGATCGTTGGAATACTCATTTTACAAATTATTTTGCATCCCAATAAAGGAGCACTTCGCCGCTCGCATGCCTTGGTCAGTCGTGACCAGTCTCGCAAGTCTCTCATCCGGCGAATCAGCAGTGCGCCTAGGCCGACGCTAAAGAGCAATTCCTCTGAGGCCAGATTGTGCGGGTTCCAAGTTGAGGCAATCTGCACTGCAGGACCGCCCGCGAAACACGTATCGATACCCGCGCCGCTGCACTCACCCACTCTCATCAAGATTCCACTGCCTCCACTCGTTAGCCTTCCTTCCGGCCTTGCTGCTTGGACAGAGTGGATGAGCGAAAGGCTAGGGTGCCCGCGGCTTTTTTGTTTCCAACTTCCACCACTGGTCCTGGCGCTGTGATTGCAAGCCGAGCAGTCGAGGGCACGACTAATTTGCATACGCATCTTTGACGCCTTAGGGGGCCGCGAAAATGCAACCAGTTTGCATCGGGCGCCCGCGCTTCGCGAATCTGTCCTTCAACTCACAAAACCGGCACGCTCTGTATTGCTTTTCGAGTCGGCATTCACACTGGCGCTTTGCCAAATGAAACTTTTCTGTGGCATGACAGCCAGGGGTCCGGTGAGAGGCCAGCACCAATCGTGCAACCATTGATAATGCATTTCCGAAGGGCAACGCAAGGGAGAGACGCGGCACCGAGCCTAATTGTGTCGAAAGGTCAGCAATTTTTGTGTCTGCTCCGGCGCTGTGATCCGTTGGGGTTTTTAGGAAATTGCTCCACCACGAACGCCTCTCTGTGTGGAGCGACCAGCGAAACACGAGACGCCTTGCCCCAGTCCACTTTCAGCACTATCGGACCGGGATATAATACGAAACGCACACGTAATCATCTCCAGATAGAGTGGCACATGCCACCCTTTTCAACATCTATTGATGATGCGATGTGGGGAGTCACAATTGAGGACTGTTCTCTCTATCGGGGTCCATGTGAGCATAGCACAACTTCACGTATGCTGTAACTCCTAGTAAGTGCTTTCGTTAACGACCAACTTGCAATGTCGCAAGGCGAATTCCAATTTCTATCCTTGTTCTCTTTGATAATCAATATATTTCCTCAAACTCCCCCCTTCGTCAAAATATTGTTCAAAATATCGTGCCTGTACCTTTTCACATGATAAATTCAAGCAAAGAATTCAGCTGTAGACATAATGCAGGGTTGCATCGCCCTGATATGCGGTAGTGCACACATAAGTTCGAGGTTCTCTTGAATGAGGCGAAAACGGACTTTGACAATGATGCAAACACTCCTTCCTGTACTCCCCTTCCTTTTCCATCTGACGCTAGGGCACGAGGCCTTCGACCGTTCTTTGTCAGTGGGACGACAACGCCAGCATGGGGTTACGTGAGGGTGTAGGTCGGCCGTTCGGTATGCCTGCAGAGCAAGACTTCACGCCATTGTATGTTGTCGTAATGCTTCAAAATACGGACTTGCCCCTAAGACCACAGCAGTGGTTGCTGGTAATGAAGTCAGTTTAGCTATCACGGACTTCGACAAATCTTGGTCTGGCGCATCTAGGTCCCTCCCTTGCATACCCGGCCAAGGATCCAAGAGATGTTGGGATATGTGCCGGTGATGGAGGGTGGTTCGGAACTTACCAACTTGGGGCGACAAATGCAATGCAACGGGCCACCAAGTACCTCCCAGAGGTGAAATTCAGGAGCACATCTGCCGGCCAGTAGCTTTTGAGTGTGGAGCACATCTGGCCGACTTCCTTCTCAGATTACGTCTAATTCTCCACTAATTGCGCCCAAATCAACATCTTTGGTTGAGGTGGAGGGACTCTAGCTCTGGTAGTATATCAAGTCGGAGGTTTGGGACTGGTGCATTCAAAGGAGGCTTAAAGGACTTGCAATGTCTGGGCTAAATGTGTGGTCTAGATGAGGCAGATTAAATACATTATTCAGCATACGATACACAGGGGTTTGTGGGTGAACAGCAATAACCCCTGCTTTGGGCGTAATCCAAACCGGTCCAAGGATTGATATCCGTGATACGACGACCGTGGGAAGGATTGATGCTTCCACCAACAAGAAACAAGACTGCGCTTGTAGCCGCATATCCAGGATACTGAACCTACATCTACCTCCAGTGAGCAAATTTGCGAATGCGAGCCCGTCAGACCGACCAATACAGTGAAGTTGATAGTGCTAGTGCGGTGTGGACGTGGATGGCGATGAGAGCTTTCGAGGCTGAAAACTGGGCTTGATCCGGAAGGAACTCGGCAACTCCAAGGTTTTACACAAAGATAGCCCACCTTCACAATTACGAGTGAGGCGCTTGGATGATCGAGTCGTTGGATGCGTTGGGTGTGCGACGTGCCTAGGCTGTATTAGGAAGCATTATTAGTTCTTTCCACGGCACGCCGCGCTGAGACGCACCGCGCCTTGGACTTGTCTTTCCACGACACACACACCACGCTACTGGTCGATTATTTATTGTCGTCGATTATTTCGGCTCTATTCCTTCAACAATCTTCGACCACCGAGCAGCGCCCAAGGATACTGCCCTAGTGCGTTTCTTCTCCATGCAATAGTCCTCTCGGGGTAGTGGGCTCCGTCAAGGCGGAGTGACACCTTCGTGCCTAAGTGGTTGAGGGGCAATAGTGGTGAAAACTCTATCGGAACCCATGGAAGGCAGCAACTCTAGCCCGTCACGACTTGTTTTGTCTTTTCAACTATGTCCACCGGTCGCTGCTGCCCACGTACGGTGGAGATTCGACTACGCCCCCGAAGTGGATCCGCTGGCAAGCCGCAAGAAACGGATGATAAAAAGTTGTGGTGGAAGGAGATCAAGTTCCGGTAAATAGATCATCTGGTTCTGCATTAGGCTGAAGGAATATGGAGCAGCAGGCCGCTGTCCGGAAGCCAACAGTCCCTCAGCTTACCCACACCACACAACGCATGGATCACGGCTGGACTAGCTGTGGTTTGAAAAGCGCGTCAAGGCTGTGAACGCTGAACACGGCCACTCTCACCACCCATGCTGTTTTTGCTTCCATCAGTTACGAGTGTGGCGAGCTCGGTGGGGGCAACTCCACGAGAACAGCGTCTCGGGGGCTTGGGCTTAGCCTCGTTGTCCTCCAACCTCTAGATCCCACCTTGACCCCCGCCTTCTGCAAAAAGTAAGACGGTCTCCGACGAATGACGTTGTTCGACGCCACGCATCAAAGCAATTACTCTCTGCAGGAAAGAGGTTCAGAATTCCGAATCCAAGGCATCCATCACCGGTCTGATGGATCGTGACTTTTGTCCTGGTATCCTGGAAATAGGAGAGGGTTTCGTACCGCCATTGTGTCATTATCCTTTTAGAAGCAGCCACTTGGGCAGATATTTTGCTTGCTTGTACATCTGACTACGTTACGGCATTGTGACTGGCTGGCCAACGCCGTGGAAGTAGGTACATGCTCCCTCCGGCGGGATCGATGCTGCATACGAAACATTGTCAGCTCGCGATTTGCATCCACGCTGAAGTTATCAGCAGCAAGTATTGGTCTTGGATCCCGAAACTAAATAACGGCGTGAGCAACTTGTCGCCCGCCCCGATGCACAGATGACCCAGCGAAGGAAGCGCCTGTATCCTGTATCCCGATGCTGCTGGCCCTGTCACGGCGGGTGGGTACTGTTCGCGGGGAACCTCCACTCAGAAAGTCCGCCACATATTTTGGCTTCCTTGCGGTCTCGCGAGTAGTTCTCTGTGGCCTTCAAACAGTCGTGTTCTCAGCGTTCACAGGAACGTTGCAGGATGCTCTTTGCCGTCTGCTCACCAGTGCATCGTCCAATACCACCAGGCCCGCTGGATCCGACATCGACAAATATTGAGCCAGGCTATGCTATTGACTGAATCATGTGCTGCCTTAATTAGTCGCCGGCAGGTTGGCGAAACGCCTCTGCAAAATGCGAACAATCCACGCTTCCATGCTCTTCGTTCGATGAGCGGCCAGGAGCGGCAATGGTTATCTGCGATTATTTTTTGAATAGAACGTTCGATAGCGGCTTGGTCCTCGCCTGACACAACTCCGCGCTGCAAATGCTAAGGACTTCATGCAAGGACGACAAGGCAACTCTCTCTCCACACCACCACTTTCTGGCGCCCAACATCCACACCTCATCAGTGTCAGAACCGAACAAGGCACTGATGGAGCAGATCACGACACTCGTCTCATCAGCAGCATGATCCATTGACGTCGTACATGTTGGATCCGAACCTCTTCTCGCCGCTCGCCGCCCGCCGCTCCGTGGAGCATTACTCCTTCATTGCACAATCTTTCAGCATTCCTTAGAGAGCTTCAACACATGCAACGGAAATATCTACTTCCCTAACGCGGGACAGTCCTCCATGCCACGCCACCTGCAGGATACTGACTGGCGCACATGTCCTTGGCACTTTATGGTTGGTAGGGATAGAGAGCATCTCCAGATATGCAGTCAGAGGTTTCGCTAACTTCCACCACTCCTCTCTTAACACCGCCAGGCAACTTGTGTGTAGCGTGAGGGAATACTCTCAATCACCGGTTGCTAAAGCAAGATGCCGCAAGAAGCCGTGGTCTCGAGGCTGTCGGACGCGCGAAATGTTTCACTGGCTCACACAAACGGGGTGCCGACCAATAAAATCCCACTCTGCCCGACCCATGATGCTCCTTTCTCGCTATCTCGAGGTTTGATGGGTGCATCCATTATGACGAGAGAGTCTGTGTTCTGCAGGCTTCGGTAAAACTACTTATTTCTGGAACCAGTCCTTTTTGCTTCGCTTCATCTCCTATAATTGATTCAGTTTGATCAAATCGTGATCCCCAGCCCTCTTCGGATGGTTGTGTCACAGTTCGAGATTTTTTCTGCAAGCCGTATCACTCCGGTCGTGGCATGAATCCTTGCCTAGCCGGCCCTTTGCTCTGCTTCAACAAGTCCGCTTCTTCCGGCTCCACATGGGTATCGTTTTCAGTCTTACGTCGTCCTTCCCTGGTCAGACATGATTTTTTCTTTCGCAACACCGCGGGATGTCCACACACACGCACATTCTGCCGGTCACACGTCGCTTTGTTCTACCTGCCTTACCTCCTTACCTGCCCGGCTGCCAGCTTCCGGAAAAGAGCATTGGGCTTTCCAGTCCGCCGATCTCCACACACCTATCTCTCCATTCCTTGGACTTCCTGGAGTACGAGTGCATCGGCCGGCTGAATCTGTTTCGGAGATGGATCCTAAAGAGCCATGTACATGAGCGTACATTCTCAGGACGTGTTAAGACGGGGCAGGCCAGCTTAAATTCCCCCGACGCCAAGGTATCCCAGTGCACTTGACTGCAGCATTGCAGCGCTTCACATCCTACCGCTCGGCATCAATAGTATTGAGCCACGGGCTGCCGCAACCTGTGTGCACGAGACTGCAGCATAACCCGAAAGCATATGAAGCCAACCGCAACACAAGGCAAATTTCGCCAACCCAACCCCAATCTGACATGGTGTTGGAGCCTCCGGACAACAGGCGCGCTTCGCAGCAGGAATTATTGATCATTTCATCCCACACACAACTATGTACAAAGTCTTTCATGTACCGCACACTGACTACGTCTTTTCTTAGAACTCATATCACATACTATTTGCAATCATCCTGTTATATGCCTGCCTCCCAAACCGCAGCCTGCATCCAACTATCGCTCAGCAAGGCGGAGTCTGCTTTAGATGACGTGCGACGGCAACGTCGCAGCCTCAACGATTCGATTCGTAATAGGGAGAGGACCAGACCACTTTCGCTCCGCTCACCCCATTCAATGCCTCATCAAACTTTTGGGGTCTGCTTCTCGATGGCGCTCTGTGGTCATATTAGGCTCTGATATTTTCGTTGCTCGTCGTGTAGTACTTGTGGACCTTTGCCTTGAAATTATTTATTATGGCTGGGCATCCATGGATTCATGCCGCCCACGTAGGATCCGGTTCCAGTAATAGCGACACCGGTATCGATGCTGGACTTAAGTATCGTTCATATCCACGGAGAACGCCCCACCGAGCTGTCCACGGCGCCGAAATCGGGCTGAGATCAAAGCCACTCCGTACTGGGGCATTTCTCCATAGCGTCGAGGAAAGAACCAAACCATCCTCATCGCCCTCCAACAGCAATTGTAGATTCATCATGTCTTCTATGACCATAGCTTTCTGGTTATTAACCACGCCTACCTGCATCAAATCTAGATATGACACGCAAGTTCTAGTGCACCACCTTGTTGCTCGATTTGTCTTGATTTGGTCGGTCGCTCAGTTTCCAGAGCATTACTCTTCTCTGGGCTAAATCTTTCATTTTTATGATGTTCGATGATCCATGTAATGAGAATAACTACTTTCATTAAGCCAGGCAGGTTCTCCGTTCCATCCTGTGCTATACTCGCGAACCCTCGAATGCTTTCCCCAATTGGGGATGGACTACCTATTTCGTTGCAGCGTTGAAGATCCGGTTTCCGCTTTAGCTAGGACTGAAATATGGAGAGTTTCTAAAGCAGACCATAGTCGCATCAGAGCTTACCGTATTTCCATGATATCTCTGGTAAGAGATAAAATGTTAGTAAGAGTGGGTGTGTTCTAGCGACAAATGGGAGAATCCTAACTGTCTTTCCAGAGGATTTGAGCCGTGAGGACCAGCAAAGAATATCCTCGTCGCAAGTCTAGCAAGATACTAGGCCCACAAGGGTTCCAAAATCTTGATTGATACACAATCTGTATATTTACAATCATGTGCCTGCCCTTCCCTCTCATTCATCAGACATTCTACATATATCCTACACTCGGTCTCTTCCTCTCCCTCTCAAGCCCACTCAGGACTAAAGTTCAGAAAAGCCTATTCTCCGCACTAGCCTTAACGGCCTTCCTCCTAGCCTCCTGCCTCTTCCTATCCTTAGCCTCACCCGGCACCTTAAAGAACAAACTCGGGCTTTGTCCCTCCTTAACTGTATGGCTCAAATACCCTCTATGCGCAGGATCCCTATAGTACTCGATGTCCCTTCTCGACGTCGCATCCGCTAGCCTGTATTTGTATTTCGCCGAAACCTCGGCCCAGACTGCATTGAAAGCTGTCTGCTTCGCTTCTTCGGGAGTATCTGGGTTGCTGAGGGTGGTGCAATGTTCAGAAAGCGACTTAGCGAGCGGAAGAGTACGAGCGATGAATGCGGGATCGGCGTCGAGCGAGACGGTGGGGTGTGCGTCTCCGCGAAGCACGCGTTTGATAGAGTCCGGTGAGTAGAAGCGTGTGGACACAGTGCCACCTAATGCTTCAACTCGCGCGATGGCGGCTGCGGAGGCTCGCGATACGATAATGTTTATGGGAGACTTTAGCTTATCGGCATTCTGCAAGTGGTGTTAGTAAATTGTGAAGGATGAGGTGAGCTGCTGCAGGTGAGATTGGGGATTGCGGGACGATTTAGGATATCAATAATAAGGCAAGCGGGGCACTCATGCTTCGCTCATGCTGTAGCCCGGATCGGTGTTGGATTTGGGGAGCATCTCTAAATCTGTTGCGAAGGATTCAGAGGATGATGGTTCGTGGGATGTACAATCCAAACCCAACACTTGAGGCATCCCATTCTTGTGCCGCTTTCCCGGGACTGTACCAAAAGCCCGGCCGATGTTGGTTCATTTTGTTTCGGGATTGGAGAAGGTGGAAGAGGAGAAGTCCGGTTTTACATACCCTCGAAAGCAGTTTGACGCCATCTTTTTTAACGCCGTGTACACACCTTGTCCTGTTTAAATCCTTGATTGTGATTGGCTTGGTAGGATCGAGGCGGCCTTGGTCTATCCACCACTGGATTCTGTCGAGGTTGATGGGGGTCATTTCGACTTTGAATCTGGGAAAAATGTGGTTAGCAGAATGATCAATTGATACCGCCTTGTCCAGCATCAGCAACGCCATACCGGTTCCGTAGCAATCAAAACCGCGAGCATGCCTTAAGATTTCAAATGAGGATTTTGCACTTACGATACATATTTATTCTTTCCCCTCGGCGGCTGCGTTATCTCCAAAGGGGTCTGCCCACCCTGAAACCTTGCCGGCACCTTTCCGTGCGCATGTTGACCCTTTTGACCCCTTCCAGCCGTTTTACCCTTTCCCGATGCTGGTCCCCGTCCTCGTCTAATCTTCTTATTATATGCACCACGATTGTCAGAGAGATTGGAAAGAATCGAGGCGGAGCGGTGCTGGATGGGGAGGAGGAAAGGCGCCAGCAATGGCATTATGGGGGAGGCATGGTGTACTGAGAAGACATTAGAGACCAAGCGGAGGGGATTGAGCCGCGGTGGCATCGTTGTCGGTGTGGATTTGTTGATGGAGTTTTCGTGGTGCTCATCGGAGCTCTGCGAGGAAATTGTCATTACATAAGCTATTTTTTTTTTGAATAGTTCTTGGCAAGGCTTAATCCCCTCGTAAATGTATACCGTTTAACTGAATAAGAGAATTGGGCTGCTTTTGATTCAGACCATGCAATACGAATACAAGGCTAAATTTTATACGATAATACTCATCGACTGAAGGATTCATACCATCTAGCTGAGGGTGCTGAGAGTATTACAAACGAGGTAAATTACATCTAACATGTTGAAGCTCGCGGCTGAATGCGCGAGGATAAGCAGTTGGCTGAGGGACTTAAAGAACGCTGAGGAACGATATAACAACTCACATCTGAGACGAGAACATATCCGACTTTTTGCTTAGACTTGCTTCAAGTGCGGATCTTTTATGGGAATCGCTGCCCTCCCCAGCTTCCTCTAACCTGACGCCTACATTGACTATAACATTGTAGGTGAGAAGCGCCCACAGACATCTCCATGGTGATTAGACTAGAGTAAGTGCAGCCTGGCAACCGTAAGATATAGCAAGTGTCGTGAAACTTGGAATTGCCATATTCCTCCTGCTCGAAAGATAATCTTGTGATATCGAGAATTCCAACTCGTTATACCTATTTATGTGCTCATATCTAGTGGAGGATCATGTAGATGTTAACTAGAGGCGTCAAAAACCTGCGCAGAGTGTAAATTATAGCTATCCTGATGCAGTATAAACGCGTGCTACTCGGAATATGACCAGTTCCATTATTGGACTAACCATAATCAGTGCAAACGGGAGATATCGAATCTTTCCCAGGGAGTAGTATGTTAGCAGAGCTAACAAAAACACACGGAAAGAAACCCCAGTCCCAGTGCGCCACAACCGGAAGGACGAGTCTACCCAGATCTTGTACTCTATTGACTTGGAGATCCTCTATCATAGCTTCAGGCAGTATAGTTGAAGTATAGTCAAATCGTAGTGAACCCTAATACGTAACGGGAAGCCATGACATCTATCTCCACAATCCTGACTATTCTTTCAGAGTTGAAGGGCCAACATCGACCAGTCGAGACGGCAACAAGAAATCGTGGCGGTTCGCTGGTAAAATTCTAATGTTTTCAATTGTAGCTTTGCAGCGAGGTTTGCGCGGCGAGAAAGAGGGTTCCAAGGGATTCAGAGGGAGAATGCCTGGCCATGTATTAGATTGGCATACATTAACGCGTCAGTAATAAGTAGCGTCAGTTCCCGTAGATTTACGGTATTACCAGGCAAAGTAAACACAATACCAAGAACCTTCTATACCATCGTCCATCTTTCTTTTTCAGGAAAGATCAAGACGGTAGTGTGGGCTCGTCACATCCCAGGACAACATCAATGCAGAAAGTCTCCGTAGGTCTCTCTAAGGCTTTAGGAAACGCAGAAAATAGGACTTGTACGAAAGGCGCAAAGCGATCACAATATAGATTGGCGAGATTAGAGGTTGGCCAACCTGAAGGAATGTAATAACGAAGAGAGAGGTGATCGAGAGCCTGTATTGTTGCTCTCGCTAATGATCTCTCTCTCGCCATGTGTAAAGCCTGAGGACATGTTGACAAGAGTTCTTCCAAAGAACTTTCGTGGAGTTTCGACTCTAGATTATTCTGTGCGAGAAAGCGTCTAGTCAGTAGTGAAGTATCTTACACCAAATAGTTATTTGATTTTTGAAGCATTCCAGTGGAAGCCAAACTATGGCCTGGTTGCTACTCATGTATGAAATAAATATGGCTGAAGCGTAACTCACGGCTAGATACCATCCATACCCTTGCCATAGAAAGGAGAAAGAGGTGGTTTAATGATGGAGTCTGCGAATATGATTGTGAGACGCTGTGCTGTAACAAGGTCCCTGTCCGCTGCAGAAGGCGTGAATTCGGGGAGTTTCGGGGATTACTAATTTGATTGACCATAGCGCTAGCCCCAACGCGGCTCGTGGGATCCCGTTTCGGAAAGCGCCGTCCTCACCTCTCTGTTCACTTGTAACAAATGTCAACATCAAACTTCTCCAAAATGCCATCCGACGAGATGGTGAGGCCACGCTTAGCTGCCCGCTACGAAGGAGAAGATACAAGCATAATCACGCAGCGAGAGCTCAATGGTTGGTACTCGTATGCCATTGCCGCCGAGGTTTTTGCTGTAGTGGCTACTGGTAAGTAAATAGATTTTCTAAATTATAGCTGAAACAGACTACTGATTATAATGCGAAAGGGGCTTTCCTTCCGGTTACGCTAGAGCAGTTATCACGAGAACGAGGTTTTCTCTTCTCTGATAAGTCAAGACCGTGTGTTGCTCAAACTAGATCGCTAAGCGGCCAAGATTCGATGAGGAACCTTCTGACCAGAGCAAACGATGCGAAACAAGATCAATGTGTGATCAACTTCCTGGGTATGGGAATCACGACAGCTTCGTTTGCGATGTACACACAATCAGCTGCGGTGCTCGTACAGGCGATCACATTGATCTGCTTCAGCTCGTTTGCTGATCATGGTATGAACCTCTTCACGTTTCTTAAAACTTAAAACTGAAATATACATAGGGCCCTACCGCAAGAAGATGCTGATGATGTTTGCATATACAGGATCTGTCGTCAGTGTGCTTTTCATCGTCATCAGTCCGGCAATTTACTATTTGGCTCCCATCCTGGCAATCATTGGCGTCACATGTCTTGGATGCTCGTTCACACTCCTCAATGCATTCCTACCATTACTAGTGTCAAATCATGAAGGGAAGTATATCGATGACTTCACATCCTCGGACTTTGAACTCGAGGCTCTCAACCCAGAATCCAATATCCGACGCCATGATCCTGAGAAGCTCTCCCGTGATCTTCAACTCTCGGCGAACATATCCTCTAAAGGGGTAGGTCTAGGATACATGGCTGCCGTGTTTGTGCAATTAATCAGCGTCGTAATTCTGTTTATTTTCTCGAAGACATCTATCTCGAAAAGCAATCCAAGCCTTCCTATGCGAGTCGTCCTTTCTCTCGTCGGGATATGGTGGGCTACTTTCACTACCCCAACACTGCTTTGGCTTCGACCACGCCCTGGACCACCACTTCCTGTTCAGCTCAAACCTCATTCCCGTCAATTTAGCCGATACCGAACCTTCCTCTTCTACACCATGTTCTCTCTCTCCTCATTCTGGAACACTGTCAAACGCGCCTGGAGTCTACGACAAGTCTTTCTCTTCCTCACGGCCTGGTTCCTCCTTTCTGACGCCATCGCCACCATATCCGGCACCGCCGTTCTCTTCGCTCGCACTGAACTAGAGATGGGCACCATTGCCATCGCTCTTCTTTCGATAACTGTGATCGGTTCCGGTATTGTCGGTGCCTTTGCTTTACCGCGCATATCGGCTTGCTACTCTCTCGAACCAAAATCAGTATTTCTACTCTGCGCCGTTCTCATAGAAATAGTGCCGCTCTACGGCCTTCTAGGCTACATCCCCGTCCTACAACGCGCCAAAGTCGGCGGCCTCCAACAACCATGGGAAATCTATCCGCTAGGCGCCTTCCATGGCTTTATTATGGGCGGAATAAGCAGTTATAGTCGCAGCGTTTTCACCCCTCTGATTCCCGAGGGCAGTGAAGCTGCCTTCTTTGCTTTATTCGCCGTCACAGATAAAGGGTCTTCTGCGTTTGGGCCTGCGTTAGTTGGCTGGATAGTTGACAGAGCGGGTACAATTCGACCTGCATTTATATTTTTAGCTGTGTTGGCGTTGTGTCCGGGGCCACTGATATATATGGTTGATGTGGAGAGGGGGAGGGGGGATGCGGCGAGAATGGTGGAGACGGATGGGAGGAGGTGGGAATGAGGGCATGGATTAGGGGCGTATTGCCGTGAGTAGGAAGTTGGCAAGAGTTAGATCTATGAATATCATTCTTTGACTATAGCACAAGTGTCCTGAACAGAGTGTACCATCCCGTCGCAGATAGGCCAAGCAGATTTAGGCGGCGAGTGCAAGACATGCAGGTGTGAATACCTGCCACGCATGAACGAGTCTGGGTTTGAACAGAGATAGGGTGCATACCGATCTAGAGCCAAAGAAAGCAAGGGGTTGGAACTATAATTTCTATTCTTTGACTATACCATGATAGCCTTGGAAGCGCTGTACCCTTCCGGCACTTATATTCCTAGCGAAATTAGGCTTTAAAGAGGGTAGCATAAGAATAAAGGACTTGTCAAGAATAAGTCTAGCTTAGGACAGAAATAGAGTGCACGCAGATTCAGGCCTAGAGCAGGCATTGAATTAATTCTACGCTTAACAGGGGAATAGAACCGTTTTTCCTGTTCTGTAGTCTAGCATAAAGAGCTGTTAACGTCGTGTATCCGTACTGTTGACATGCGTAAGGTAAATTCTGCCCAAAGGGAGAAGGCTGAGAGACCAAGGCACTAGTCAAGAATCTCGCAGCGTGATGCTGAGGTGGAGCAGGGAATGAGCCAATTCTAAATCTGACAGGGGGCTAGAAACGCCAATCCTGTTCTGTAACTCTACCTGAGGAAGACATGAAGATACAGATACTAGCCAAGAGTCCCGTAGCATGTTGTGAACATAGGGACATCACTTTAAGTACACCTCGCACTTCACACGTCGCACATCGTACAGGCTTGTAAATATAAAGTTACTATCTGGATTCTATCGCCTATATACATCGAAGTGAAATGAAGAATCAACCACCGCCACCAACCCATCAACTCACCAACCTAAACCAACAACCCACTAGTAGGAAAATCTTTCCCTTACTACTGGACGACTGTGCCAGCGCCAGCGAACCAATCAGTGCCATATCCTAGGCCACCGATCGAGATACCGTACTTGGCACCAGGGTCCTCCTCCATCTGATACCGCCAGTCCCAAGAAGCCGGCGGGGAAGATGGCAGATTCGCCCGGATTTGAGCTGAACAGTCCCGAGGTCCGAATTGGACATTACCTGGAGAACGATAGTAGTCCTCCGGGTAGACGTCCGCCACAGATGGCTCAGGGCCCTGGTCTAACCGCTTGGTACGCACAAATGCAGACCGAGGAGTTGGGTTGTGGTACTTCGCCGGCTGAATGGGTGTGGCGGGGTAGTTTGTGGTGGTGAGGGCAGGGGCAGCAGTGGATGTGGTGAAAGAATGGTCCGGCGACGAACTCTGGAGATGTCCAGGCTTAAACGGGGCAGCGGCTGGGTTAAGGGCTGTTAGCGGCCGGTTCGTCATTGCGCCCCCGGAGGCAACTTGGAGGAAGGTGGTTTGCCCCGCCGCATTCATCGCCATGTACACAGTTGCCAAACTGGCGGGGGTAACCAGGGGGACCGCCTCAGCTGCAAGGTATGCGGCTCTGTTGCCAGGGCTCGTGACCATGCGGATTGGTCTTTTGTCAATTGGGGTAGAAGCTGCACAGCTGCGAGCTGAGTAGAATGCAGTATCTCCTGTAGAGCTCGTCACGTCACTGGTTGGTGACTGGCTAGGCATGACGGCTTGATTGGTTGCTATATCTGTCGATTTTTGAAACAGGTTTTCACTGCTTTTTAGAAGGATGGACTGTAGCTGCATTGGAGATGTCGCAGAGCCGAGAGTAGGTAGCAGTCTGGGATAAATGTGGCGGCTCCGTAGAGGTGGCTAGCAGTGCTGTTAAAACATGACTGGTAGCTGTCTGGAAGAAAAATGTAGAGCAGAAGGTTGGAAGCTGTCGGGAGGAAACGCAAACGAGTGCTTGGAAGGCGGTGCGCAGCTTTCTGGAGCAAAAGATAGCGGTGATCTTGGTGAATGGAAGGCAGCTGACTTGAAATGGAATTGGTAGTGTCTCAAAGAAGCGGTGGCACTTGTCTTAAAAAGTCGCAGATCAGAGCGTCAGAAAGCTTTCCAGTGGGAAACCAAATGGCTGTATGGAAGGGGCAGTGCACAGCTTCGTGGGGCAAAAGCCAGCGGTGGTATTGGTGGTCAGTAGGTAGCTGGCTTCAAGTAGAACTAGCACTGTCTCGAAGAAGCGCTGGTAGCTGTCTTGAATGCCGTAGAGTAGGGCCTTGGCAATTGTCTGGAGTGGAAACAAATGGGTGCTGGACGACCGGTGTGCGGCTTTTTGAAAAGAGAGCGGGCGGCTGTCTGGTAGAGGGGTCGGAAGCTGTCCACAAGAGACACGAAGAGTTCTGAGAGGAGGGCGTGCATTTACTGGAAGAAGTTCTAAGAGCAGTGGGTCCGGAGCGGTCTGGAAAAAGAATGCTCGATGTCTGAGGCAAAGGGGCTGAGGCAGAGAGAAGCTCGTGGCTTTCTTGAAAGATGCAGACCAGAAGACTGGTAGTTCTCTGGAAGAATAGAGTGCAGCTATTCAAAGACGGCCTTAGAGCAGAGAGCTGGCAGCTGTCGGGACTAACTAAGGACGGCGGAGAGGCAGAGACCGAGGGTGGCTCGCGGAGAGAAATTTTGGCGGGGAATAACTCTGAGCGCTGCAACAAACACGCCTTCACGTGTAATAGCGGTGAAATCCTGGGGCTACAGAAAGGAGATGACACGGTTTTGCGGTGTGTCAATGAGCACCACAGGCCCAGTGCATGCCTTCGAAGAGACCAGTGACGCTTCGGAGTATCGTATTCTAAAGGTTATCCCCTTAGGGAGTATTCTTGCACCATCCCCGTCGTCCTGAAGCGCCTGTTAGCGTAGCACTATAAGCGTCATTAGGTACATTACCTTCTTGCTCCTCCCTCTGGTCTCCTTACCGCTCCCTCGTCTTGAAAGCATTCCACGAGCCATCCGTTAGCCTGTGCAAGCACTAGTAAGACAGCGAAATGGCTCTCTCGGTTGATTTCAACTTTAATATAACGAGTCTGGGCTCCGTCGCCAGATACCGACAACTCTAGAAATTTCCTCTATGCCTACACACCACTTCGACATTTCGGAAATGAAGAGACATAAAGACGGGACTTGGTGGGAGCAACCACGAACCAAAAGGTAGAAGAAAGCGTCGGAGGCACAACGTCTGGCCTCAACCTCGTAAGAGTTTTTTGAGGTAAATTATGTCTGTGGAAGAACTTGTCGATCTGGGCGATCTGGAGGAGGTGGAGGCCATCAAGCTGGCAGAGTGGGAGCGACTGGATAGTGAAACTTTGAGAATTGGATGCTAGAAAGTGAGGTATCTCTATTTTGTTGGGGTTTGACGATCACAACTGGGAAGAATGTGACTACGACGTTTCTGCAGATCATTTAATCCATCACCAGGACTGGCCAGGTTCCTTCTCCGCAGCTAATTGAGAGTCTTACTGTCGCGGATTGGCTTTCGATATCTACAAATTTTGTACACAATACTTACCATCTTCCACCCTTTTTGTCATGGATTAGGGGTTCTGCGACATTACCTTACCCGTTTTCTCTACATGTCACCACATAACAAGCTGCATGACTAGGGTGCAGTCTATCTGTCCAGCCTCTTGCTGGCAGGGGAGATCGTCAGCTGAATACAAATTTCTTTCCTAAAGGGCCCCGCTATGTTTCACGTTGGGTGGCAAGAGGCTGTATGGCTTTGGCGCACCAGAATGGCTCTGGTGAGTGCCAAATGTACAATAATCGTCGCCTCCTTTACGCGGTCGTTATTTGGGTCCCTCAAACAAAGCTGTTTATTGGTGTAGCATTACGGTGCCGAGTTGAAAAATTCTCTTACATGGAACTCCAGTTGAACAAAGGATAACTGCCTTTCAGGAGAACCGTTCGGCAAAGAGTAGTGTTTTGGGGGAATGAGCACACTCAAAAGGACGGCGAAGAATCTGTGAAGGGGCTAGCGAGTTTTATTGTGGGTATATGAGCCATGAGGCCATATGAGCTGGTATTGATGCAGACTCGCATCCGTGACGGTCAGTTCCTTCGTGTTATCAGTGCCCGAATACAGGAATCGTGAAAACAGCAACGTGAAAGCAGAAAACAGCGCCAGAAACAATATTACGAGGCACCCTGTGTGCGCTTCTCCTCAATGGTGATTTGAGGTTTGTGGGAGAGGAGTGATCAAAGGCAAAACGGAGCAAAGCCACATCCGGAGAAACTATGGACCGAAAGTGGGTCAGCCGAGGATAAGCCGGTGCACACCTCTTGGCAACGGGTTCTCGCGACGATTTCACAAACGCGACTGAATCTTGTGGTTCAACTTTACTGTGCAGATATGGGGAAGGGTACAGACAAGCTATACATTACCCACTCCGAGTGGTCTTCTGAAGACGCCTACGGCACCAGCCGGGGCACCAACGCAGGAAAACCGGGCGCTGTTGACTCGACGTTCAGACGCCTCCCTTTCAACTACTGCGCTGTTTCCCTTCAGCCCTTCACAGACCCCGTATGCACGGCGGATGGTACCATATTTGATTTAACACACATCCTCACGTGGCTACAAAAACACCCCACGAATCCCGTTGATGGCACGCCCCTGAAGCGCGCCGATCTCATCGAGCTCCATTTCGCGAAGAACGAGGACAACGAATATGTTGATCCAGTTACATACAAGGTCTTCACAGACAACACACATCTTATTGCTCTGCGGAATACGGGGAATGTATTTACGTGGGATACGATCGAGCGGTTGAACATTAAAGCGAAGAACTGGAAGGATTTAGTGAGTGACCAAGACTTCACGCGCAAGGATGTCATCACACTACAGGACCCGCAGAACCCGGAGTCGAGGAACTTTGGCGCATATAAGCATATCAAAGATGGCGAGACAACAATCCCCGATGCGGAGGCCAGCGTGAATACAGATGCCCTTGGGAATGCTGGGAAGATTTTGAAGGCTAAAGAGGCAGTTGCGAAGGCAAGAGCAGAGCGAGAAGCAAAATCAAAAGGATTTCAATCGTCAAAGGCCATGGTTGCAAGAAATAGCTCTGGAACTAAAGGACCTGTTTCATCTACTTTGAAACCCTCACCATACAATGCCGCAATCTATACATCTGGAAAAGCGGCAGCATCATTCACGAGTACAGGCGTGACCCCACATACTTCTGGAGAGCGTGCTGTGCTATCCGAGGAAGAGTATATGCTGAAACCCAAGCGAGTAAAACAAAAGGGCTACGCGCGGATAAGCACAAGTCTCGGCGACCTGAACATCGAACTGCTTCCGGAATTTGCGCCTAAGGCTGTGTGGAACTTTGTGAGACTGGCACAAAAGGGCTACTACCGAGGCACCGTCTTCCATCGCAATATCAAGAACTTCATGATCCAAGGGGGAGACCCGACTGGGACAGGAAGAGGTGGGCAGAGTATTTGGGGGAAACCTTTTAATGATGAGTTGGAAGGACCGAATATGCATGACGCGCGAGGTGTCATTAGTATGGCGAATAAGGGCAAAAATACAAATACCTCACAATTCTTCATAGCATACCGCCAAGTACCGCACTTGAACAAGAAGCACACCATCTTCGCGAAAGTAGTCGGTGGCCTAGACACGACACTCAAAGCCATGGAATCCGCAGAAGTAGGGGAGAAGGATAGACCGATTGAAGATATTGAGATTCTGGATATCGTGGTTTACGTTGATCCATTTGAAGAGTGGCAGAAGGCGAGAGAAGAGAAGGAGGGCAAGGAAAAGGAAGAAGAAGAGGTTAGACTGCAGGGTGGGAGAGTAGGTGACCGGACGACCTGGACGGGGAAAAGAATAAGAGCGGATGGCACGGTAGAAGCAGATTCAGGGGATTCGGCCATTGGGAAGTATCTCAAGGCTGCGAAGATGCAACAACCGGATGAAGACGAGATTATTGGTGACTGGGAAGAAGAAGTGCCGGTAAAGAAGAAACTCAAAACAGGTGGATTCGGGAATTTTGATAGCTGGTGAAGAAGCTTTAATCTGGACTAGGTCAAAGACGTTACGGAGCATTTGGGAAAGAGACCTCGACACTATTCATTGGCAAGAGAAATCAGATACCCCCCCCAACCACCTTGTATACCCGAGGAAACATTCATCCGAGCCGTCTTCCTCTCTCTTACACCTTGGTCTCGCTCCCCTCGATTAATCCCAGTCCTTCCCCACCTACATCTCAATCAAAACCTTTAATGCCTTCTCCTGACTTGCCTTCCCGAACGTGTCATACGCCTTTAACATATCCGCAAACTTGAATCTATGCGTAATCAGCTTCTCCGCTGGTAGCTTCTTCGCTGCTAGCAGTTTCAGCAACATTGGCGTGGTCGTCGTATCCACAAGCCTCGTGGTAATCGCTATTCTACATTAGCACAGCTGCACATGGCGCCCACTTCCACCCTCCTAATACCAAAAAAGCGGGTAGGACACTCACCAATATTCTTATCCCAGAGATTTTCCAGATGCAGATCCGCCTTCACGCCATGCACACCAACATTCGCAATCGTCCCACCCGGCGCAACAAGCTCCTGACACTGATGAAACGTTTCCGGAATGCCGACGGCTTCAAGCACGGCATCGCAGCCCTTTCCCTCTGTAGCCCCATTCACAACGTCCGCGGCTTTATCCGGAGTAGCGGTATGTGTAGCCCCAAGGCCTTTCGCAACCACCAGTCTATTCTCATCCGGATCGATCATAACAATCGTACTCGGACTGTACAACTGGGCTGTTATCAAAGCAGCGAGGCCGACGGGTCCGGCACCAACAATCGCGACGGTTGAACCAGGGGAGACTTTGGCGTTCAGAACGCCGCATTCGAGACCCGTGGGGAAGATATCAGATAACATGACCAACGCTTGCTCATCCACCCCAGCAGGAACTTTATACAAACTATTCTCCGCGTTAGGGATTCTTACGAACTCGGCTTGCGTCCCATCGATCTTATTCCCTAGACTCCAACCCCCGGTCACGCAATGGCTATACATGCCTCTTTTGCAGTACTCACAGGTTCCGCAGCTACTGATACAAGATATCAGTACCGGATCCCCCTCTTTAAAATTCGTTACACCTGCTCCAACAGAAGCCACCGTGCCGACTCCCTCATGGCCTAGGATCCGCCCCGCGGGAATTGTGGGGACGTCACCCTTCAGGATATGCAGATCGGTGCCGCAGATTGTCGAGAATTTGAGCTTAATGACTGCATCTGTTGGATTCTGCACCTCAGGTTTGGGGAGGTCGTTGAGTTGTGGCGGGTTGTTAGGACCCTGGTATGTGAGTGCTTTCATGGTTATTGTGCGGAGGAATTGCGTTGTTAGTGGTCGAGATGGGAGGTGAGAGACGTGGCGGAGGGTGTGTTGGAGACTGGTTTTTGCGGCTTGCATGGCTGCGGTGGGGTTTTATAGGGATTGGGGAATAACGGGTGGGTTGGTACCGTACTGTAGGTTGGTGACGAGATCGTGCAGTCTGAGTGACACGGCATATGCTTGTAAGCCGTGGCTTTGGGAGGCGTGAAATGTGGTTTATGGGATTGGGTTCCCCTAGAAAGAGCGATGGTGTGGTGGAGTGAGCAAATTATTGGCGGACATCTCCTCAATTGAATCGGCTGTAAGCGGAGGTTTTACTAGGTTTGGAAATTGTCATGAGAGTTCTGGAGATGCGGGGAACCTTGAAAAGGCTTGAATGTTAAATCCTTGAAAGCGAATGTGATGCTGGGAATGGCGTTGTGGCTGGGGCAAAGGACAACACGCGATCAGGTGATGACGAGATATCGTTACCCAAGTGCGGGTCGCAAATTGCGTGGGTTGCGGTTCCGATGTTGCGGATCCAGATTTGGAGCCGCACGCTAAGATTTTGAGCCTGGAGAGGCTTTGTAGGGCAACAGGGTAAATCTACAAGTATTCCATAATAATCATTGGAGAGGAATTCAACCTTCAACGGTTCGTAGATCAAAGGCCTGACTAAGTTTACCTAGGTCTAGCGCACCTACAGCTTCCGAGAGGGATGAGCGAGGACTTGATATGGTAGCCGCTGTAATTATCCTGAGATACTGCGGGAATGATCACCGGAAGGTTTATGTTGAAATTGTGATATTTTTCATTGTGGAGTTATTATCTCATCTTGTACAAGACGCTTTCAGACTGAAACAACTTCCTTCGCTAGCGCGGCTGAAGCGCATATCCTTCTGATTCATTCCGTGTCTTTCAGACATCATGTTTCGATCAGTCCATCCACTGGCTACCGTCGAAATAGTGAGGGTATACTTCGTACATCCTTTGCACAAGAAAATCCAACTAAACGCCAAATGCTATCCATCACCACCGAGATATCCTGCTCCTCTCGGTGCTATGCGAGATTAGGTAGTGTAGTCCAATAAACCAACCAACACCATGCGTGCCCATGCTATGCTTGGTGATCTTAAACGATGGCACCAAGAAGAACAATCACCCCCAGCACTATGGCGGCAGTGAGGTGTTGCAGGCCTCGGAGAGGTACCGCGGCGCCAGTGGCTTGCACGTCGAACGGGCTGCCTCCTCCGGATTCGGAATTCGACTTCTGACTGTTGGCCGTTGAACTTGGTTTTGCAGATTTTGAGGACGAGCTGCTGGTACCAGCGGCTGAAGGCTGCACTACGGTGGAAGTGGGCTGTGGGGGGTTGTTCACAACGGATGTCGCGAGCGTCGAGCTCGCTGCAGCTGACCTCGACTGAGCTGCGCTACTCGACTGCGCAGCTTGTTCCGTGCTGGTTGCCGCCGGCTGCGATGGCTTTGGTGGTTCCTCGGTCTTCGAAGCCGACGGCACCACCGTCGTGACTTCTACTCCTGGACATAGCGCGGGTATGCCCTTTCCAAGTAGGAAGACGCCGATTATGGAAGTTTCGGGGACATCGACAGTCGCGCAGGCTTGGGTGACCAGGTTCTGGATGTCGACGAGCCCTTTAACACAGGAGGAGCTGCACCTGCTGTTGCTTCCAAAGTCGCCGGCTTCGCAGCCCGCTATCGGTCTTGTGTATACGGCCTGGCATTGCTGTGGGAGGTTTTCGATGCGCGGAGTGAAATTCGAGAGGGCAACGGAGGCACCCGCTGAAGTGATGCCGCTGGCTACTAGGGCCATGATTGCTTGTGAGCGAGAGAAGATCATGGTGAGATATGTGAGGTAGTGGACGAGTGGGTTCGCTAGGTGGGTCGTCGCGGGAAGATCGAACGCGTACGCCGATGTGTAAGAATTTGATGGTCTTGGATAATGCGAAGTCTCACTCAGGCCGCAATGCCATGCGCTGGTGGGTGGAGGATGCTGGTGAGACTGTTGGCGTTTTGGAAAATGATGGTGGGTGGTGAAGTCGTGAGACGTGGGGCGTTTGCAGTCCAGGGGAGAAAGTAAATATGATGTCGCTATCCGCCCTCTTCACACTGTACGCTTCCGTCGGATGCCGCCCGCGGTGCTTGTCGCAGTTCTGAGTAGTTTTTCGCCAAATGAAATCGGAATTCCAATTTTCCAGACTCAGTCCTCTACCCCGTGGCGACAGTGGTGCAAAAGGTCTTATATTTATGCGACCTGGCCAATGACTTCTCGTCTACCTTTGTACAAAAAGATGGTTAAGCACGGATCCTGCAGGGCAATGAATGAAACAGAAAAGAGGACAGCTCCAGGAGAGTGAGGAACAAAGTCTCTGGCGCCAGGCCTGCAAGGAGTGTCGAGGGGAGGCAGGGTAGAAAAGGCCAGGTGAAGTCACGCTCAGCGCAGGCTTAAGAAGGGAAGTGGAAGAAAGGAAGAAGTGATGTTCGTGATGGTCGTGATAGGCACAGCTTCATGCCATTGTTGGCGTGGGCCGGGCGAAGAGTCTCTCTGAAGAGATCATGAGAGGCAAGTCTGAAGACAGATCTACCAGGAGCGAGGGGGTGTATATGTGAGCGTCGCATGGCGGTTGGTGGAGCGTTTGGTGATGGGCAGAGCTGTTGTGTGAGATGAACGCACTGAAACACAGGAGCCCTGCACTGCCCCTCCAAGCCTACAGCTCATTCGCCGGCGCCGGCGAGCTGGGCGTTACACGATGCGACAAGCATCCCCTGAGACATCCCCAGGCCAGCCAAGGTCGCTCGTTTGGCCTCTCGCCGTCCTCCTCAGCGCCAGCAAGGCCAGAGAAAATAGCACAGGTGTTCCTTTTCCTGTGACTGGCGTGCAGACCCTCATCTCTATCCAGCCTATAAGCAGCAGCACCCTCGCGACATACAGTCACGATGAGCCAGCACACTCAACAGCGTCACAGTCTGCCTCACGGTTTTACTATTGCTTAAACGAGCACCTCGAAAACAACCTAGGAGCCAACACCGTCTCCACCTGCTAGGTGCAGGAATAGCGACTTCACAGTGCGCACCCTGATCGCGTGAACCTAATATAAGTCAAATCTACAGCATTACCCAGGTCGGTCCTTCACTGCCACCGCAAGACCACCAACACTATCACCACTACCTCGCCGGCGAACAAGACTTCACACAGAGGTCAGCAGAGGTAAGATGCATGAACAGTCGCTCGTTTCAATCGCGTATCTCATTTCACTGATCAAATCCTTCCGTCGTAGATTGATTCGGAGAGATGGAATCACACCACCCTAGCCAATCTCCCTTCTTTCCTAATCCATAACGATGACGCTTCTGAATCTCGCCTTTCCACTTTCCATGTGCTTCACTGCGTCCTCCACTTTGTCCAACGGGAACTTCTCAATCATGCACTTGACTCCCTGGTGTTCTGCGAAGCTGATTGCTTCTTCGCAGTCAAGCGCATGGCCCGAGGGCCAACCGTGAACCGAACTTCCCTTCACAATCATTGCAACCGTATCAACTGGGACTTCCCCAACAGCTGTACTTGAGTTAACCCTGACCTCGTATCCTGCCGAAGCGGAGTGGGGAGCGGAACATACGAGCAAGAATCAAAACCTTCCCAAGTGGCCCGCAAGCTTTTACCAATGGTCCCATGATCTTCGGATTAGGTGCTGTGACGACGATCAACGAAGCACCTCCCATTTTCTGTAGAGCTTCAGTCGCGTCCTCTTTGCTGGTATCGATATAATCGGTTGCCCCCAATTGGAAGGCAAAGTCCTTCTTGCTGCTACTGGTTGATAGCGCAACGGTCCGGTATCCCATGCGACGAGCATATTGGATGGCAAGGTGTCCCAAACCACCCAGACCCTGGACGGCGACTGTGTCTCCTGGGACAATGTTCATATTTCGAATGCCGTTGAACACAGTTACACCTGCACAGAGCAGTGGTGCGTATTCTGCAGGATCGGCGTCCTTAGGGATGCGGACTGTGGCTTCGGAGCGAAGGGTGCAATATTCCGCATCTGTGTTGCCCTTGTTAGATTTGGCCCTTGCATATTTGGGTTCTAGATGAGTAGTTCTTACACCCGCCGTTCCTCGAGACACCATTGACAAGCTCGTTATCACACATTTGGTACAACCCACGGTTGCAGGCTTTGCACAACCCGTCGTGGGCACCATGCCAGGGCCCACCAACTTTGTCTCCAACCTTCCACTTCTTCTCACCGGGGCCAACAGCAACGACTGTGCCAATCAGTTCGTGGCCGGGAATGCGTGGGAAGGACGCCCTGTATCAATATCTATTAGCCTACTAGTCAAATGAAACTTGCGAAGAGATACCTTACATTGGGCCAAAGGCACCCTGTTGCAAGAAAGAATCCGAATGACAAACGCCGCAAGCGTGGACCTTGACCAAGACCTCACCCTGCTTAGGGTCTTCGATAGGCACTTCTTTGATGGCCCACGGCGCGCCTGGCTTCTCTATGACGACAGCTCTGCATGTTTTCGGAATACTAAGCGCCATTGTTGCGGAAGGTCAATTAGAGAGTGCAGGAGTCAAAGTAGGTGTCAAGTTCGACCTGAGGAATGCAGCGACAATTCAGAACTTCTAGACTCTTTTATACTCCATCCCTTACCCATAGAGCTATTCGTCGATTACTAGCATACTCCTTTTAGAATTGACCTATTGTTACTACCTTCGAGGGGCAGCCTCGTTGTCATTGGTGGCCGCCCTGCCAACTCCGATACTCCTTTTTGCCTTAGTCCTGTTGCATGGAGAGGCTTATGTAAGGCTCCGGCTTGTCAGAACGTAGTACTCAGCAGCGGTATTCGTCTTCGCTGGGAAATAACTGTCTTTATCACCTAATTACAACCTGAGCGAGTCCGTCGATTGTCACGTTCTGTATTCTATGTTCAGATTTCATTACTTTTCCGGGTGGGCTTGGACCGGAGGAGAAAATACACGAAGTCCGGTGCTAGATATTCAAAAGATACGTTACTTCTTTGGTGAACCTGGAGTTTTTGTTCTGGGAGGACATAAGACGGCTTTAGGAGATACGTTAAGATGGAACTGTGAATGACGCATTTTACAATGACAACTCACGATCTTCAATCACGGAGCGGACTCTTACGTTCCATCTGAAACCATTCTATTCTCGTGCATTTCCCAATATTCGTCACTTGCAGACTCCTAGATAATTATTTCACCTTTCCCTGTAACGGTCATAAAGTGTCGAATCGATAAGGCAGTCTCGACCAATCAGACACACGCCCAAGCGAAGCCCTACACGGAAAGCGCACCCCAGACGTAATCACGCCTGACAGACCGCACTTCGTCCCGCGCTCAGCTTGCGCTCCCAGTCATGCAGGAACATAGTCGAGGGTCAGAATGAAGAAGACGCTACTATTGTGCTTTATCCACGGTTTCCAGGTCTGTATACACCCCACCCACGACCTCTCCCATGGATATAACGGATGGGGTTGCGGGGTTGACAGCTACTGACACGTCTTCCCCAGGGCGGCGAAGACACATTTGCCAACTTTCCTTCGCACCTCAAGGCTATTCTACAGCATGCGCTGCCCAAGGTTACGGTCCACGCGATTACGTATCCGAAGTTTGAGACTAGGGGAGATTTGCATGAGTGTATCGCGAGATTTAAGGAATGGTGAGTTTAGAGTAGCCTCCAGTGAAGACCACTGTCAGCCTTTTCCGACTTAAAAGCAAAACCTTGTGAACATTGTTTTAAGTGTATTGCTACTAACAACTCCCTAGGCTTCAGAACAAAGTCATAGACCTCGAGGTCGCCAACCAAACCCCCTCCCCGACTGTGGACCCCTCTGTCCGCACAATCCTTGTGGGGCACTCCATGGGCGGCATAGTAGCTGCAGAAACACTCATATCTATTGTTAACGAGCAACCTATACACTCCCTCAACAACTCGACCTCCCATTCCGCCTCCTCACTCCCTGACCCCTCGCAACTGATGTTTCCGTTCATTCAAGGCATCCTAGCATTCGATACACCATACTTGGGCATCGCGCCAGGTGTAGTAGCGCATGGAGCGGAAACCCATTGGAAAACTGCGAGTTCGGCGTACTCCGCCTACTCGAGCGTTGCTAGTACGTTCGGATGGGGTGCAAAGAATCCCGAGGCTGGAGCTGTGGGTGCAAGCAAGATGCTACCAGCGCCAGAGACAGCCGCAAAAGCCGTCAACGACACGAATGCCGATGCTGCCGCAGCACCCTTATGGCAAAAATATGGGAGAGTCGCACTCTTCGCCGGGGCCGCCGGAGCCGTTGCGGCTGGCGGTGCCGCCGCATATATGAAGAGGGAGCAAATCACCGAGGGTTGGAGTTGGGCATCCTCACATTTAGAATTCGTGGGCAGTCTAGCGCGGCCGGAAGAGTTAAAAAAGCGCCTCAATAGCATTACTAAAATCTCTGCGCGCCAGGACGTAGGCTTTACGAATATCTACACCTGTCTTGGTCACGCTGTTGAAGCGAAAAGCAAAGCCTCGTGGACTGGGCAAGTTCTTGGAGCTGACCGAACATTCTGTAATCTCCCAAAAGGTGAACATAAGAAGTTCTTCTTCCCAGCTATCAACGATAAGAGTACTACGGAGACCTGGGCGCATATGAGTATGTTCGAGCCGAGGAATAATCCGGGGTATTATGCAATGAGTGAGAAAGCAAAGGAGACGATCGTGGGCTGGAGTATGAATGAATGGTATCAGGAGAGTGAGGGGCGGACGCAAGATATCAATATTGATGAGGAGGGGGAGATGGTGGAAAAGCCAGAGGTCGAGGATGAAGAGTTTGAGGACGTGAAGAGGCCAGCTAGTACGGAGCCTTGGAGGACGGATGAACTCTGAGGAGAGCTTGGCTTACTTGATGGATATGATAATAATTCACGGCTGCTATCGCGATCGATGGGCTGGAATGGAATAGGGGCGTTGGAATTTTGGCGATGGTATACCCATTGTACTGTTCTTCCTAGAACAATGCATCGTCTTTCCTCCTTCTAGCGAAGCGTCAATAGTATTTTCTCCTCGAGGATTTTAGTCGACTTTGTGTATTTGTCATCCAACCAGTCTCTTCAAATTTCGTAAGCTACGGTTTCGCTTGGCTTACAGTTCGTGCTTGCCCTAAAATGATTTGGAAAACTAGCCATTAAAATATGCCGGCCAATTCTTCCCGCGACTTCACAGATTTCTAGAGACTGGTCGGGTAAGTGCAAAGGTATTGAGGGTGCAGGTTTTAGGTACGGAAGCTTCACAAACCATGTTCATCGTCCCAGCCACGCGCGTAGGATATGCCCTTTGTTAGATAGCTAGATTTATTGCGAAGCCCACTCCAGTGATCGGAATGCGTGCAATCTTGGAAGTGAAGTGGTGAAGTTAGACGGGAGGGTGGTCAAGTCGATAGCGGTAAACGTGGTACGCCAGCCGCATTTGGTCTAACCAATTCATCTCAACCTCCGCTCCAGGCCAGGTCTTCGACGAATTTGTACCCAAAAGACACTTGTTGTGAAAAATGCCTCGCCACCAAACCCCAATAGTTATCTGAGATGACGAATATCCGTAAAGGACTTACTCCCGTTCCTCTCAATCGGAGCAATTCATTTATCTATATATCATGCTCCGTTGCGCTGAATGCTCTGTCAAGATGAAGCCCCTTTTCTAGGAGCCTTCGCTGAAGCGTTAAAATGAATTCAAGAGCTCCGCCAAATGCTATGGAAGATTACCAATCGTGACTTGACATGAACTTGGTGATGATGAATTCTATCCTTTTTCTTATTCATGTGAGACCTGATGCATATAAAAAGTTCTAAGTGGAGGAGTATAAAGCGTCTATATAGGTCTCCATTCTTTGGGCTCTGCCTCTATTGAAATTTCACCGCTTAGCTCTCCCTAATTAGACATCTTCTACGTGACACACATCCCCATAGGAAGCCCACCCAATTGTTTTCCTCACAGCGCCCAGAAACTCAGCAGAAATGTCTCATCTTCAGCACCTTCAAATACAAAGGCTTCGGCGAGCGAGTTCGGAGATCATACACTACAGCCAAGCCGTCCGAATCGGCGATCGCATCGAGATTTACGGGCAAGGTACCCACCCTCTCTACTTCTATTTCATCCCATAAAGCTAACGTGCAAGGCGGTTGGGATCGCACCACAGAGAGTATTCCGAGTGACATTGACAAACAAATCGACCTAGCATTTGCAAATGTGGAGCATACGTCGCAGAACGCAGGCTGAAAAGGCCGGGAACAAGTTTACAAAGTCTGCTACGACGAGTGCAGAGATCATGGAACATATGATCCGGAATTTGAAAAAAAATTTACTGTCCAAACTACCAGCTGCTGCTCATGGGGCCGCTGTGCCGGGGATATATAATGAAATGAAAATTGAACTGGAGGTTGAGGCGCGTTTGGGGTGGTCTGCGGTTGAGTAGGGCTGGAGATGCGTGCAATATAGGGCGCGTGCAGAAACGTTAAGCATGTAACACTACACGTAAGAGTCTCATAAGTCAAGAAGAGGACAGTATGCAGCTCCCAGTATTCAAGATGTCAACTTGACGGAAGGCTCCTCTTATACATCTCCTTTCTTCTACTTCATCATGCTTCACTGATTATCAGTGGATGACAGCTCCATAAGCATCTCCCTCGTTGCGCTCAAACTCTTCGAATCTCCGTATAGCGCTGCGATCAGACTACCGTCGATGTTTGGGAATTCGCGCTGTAGGGTTGCTTGATTGGCATCATCTTCGCTCTGTGGATTCGAGGATTCATAAGACTGTAAAGCTTCGAGTTGCTCCACCCGATCTTGGCCTTGGGGGAGACCGGAATCGGCCGGCGTGCGGCGGGACGGCTGGTTGGGAGCTTGCTGCGACATTGCAAGCTTAGGGGATTTAGGGACGATAAGGGTTGTTTTGTGGAGATTTCAGGTGATGAGGACGGGGCTATGTGACTGAAATACAGTGTTCTGGATCGGGTCTTGGAGTGAATTTCGTTTTGTTTGCGAAAGATAGGTTGTGGAGTTCAGCGGATGAGCGGCACCTGGTGGTGAGAGTGAATAAAGAGATGACGTATGCTTATGATCCGGAGTGAGCGCTGCTCCGAAGTGGGTTGAGTCATCACTCTATTTCAGCTCTGCGCTCCTTCCCCAAACTCTGCATTGGGCATATCAATTTAAGAATCATATAGGCTACGGATTCATTTCTAAACAACCTCTGCAAGAGCGCTTGTCTGGAACACCAATTCCTGCTGTTCATACTCTTTCTTCTCTGGCTCCGTATTCTCGGGGTTTCTACTGTTTTGGTCTGGTCCCGACTCTATTTTCACGAAGGAAGGTAGGTCTGAAAACTGGTCGGTCTTCTTACGATTACAAGACGACCTCAAAAAACGGATAAATGATGTGAATCTATCCGTTGGGAATATACGACCGAGTATAGGCCGGAGTGTCATGCCACACGCCGCAGTGATACTAACGTGAACTTCGACAAGATTCCACATCGAATAGGCCGTCACAAGGATAATCCCGTCTTCATGCATCATAGCGAGGCTTGAGGCGATGTAAATGTAGGCTTTCGCTGTGCTCGCCCCGACAGCCCTGATATGAAATAAGTCTATGTCCCGAAGAAAGAAGAGCTAAGGCTTTGACTCACAATGCTCCCACTAGAAAGGTGGCCGCGAGGAGGATTTTCCGTGTCCAAGGAAGCCGCATACCCATCACCTAGACCATGAGCGCTACGAATATGCAAGTTTCCTGCGCGAAACTTACCAAAGGAAGAGGGATCAACAACGTTATAAGGTCTGTAGCTACATCGCTTCCCACCAAGGCGTAGCCGATCTTGTGGATGTGTGGACAGTACTTGGCCAAATCCTGTTTCGTGCCAAATACCTTTAGTGGGTGAGTGCCACACTCCAAGAATTCACTAATCAGGAATGCCACGGTCCATGTGACAATGATAGCGATCCACACAGCAAGGAAGCGGCGGATCTTAACTTTGGCAAATAGGTGCCAGTAGAGAAGGCAGACGGACAACTTAACGAGGCCGATTGAGAAGACGCCAGTAAGTACGAACGCATACTCCATCTGCAGGTAATCAACACAGAGCTCAACAGAGAATTTTTGTACAGCTCATACATGCTGGACATTTTTCAACCGTTCGTTCAGGCCTTGCGAGAGATGAGATGTTGTATTTAACGGCACAGCAAACGCGTTGACAGCCACACCTTACCAATGTTAATATACTACCCGTAGAAGTGGGTTTAGGAGAACGATAAAACAAAGCTCACCATAGATCTCCATCACGCTAAGGCCCGACCCGCACACCCATGCCACCAGCACGAGCCAGTCCGAGATCAAAACTGGCTGCCGCTTCCAGAAGCGAGTGTAAAAGCGCAAGATTACACATGTTGAAGAGATTAACTGAAGCGCGAGTGTTCCAACGACAATTCCGGCGCGGCTGTGGTACACTCCGTAGCCCATGATGAGTTGGGAGAGAGTAATACGAAGCCCACAATCTGCCCACGGTCTTCGGACTTTCGTCTTATAGAAAGCGATCGGCATCTTGCGTTGCTGACGGCATGTCTGTCTGATAACGCGGGCCTGGAAGGATTATTCCTCATCGGACGACTGCTCGTAAAGTCTCCAGATGTTCACCCACCATCCAATGATCTGGGGACTGGCCTGACATGAATGAGGCTCGCTTAGCTTTTCGGCTGACAACCCGCATTGAATTAATAGTGTCACTGTCAAGGCTGGCGCTAAAACATGGCTTCGTTCGGTCTCTTGCTTACCGTGCAGCTCGGTTTCCGGCTCCTTTTTGATCACGGACTTCTTGGCGGCGGATCCGAGTGCATGTGCTAAACGATGTAAGCGTTATTGTGCCGGCATAATTCTCGTTCCACAAGCTGGGAACACATGAGTAGATTCGTGGATTTCACCTTGCTCGCTTGGTGAAATGTCGTGGAAATGGAAGAGATTGGGTTGAGATGCCATGAATTCTACGTCTCCTTTGAAACCCTTGACGTCTCTGATGCTCGTTACTATAGCCAGCCTCTCGTTTGCTAAAGAAACGGAGCTATTCTATAAAAAGGCTGAATGTGGGTCTGTGTGACCCAATGTCCCATCTATCCCTGAACATCAAATCCTTTTCCGGACCTCGGTATTGGAGCACTTGATAGCCCAATGTATATAGAATGATGTATTTGTCGCCACTTCTTGCTATATACAAAAGCTTGGGGGCAGAGGGCGGAGAATGAGAGGAGTCACGATGGACTTCAAGCGCAACTTGGAACAATTCATACGTTAACTTCAATATTTACCGCCAATATTGTGAAGGTTTCATGCCAAGTTCATACTCGCTTAATGGAATCATGCAAGATTTCCTGCAAAAGAGCCTCCTTTTGGCAATACCATTTCCGAGGGTTTCAGGTGAATTCTCCTCGGGCTGTTGGTTGGCTCGCTTGTGGAGGAGTTTCACCCTAGTCAATCTCGGGAACCTCTTGCCATTCCCATGCCACACGCCAACCTTTCCGTCAACCTCGTCTTTCAGATCATAGCCCGTTCTCTTTTCTTTGATCATTGCCGTTACCAGAGTAGCTATGCCAGCCTTGAAAGCCTATAAAAAGAGAATCCTTCAGCATCCGCGAGTCAAGCGATCTGTTACTTTCCCTGCTACCTCCAGTTCACGTATTGCTGCAAATTCAATCCAATAGATGGGAAGCCGCAGCCAAGTCCGGTGTGTCACAGACCACAAACACTGCCTGCTCGGCCCCGTGCTCTGGTTCCGCCTGTGAAAGAGCCTGATAGACAGACAACAATCTGTCAACCCACGCCACCTTTCCTCACAAACCTGCCACTGGAACTACGAATTAAACTCTATAAAGAAGCTTTGGGGGGTTCCGCCATCCATCTAAAATCCTTATGGGGTAACTTTTGTTGTAAGAAGTGCTTGTTGCATTCATATAGCCATGACCTATTTCACTGTGGAACAGAAATGGGACTAGAAACCCCTGTCTCTTTTAAAGACCTGCCTCCAGATGTAAGTCTATTAGACTGTAGAAATTTTCACTAAATGATATCTATAGATGCTCTGAAGCTGTCGAATACCTCTATTCCGTCAATATATTCTTCATCTCCACCCACTACCAGCACGATTTTGCACTCCTTTTTACCTTCCAAAGCTTTGCTCACCCATCGTCTCCGCTAAATTTGAAGTCTTCTGATTTTTGGAACTTGGATTTGGCCGAGCAGGCTCTTCCCCTGCGTTCGCCATATCTCTGCCACAGGACCGGTCACTCGCATGGGAATCATGGCGGAGCGCTTGATGGGGTAGAGGAAGGATGAGCCCGTGTGCCAAGAGCGGGAGGGGCTCTGCGAGAGTGATTGAGAGCGTGACCCTGTCTAAGCGTGTCCAAGGGCTAGAGTAATGACCGCATGAAGCACCTAAAGCGAGGCAATGTGCCTAGCGGGGTGATTAGAACGGGGCCCAAATCGAGCATCCAAGCTTAAGGTCACGTTTACAAAAGAGAGCAGGCTCATCACAGACCCAACGGTTCAAGCAATTGCCCTCAGGCATATAATGGCGTCTTACTCCCTAAAATTCTCCCATTTCCTTCTTTCCAGACCCTCAATCGCACATACGATTCGTCTTACCCCATCTACAGACAACTACCCCATTAGGAATCATTCAGGGCTGTTGAGTAGCATCCATATGGCACCGACAGAAGGCTCCATCAGAGATCCAGAGCAACACCTCCTCTTTACTTCTCTAGTCTCGAAGTTGGTCTTATTCTGTGATAATTACAGGATATTAATACCCCAAAATGACTTGAACGTTTTGCCACATCCTGGGAAATATCCCTATCACGGTCTCATTCTTGCTATGAAGCACGACTTTGCCCAGAACGCACTAAGTCCTGTGGAAAGTTTCCCCAGCGAAGGGATTTCTGAACAGAGCACCTTGTTCTATCACCTGGATACTAGAGTATTATCCATAAACAAGAGTTGTCTGTGCCCTATGTTGATTCAGTATTGCTGCATTAATCCTTCATCCTCCTTTTTTGCTCGATCTGGAACCAATGGCTCCTCCTAGCTACACCATTCGTCAATATAACTTTTTTCTGCAGTTGTCATAAGATCATCTATACAACCCGCTTTAAAGTGCCTGGAATGCACGCTCTAGGGATCTTCTCGAATTTCTCCAATGACTTACCCAATATTACCCCTTCGGTACCCCAATTTGCGGACTCTTTGTCATTTTAGTTAGCTTTGGCTGTTGCCACCCAAGCCACAAAGCAATTACCAAGGAAACCACGATCCATATGGAGATGTCCCCACAAAACATTTTCTGGCCTTTCTCAGCCATACAGTTGTAATACCACCCATGCACCCCCTTCATCTTCGGTCCTTTCACAAGCTCTTTACTCCCTGCTACCAGGTCCCTCCTCTTCGGATCTTTCAACATGCTCTCCTCTATCATCTTCGCCATCTGCTCCCCTGCCTCTGTGCCCATCGCCCGAAATCCCCTAATTGTTCCAAGCTGGTCTCTAGCCGCCGTCTCCTGTCCTATCTTCCACTTCCCCTCTAAGCGCATGATCTTGATCTCAACCCCGAGAATCGCCTTTGAGAGTTGGTGAGTGAAGGACGCAGGGGCGTCGGAGACCTTCCAAGGTTGAGAGAATCCCATCAGGACTTCCTCCCCGTGGTGCGTGAGATCGGTGAGTTGCTTTCCGAGGAAGAATGATGTGCTTCGGTAAGCGGGATCGTAATAGAGTTTGAGAGTGCCGTAAGCCTGAACGGCGGAGAAATTCCAGGTTGGGACGACTTTACCGGATGTAGGTTTTGTGGCAGTGTAGAAAGAGGGGGTCACGTAGCTATTTACGGGCCCGTTGAACAGAATCATGACTTCTTGTGACAATACGGTCCCGGTTGGGCTGTTTGGGTCGGACTCGGGGACTGGGGTTCGGAGATTCATCACGCGAATGAGGGCTTGTGCGTGGGGATTCTTGCGCGCTATATGACCCCGAAGTGTGCCCAGACTGCCAGACTTGGATTCGGGCTCGGTTGAGTCTGGAGTATCGAGAACGAAAGGAATGAATGTGGTTTGGAGCACGGGAAACGAGTTGCCACCCAAGAGATTCTCTGGAATTGCGGTTATCAAGGCTCCCAATGGATGTTGCTTGATGAATTTCTGGAGGACGGTAACATCGCGTTCGGCGAACTCATCGCGCCAGCCAATGCCAACTGCAGAAGACATTTTGTTTGGATTTAGTTGTGGATTTAGCTGTGATGGGGCTCGTGGATGTGAGCTGATTCGGTTGCCCGCGAAGTCGAAGGGTTCTAGTTGGTAATGGGACGGAAGGAAATAGCTACGAGGGCGAATAGGAGAATATTGTTTCTATATCGAATCACGTGAGAGAATGAAAGCACTGAAATGATGTCATTGTTTTGAAGCAACGATTTTTTAGGCCCTTGCATTGTGAATGCATATGAAGATGCATTGTAGGATAATTTCCAGATGATTAGCTACAGTAGTGACTGGTATCAGTTTTGCACTACAGTATTTCTAAGCGCAGAACTAAATGGATCTTAGCACTTCGCAGGGGCGGTACATGTAGCTTAGAAAGTGGCGATATTATAAGCTCTGCTACATGTACCTCTGCCTGCCTACAGCATTATCTGTACATTTTAAAGCGTCTACAAGGACATGACTAGAGCAGGTTGACCGCCCTCCCTGCTGGCAGTGGTGACATTAAATGCTGCATTGCTAAGAGTACTGTTAGATATTATTTATAAGCTTGCTTACACACTTAGATCCCTTTGCATGTGCACTACCCTCTGTCCGCTGTTTTAATAGTAGCTTAAAAAAATATTTATCCCTTCTTCACTAGCTCTGCTTAGAAAATAATCACTTCTAGGCAACATCTAACACAGTTACGTGCGTGTTCTCTAAATGCTATCTGTTTAGTGATAATGCAATGTGAGGTTGCTGAGGGCCTAGGACGTGTTTACATTGTTAGAACTATTTTCCTATAAGTACAATAGCAGTATTGTTGCAAGACTAGCCCTTGAACGTAAATGCAAGGTTGTTTATGCTAGTCAGCGTGTCTGGATGCTCTTCTCAAAGCACCCACGCAATTGTCTTTGTCACTTGTATCCCTAACTCTTTAGCTTCCTTCCACCGCCCTTAATTCCTGTACGTTGACTCTAGCTGAGTTGGCTATGCTGGTTAGCGTGTCTAGATGCTCCTCCCTAAGCACCCTCGCACTTGTCTCCATCACTTGCACAAACAGCTCTTTGGCCTCCTTCCACCGCCCTTAATTCCTGTACGTCGACGCCAGGTGGCTTTGCTGGCTGGCGTGTTAGACAGATGGTCCTCCCTAAGCACCTTCTTGAACGTCTCCATCACTTGCAACTCCAGCACTTCGACCTCCTTCCACCGCCCTTAATTCCGTACGTCGATGCCAGGTTGTTCATACTGCCTAGCGTGTCTAGATGCTCGACATCCCTCCTTGTTATACGAATTGAGGCCGACTTAGGATTTTCACTGTCTACCGCCTTCATGCCCTTTCTCCAATTTGCATCTTGAAGTATAGATGCATGTATCTAAAAATATCCATAACTAAAGAAGAATAAACCAAGCAGAGATAACTGCTGCCTCTAGACGGCTTAGTATGCTAAACCAGCGGCACACAGACTAAACTGAGACTCAACGTACAGCTACCAGCTGCTCTACCGCGTGTTTAATCTAGGTGGAATTTAAAATAATCAGCACTACAGCGAATAAAACGAGTATAGTCTATAGAGCCGCCCACAAGAAACTCCGTATTGCCCATATACCTGTTCGAAGTGGAACTTGCAAAGGAACAGAGGGGCATGGAAATTAAGTTGTGTCAATCTTAGCTCGCCAAAGCCATATCCCCCTAACACGTCCAAGTCCTTAATTTGGCCGAGTACTAAGGTGAATAGGCCAAAGGAGGCCTAATCTATATCCTTAGGAATAAGTCAAACGTTATGTTGCTGAGCGATGTTGAAATTAGACAAGTGTCAGCCTAGGTGTCAATATGTCCACAGAAATCTTGTTGAAGCTTTGCAGATACTGCTTCGACTGACTCTGTGAGATGTATGAGGAGATAATACTATCTCAGATGTATCCCGGTAGGGGATAAGCTATGACCACATTCACATGATGTATGGTCCGACAGTCTCCTAGTCGGTTTGAATCCTCGCTCAAATATAGTTCCCAGAACTCATGCGAAAGTAGATACCTTAGGAGAGGTTTGATGAATATGCGGTTGTGAATCCATACTAGATGTAAGCAAGGTTCTTCGGTGATGATCATTTCAGTCTTTTACCCGTCGTTGGTGTAACGGGTGGAAATTTGCACTAGATAGACATGGCGCCATTGTCGCAAGGTCTTCGGCGTAAAACTCTTCTGTGAGGAATTGTTTCATATGAGCGGAATCGTTGAGTATGACAGAATGCTGGCTAGGTGAGGAGCATTCGCCGGCACTCTGGCTTCATCAGGTACGAGGTCGCGCAGAAGCTGGTTCAATTTGGAAAATGGTGACATGATCGTATTGAGGGGAATGTAGAAACAGAATAACGGGAAAATATCGATCTCCGCAGCACTGGACTCTTGCAGCAGGCTGGCCTCCGGTGAAGGACGTCGTCTCGCCTAAGGCAGCTGTGGTTGCTCTCCACCCAGCTCCACTGCGCCTCAGCAGACTCCGCAGCTATATCAGCCTGACTGCCAGTGTCTTCTGATATTAGTTCTTCTCCTCCATCAGGACTTCATCTACCCTCGACTTGAACACCTTACAGCCTCGACTTTGGACGCTGATCATGGTACGTCGTGGGGCACAGATTAGGCACGCCAAGACTGACTCGAACACTAGGTTCGGTCGGTGACGGAAAACGACATTGGGCTGAAAGTCCTCCGCGAGGCACCAGCAGGGGCAGACCAGATCATTGAGTGGGTTCTTCCTTACGATGTTCGATTGCCTAGATCTAGACTGAACGTGCCTCAGCATTGTCGCGGTTCATGGCATTGGTGCCCACCCGGATGACAGTTGGTGCAAGAATGTTGGTACTCCAGAGAGGCCGCAGTGGGTCAACTGGCTGGAAAAGGAAGACATGCTACCGGCAGTAGCACTGCATGCGCGTATAATGCGATACGGATACCAGTCTCAATGGTTTGGGGAAGGAGCAGTGCGACAGAATGCCTCAACAGTAGCATGTCGGTTGCTGTTGGCCCTGAAGCGGAAAAGAGAGGTGCACACTCTGTGCATTAGATATGCTTATCGCTAATTTCGTTAGGAGTATCGGTTTCGGCCGCTAATCTTCGTAGCCCACTGCTTCGGCGGGCTAGTAGTCATAAAAGTAAGCGTCTAAGGCATGACGGAACGCGGCTACGACTAAGAGTTGCAGGCACTTGTGGATGCGCGGCATGACCAGGGCGAGTGGCCCGGCATACTCACATCTACTACTGGCCTGATATTCTTCGGCACTCCGTTCAGAGGGGCAGGGGGCATGAGCCAAGTGGAGATGCTCGAGGCGGCGTGGAGGGAATACCAAGAGGACGAGGTTCAGCCGGAGGTTCTGAAGACACTGGAACCTGAGAACGAGTTCCTCCAGGACGTCGTCGACGAATTCGGGAAGACACGGAAAGAGGCGAACAGGGCCCAGGTTGCATGCTTCTACGAGCTGAAGTCAAGCAATGTTGGAAACATGGTAGGAAAGGAGAGTCGAACGGTATGCTCTGTAGAGGGATATATGCCCTGCTCGAAGCTGACTGCTATTGCAGAGATTTGTGGTGAACGAGAGTTCTGGCTGCATTGACCTATCCGACGCAACAAGCAAGTTCTCTCTCTCGCGGACTCACTTTGATATGAACAAATTCGGGAAACCTACGGAGGAAGACTTCGAGCTAGTAGGGGACGTTATCAAGGACATGGTTGGGGCAGCTCATCAGCTGGTGCTGGCTCGATCTCAATGTAATTATTCTTCTCCCTGGGGCCTGTCAGCGGTTATATGTATGGCTGATCAACTTGAAGTTAGGAAATCGGTTTCGAAATATTACGATGTCCCACACATTAACGTCCCTCAGTTCTTCGGTAGACAAAAGCTAATCTCAGAATTACACACATTCCTACTAAATCCCCGAGGACAGTATGATAAGCCTAATGTAGCGGTACTACAAGCCTTAGGCGGACAGGGCAAGAGCCAGATTGCTTTGGAGTTATGCCGCATGCTGAGGAAGGATTGTCGCGGTGTCTTCTGGCTTGATGCAACTTCGAAGGCAAGACTAGAGTGGAGCTTTTCAGGACTCGCTGGAAAGTTAAACCAGCCAGCTATCAGGGCCCTGGAAGATACGGAGTCAAAGATAAGGTTCGTGCTAGATACAATTCAAGGGTGGAAGGAACGGTGGTTGATGGTTTATGACAACTACGACCGCCCTGATGTGTTCACGGATATAAAACAGTTCCTACCCAACCGTGAGTCCATCCACGCGCTGGATGCTTATATGCTAACTGCCTTAGATGGACAAGGCGGCATAATCATTACAAGCAGGCACGAGGCTACAAAAGTGCTTGGGCGCCACGTTCGAGTTCCATCGATGATAAATGACGGAGGCCTTGAGCTGCTCCTTCGAAACATGACAGGTGAGCAGAAAGAACGCAACCGAACACATGGAGAAGACATCGTTCGTAGACTTGGAGGGTTAGCCCTTGCCATTGAACAGGCTGCTGCGTACATATCTATTAACCAAATAGCGCTACCTGATTTCATCGACGAATACGAAAGAAAGAAGTCAAAGGTGCTAAAGTATATGCGTGAGGAAATTTGGGAGTACCAGAAACTAAGAGACGGGTCAGAGAAAAGCGAGCTGTTTAACGCGTTTACAACGTGGGAGATGTCACTTGAACAAGTAGAACGGAGTGATGAGGGGCGTAAGGATCATATCACGCGCTTCCTTCACGTCGTAGCCTTCCTCGAACCTTCGCACATTGGCAGTTATCTGTTTAAAACGTACCTCGCAGAGGAGGATGAACCATTCCCATGGTTCGATATTTTTAGACGTCCAAGAAGCCTCTCAGATGAAGATACCGACTCAGATACAGATCAAGCATGTTCTACAAGCCAATATGAACATACGAGCTGGAGTACGAATCAGTTCTGGTCGACCATAGAGCGCCTTCATCGACTCTCTCTTGTGCAGAGTATTCAAAAGAAGCCTAGTGTTTGGTTCTCTATCCATCCAGTGATCAGTGACTGGTTGCAGTTACGAGAGCGGAAGAGATCAGCTCGAGAAAAGGCATTACGAGAGACCATAGGACTGATGAGCGTAGTTGTGAAATCTGCCTTCGCGGAAGCTGCGGATGGATCTAGGAGACGGGAATTGCTGGCACATCTGGACTCTTGTCAGACTGGTTTGCGGCATATAAAGCTTACTAAATCCCTTGGATGCGCGGATATGCGAAAGGAGACAATTTCGTTTGGGAAATTTTATGAACGACAGGGAAAATATGACAGATCAGAGGAACTATTTGAAGCTCTATTAAAGGAAGATAGAAAAAGCCTTGATAGAAGTGACAAGAACCTGTTGCAAAACATGGGCAACCTGGCGTCGACGTACAGGAATCAAGGGCGGTGGAACGAGGCCGAAGGGCTGGAGGTACAAGTGATGGAGACGAGAAAGAGGGTGCTTGGGGAGGAGCATCCAGATACGCTGACCAGCATGGCCAACCTGGCGTCGACGTACAGGAGTCAAGGGCGGTGGAAGTGGGCCAAAGAGCTGGAAGTGCAAGTGATGGAGACGAGAAAGAGGGTGCTTGGGGAGGAGCATCCAGATACGCTGACCAGCATGGCCAACCTGGCGTCGACGTACATGAATCAAGGGCGGTGGAAGGAGGCCGAAGAACTGTTTGTGCAAGTGATGGAGACGTTCAAGAG